AATAATATTTTTTTTAATTTTTAATAAATATTTTTATATAACTTAAATAATATAAAAAATATTTAAAAATTATATAAATATTTTATTATAAATTATTTTAAAATATAATAAAAAATTTTAAAATTTTTTATTTTTTTAATATTATATATAATTTAATTTTATAATAATATTTAATATTTTAATAATTATATTATTAATATTATTTTTATATTATTTAATATATTTTTTATATATTAAATTATTATAAATTTAATTATATTTTTTAAATTAATATTAAATTTATTATTATTTTATATCATTTTTTAAATAATTATTTATATATTAAATTTTTAAAAAATTTACTTTAAATTAATCAAATTTTATATTAAATTATATACTTAAATATATAAAATATATTTATAATTTTATTTAAAAAATTTTTTTTAAAAAAAATATAAAAAATTATATTTTTTTTTAAATATTAATATATTAATATTTTAAAAAAAAATTTTATATATTATTTTTTTATAAAATAATTAAATTAAAAATTAATTTTTTTTTTAATATTAATATTTTATAAATATTTAATTATTTTATATTTCTTTTATAATTTTATAATAAATAAAATATATTTTTTTAATTTTTTAATAATTAAATTATTTTATTTTATAATAATAAAAAAATACTTTAATATTAAAATATTTTTTAATAATTAAATTTTATTTTTTTATATTTTTAAAATTATTTAATTTTTATTAATAAAATATAGGTTTTTTAAAATAAATTTATTTTATATTTTTATTTTTATTTTATTAATTTTTTTATTTTTTTTAAAAAAAAAAAATTTATTAAAAAGTTAAAGTATAAAAAAAAAATAATAAAATTAAAGAAAGGAATAAATAGTAAATTAACTACTATATTATAGCTAAATATTTAATAATAATTATATTTATCTCTAAACCTCTGTTTAACAAAAAGGGAAACCTCTCCTTTTATAATTTCCTTTTAAGCCACAGAGCTTTAGCTGGGAACTAGGCGCTTTTTTTCAGCGTTCTAGCTTCTAGGCGCCTAACACTAATACACTGTCAAGAGACCGTTACACTATGTCAGAGCCCCTCATTTTCCCGCTCAACGCTCATAGTCTAACGGTCTATCTGGTTCTGTTCTCCTAGCTGCATAGCGTCAATATTACTTCACAAAGCTTTATAAGACCGATACTATACCCAGCATTTCGCTGTAAGGTTTCGCTAATTTTGATTGGCAGCTACTAATTTGATTATTTGTTCTATCTAACCCACTCGACCTCTGGTCCATTTCGTGACTCCTATTACTCGTATAAACTAAGCCATAGTACTGGCCCTGCGCTCACGTCGGCTTAATCCCAACATCGGACTAACCCTTGTGTCAGCACTCTTAGTTCTTGACAAACGCCTTGGATTAGACTTTTTCATTCCAACCTCAACTCCGACTGAACATATACCGAAGTTTCTGGCTTAACGTGAACAGCTACAACAATAGCCGGGCAAAATGAACACACTCTCCGTGCCAGAGCTGAACCGACAAGTCATCACTCGGTATTTCCAGGAGTTCTGGACCAATGGGAATCTAGACATCATTGATGAGCTTTGTGATGACAACGTGACAATTTTCTATCCCATGCATGGGCGAATGGTGGGAAAAGCGGCTGCCAAAGAGACCCTAGCCAAGTTCAAACAAGTTCGTTTAAGCATAACCCCAATCCTAGGCGACTTGACATGCTGACAATATGTGGCTCATCTAGGCGTTTCCGGACGTATCGTTTAGATTGCTATCTCCTTTCCCATTAATTGCTGAAGAAAATTACGTGGTGGCGCGCTGGTTTGGTGGTGGTAAACATACCGGACCGGCGTTTTACGAGCTTCCTGTTGGAAACTTACCCGAGCCTAACAGCGGTAAAGAAATGAGATTTTCTGGCACAACAATCTATAAGCTGGAGAACGGCAAAATCTTGGAAGAGACTGGAGAGGAATCTGGTTTGGTGGCGATGCAGCAGCTGGGATTCATCAAATTAAATGATGGCTTTGCTCCATGAGCTCAATGTACATAGCTATATAGCCCTTCACCAATTTCAGGAGAATGTGTTACATCTGCAAAATACACCCCACTACGCTATTGTGCGGAGATCTAGGTCATCGTATCATTAAAAAGATGTTATATCATTAAATTTACAAATTCTTTCCCCTCATCATATTAGTCCAGCTAATAGCTCATTCACTTTGTCATGTCCAATGCGCTGTAGCAATTCTGCAAACCTAGCGACGAAGAAGGCGCTGTGATCGATTCGTCGGCTCCTTGAGGCTGCAACGAAGTACACCCACGTCAAAGAGTTCTCTCCCAAGGAAAATGGAGGAATCTTGCGCACAGTGATCTGAAGTTTGTCCAACAATCTGTTGAGATCGTCGGATGAATCCGAATCCGAGCCGCTGCTTTCATGCGGACTGCTGGTAGTCGGTAGTGTGTATATATGGCATGCTTGTGCCATGGCACTTTCCATTGAGTAGAAGACTTCGTATAAATCTTTTTGGCTGAGAGACAGTGCTTGTTTACCATCCGTGGCTTGGCGGTCTTTGCTCAGGAGCTTGTTGAATTGGTAAAGAGGACAAACGACCGCTTTCAATCTATCGCCGTGGAATGATGTGTTAGCAAAAGCTGCATAAATTGAGGAATATATGTATAGCGCAGGTTGCTACATACAGTTGCACTTGGTCTAATAGGAATCGACGCGTTGCCTTCTCAACAGGGTCAGTGCTAAAGGGACAGTCTTTTCGAACCCAGAATTCGGCAAGCTTAAGCAAAGCAGGGCACTCTCTGTGGCCGCATATCATATCGTCAATCATCAGTCCTAGGATTGTGGCAAGTGGTGCACAAGAATCCGTTTCTGGTCGTGCTGAAATTTGTCTCAGCTCAGCAATTGCTGTTGACCTGTAGTTGAGTCTGTCGACCATGGATTTTGAGCCTTGAGTAATTTGTATATGGCTCGCAGATGCTGCCAGTAAGGAACTTCGAACCATCTGATGCTTGAAGGCAAGTGGAATAATGTGTTTAGAATAGCCTTGGTTGGTTGACTCCGTCACGTCCAGCGTGGGAATGACATTCTCATAGACTGAACAGACAGTCAGCGAACAATTTCGACACTGGAAAGCAAAGAATTTCCAACATACAATTCCTCAAGAGAAACTCTTCCGAGGCATCTTCAATATTAATATGTGGTATCATATCCATACTAGGATATATCATTGCCTGCTGTTGATATGCTTGCCACTGGTACTCGTGGCTCATAAAGAGTGCCGGATCACCGATCGTCATATCGGTGTCAGAGCTTGATACCGACCAGAGGAATATGCCAGGCCCAAACTGCGATATTTGGTTTATGTTCAATATCGGCGTGTTACCTGATTTAACTAAGGCCATGGCACATTTCTTCCAGTTGCTAGCTATTTGGTTCAGGCGATCACCCTCTGCTCGGAGACGTAAGACCTCTTGCTCAAGAGCATCCATGTAATCCTTTGTCCTTTTTCGATGACTTCTGTAACAGAATTAGCTTTTTGCAACATGATTTAGCAAAAATCAAGGCCAACATGCCTCTGTGCTCGCAAGATCTGCTGTTTCCTCTTTTTGGGGGGCTGACCCTTTTCGGGCGCCGCGGTATTAGCCACAATTCCATCATCAGGCACCAATGGAGGCAAGAATGAAAAGGTGCCTAAGATGTTTCTCTGGCGACTTTTGATAGAATTATATGAGTTTGTATTCTCCATCTTGACAACAGCAGGTTCTAGTCTGAAGCTGTCACTGCTTGGCGTTCCTTCGTAGATGAACATCGGACAATCGGCTTATTTGCTCTTCTGGGACTGATCATGTGACTTGGGCGCGCGAGAAGCTTGCTATTGTCAGCTTTACCAAAGCAAGTATATCTCGGCAGTTGTAACGTTCGATAGCCCTGGTAATCGCATACGGAGTGCAGCAAAAGTGCGTGAGGAATATCACTAGATAGAGCTATACATTGCAGATATTCTTTGAGATAATGACCAGGGAGTTAGACTCAAGATAGGTTGTGTGGATAACGCAGCTTGTACTGTGAAACTGACTCAGGGAACCCAGGCAAGCTTATACCAGGATCCGAGTCACACTGTGCCAATTCGCAGCAATTCAGATGACAAATGCGTATTTCCTAAATGAGAACCTGTACTAGGATAGCATTTGACGCAAAACATTGCGGCAGCGCATCCGGATGGTGGCTGCATTAATCAGCTCCTATGGAGTATGGTGGTGTATTGCGGAGTACTCCGTAGCTCGTGTGGGATTTGAAATCGGGACGTTTAGCAGTTTACGTCCATCCTGAATACAGAGTGGCATTTCACGAGGACTTCTGCCTAAAGGGTCGACCGACACGAAAGAGAAAATCCGTTTTCCACCATGCAGTCTCGGAAATATGTTCCCATTCTTCCTACAGACACTACAGTATATCTAGTCGTATTCTAGCCAATCATCTCAACTCTACTCTGTAACTCTCACCACACCGACTCAAGTCCATTAATGCCTGATGGCTTGTCCGCCTGAGTTGTTAGTCGGACTCCATGGCGGAGCCCCTCCTGCGGGTTATGAATGTCGAAGTCCGAGATAGCAGTATGGGCAGTAACGCGGTTATCCCATAGCGCAACCGTGCCCTCCTCCCATTTGACGCGAACCTGGAAATCTTGGCCAAGTGCGATATGCTGTGTTTGAAGGGGAAAAGTCAGCCACATGAATATAATGTGTCGGCAGATTTTGTATCCGATGCTTACGTTGAACAGCAGCTGCAAAAGAGCGTCCGACTCTTCATGCTGGAGGCCAATGATGCGCTTTGTAAAGCCCTTGTTGACAAAGAGAGCCTTTTCACCCGTCGCCTGTTAACCGATAATTAGTACAATCACGTATGTCGCATCTTAGTCTATATGATGTACTTACTGGATGGACCCTCACAATGGGGTGCTCCGACTTCACTGGCTCTCGGCGGACATATTTTCCATCACGGCGGGCATTCTCTGCCTGGTTGAAGCCGCTGTGTTCAGCACGCAGACCCTCGAGCAGTGTCTTGATGGGCTGTGACAAGCGGGCGTATGCTGCAGTTTGCGATGCCCATGCGGTATCTCCACCGGTTGGAGGGACGGACAGAAGGGTGAGAATCGTAATGCCAGGCGGCTGATGTTCGTATGAAACGTCGGAATGATATCCGGTGGTCGTCAGTCTTTCCCTTCGCTGCCTTGCTCGATATTCATTATCGGGACCAAGGTAGATGTTGTGATACTCGAGGTGGTCCTTAACATGAGCTCCAACGGGCTGAGAAGTCAGTCAATATGTGCACTGTTACATCTGTATGTTTGAGGCTACTGACATGAACGTGCAGTGGTCCGAAATATCTCGCGAATTCCTTCTGTTTCTCCGGTCCGATATCCTTGAAGTCTTGCCCACGGAATATGACCACACCTCTCTCTGCAATCAGCAGCGCAAGTTCATTCTTCTGCGTGTCATTTAATTGAGAGAGTTGAAGACCTCTGATTTCGGTGCCAATAACTGGGGTGAGTTTGGAGACCTTGAGATCTGGATTGGTACTAGACAGCAGAGCAGGCTTGGCTTTGTCCGCTGCCAGTCCCCGATCCGTGAACTCAAATGGTTGGATCGGGTCAAAGTGAGTCTCTTCGTCATAAACGGGGAGATACTCATGATATTTGTACTGTGGACAATTGGGTTAGAACTTGTAATGCCATCAAGGATACGCAGTCATAGAGCCTACCTTTTGGTGGATTGCATCATCATATGCAAGCGTGAGCTTCCCGATAGCAGTATCTGACTGCGTCACTGTCTTTGTTGCTGACATCTTGAGTTAGAACTGATTCTATGGACGTACAGGTTGACGAATGTATGGTGGCCAAAGTGCTCTATGCAACAATGATCCAAATATCCTACATTCTCGAATGGACGGCGTCGCTCATTATATAGTTCCGACAAGCCATGAAAATGATTTCTTCTGATGTTCTGTGTTCGGCACGTCGGCACCATACATCAACATTTCTCCCGATGGCGGCACATCAAGTCTTAATCGTGATCCATCTCCAATATGATGAGCTGCGGGGTTTTTCAAGTGCGGAAGGTCTGTGAAAGCTCGCAACATACGTCTTGTGTGTGTGATGATCACGCCTTACACCTACCAAAGATAGCAATCGTGGGGGCCTAAGGTGTCAACCCCGGATTCCGATAACGCTCAAAGTGGGTTTTATTTGAGCATCATATTAAAAAAACGGATATCTTTGATCTTATCAAGTAGTGCTGAACATTTACGATACCATGGACTATCGGGGCTGTTGCAGAAATATGAATATCGGCTAAAGCTGATTCGCGAGTCGTGATTTAGACCAAGATGACGACAGCGGGATGCTTCAGGGAGTAATCGAACCAATTGGCCAGATGCTTAGTAATGAATGATACAATTAACAAACGATATTGCATGCGACATATTGAAATGGCACACGATATTTTACTCTTCCATTATGTCCGAAATAAATAAAAACGCAGCCATGCTGCTGAGTATGAGAAGCTGTACTTTACTCTGCTAGTATCTCATATACTGTGCCACTCAAGCAAGGAAGTAGAACGCCGACGTATAAAGCGTCTTTAAACAAGTGAAAGTGAATTTTATATATGCCTATTTTCCAATACTGATTCTTTTCTTCGCATAATTGAGTTGCCGCGTTCGCTACTCCGTACCAGCTCGAGAACTACTGATATGGCCATCTCCAGCTGGGTGTCTCCATAATTCATCGTCTTGCTGTTCTAATATATCCTTTTAGTCAACTTCATGTGATTATATTTTTGCTAGGAAAATTTCAGATATCATACTAAATTGAAATGCTCTCTTGACACCCCCCCGCCTACATCTCAGCAACTCTTGGGACGTCTGTCATAGCTGACCGTCGAATCATCTCAGATTGAGTCTACTATTCACTTCATATCTAAACATTGTCCCTCGTCGCCATCTTTTCCTTGACTTAATGTTCACATATAATTAAGGTAAGTTATCTGCTATGCATGTGATTCCAAATGTTTCTAGTACAAAGCATAAGCTTAACCCAGGTAGGACTGTAGCCAAGCAAGAAAGATACCGTTATAACATTGTGGGATGAGCACACGAAAATACCATCAATAAAATATCTGTTAAGCTTGATCTAAACAGTACGATACGTGTAGGTGATTATGTGAACAACACAACCCAAGATTGGAAGGCAGAGGATTAAACTGACCTGAAATAAATGAAGGGCAACATGGTAACAGATGGGAACGAGGTGGATGTGAGCTACTATGCACAAATACTCATTGACAAGTTCATAATATTAATATACCCATGTCTGAGATAAGTTACAGGCTTGTAAAGGTCAATTCAATGAAAGTTCTTGTCATAATTCAATCGAGTATTCACCTTTATACCCACCTTAGGAATCGTTCATTTGTAGTTTGAGTATAGAAGTTAAATTTAATATCAGCATGAGAGGCTCAAAAATGCTGTAACAGCTAGTTCAAGGAAAGGCTATTCCCCAGCCTTTGGTTCAAAGTTCATAATCAATCCATAGCTCAATCCAATCAGTAACAGCCGATCAAGTAATTTGAGTATTTTTAATTTTTTCAGAATATATTTGCATTTATCCTGACTTATTTGGAAGCTTCTTCCTGATTGGCTCGATACCCCCGATATTGATTGCGCATTGGGCTTCCTAGAGAGTACAGCTCTAGACTTGCAACAACCGGTCGCTGATAATACGATACGGGGTGTAGCCACGGTGTCTGCTTAATTTGTTCTCTGACGCCGATCTCTGAAAGGGAGTTCAATAGTCTAGATTGTGTCAAGAATGAAAGGCGACGGAACTCAAGTGAGTGGTTAATATTTCTGCAGGCGTTCGTTATATCATCCATACGTCGCTGATGATTTGGATTGTCCAGATAGAGTGCCATTTTTTAAGGACGTTCCGGTGCCTCCGTATTGCTTAACTGACTTTTGTATCATCACTTCTAGAGAACATTATTCATTGCCATTGCCATTGCCATTGCCATTTCCCTACTTCTTGATTCCTTTATTTAGCCAGACTACCCTTCAACATCTTGGAGAATGCGCTGCTCTTTCTGTTTTCATAGAGGCGGATAGATACGTACGATAAACAACTATACAATGACTTATGTTGATATAAGTTTGCTGCTCTGGCGGCCGATGGTTAGAAAATACAGAACTGGAGACAAGATCAGGTCATATCTATATTTACACACAATTGGTTAGGGAGTGGATCGTTCTACGGAGTAGTGGCGCGATATAATGGGCATTTGCAAATCTTGCCTATTGCAGCGAACACGAAATGCTGTGAGCACTACTAACTAGGTGGGCAACTGATCGCCCACAACGGGACTTTTGGGGAGATGTCTCTGGGCAATCTAACGGGACATCGACAAAGCGACGACTATTGTGACGGTATGCGATGACACAAATGCATCACAAAGCATAGAACCGTCCTTTTCAATGCTTATTCAATTGCTGGTAAGCAACTCAAACTTCGGCAATTAATCCAAGGTGAGGGACATGTTTGGAGCCAAGCCCGACAAATGTGGGCATACGGATCCGGGAGGTGGGGTAAATGGAGACGATAACGGAGCGAGGGAATGATGACGTTGTGGTGGTGACATGCATCACGAGAATGTGGACGAAGCAATTTATTGCTGGTATGACATGGAGATTCCAGATCGTCTGAGCGATTGAGCAATGATTGCAAGGAAGAGGGTGAAAGGTAAGGAATCAAACCCAAATAGTTGGGAGTTTATGCTGGTTTGTTGCCTATCCTCTTAGCACATCTAAGTCTGAGTCCAGTCCTTAGTCCCTGCTACACGTTTGTCCAGCTCTCAAGGTGCTTGTATCGAAGAGAGGAAGCTCCCGTTCTCCGCATGAACCATGACATCATGGCTTCCTCATGCCACAGCCTATCCGGCTACCTCCTGATTGCCCTGCGAAGCCACACTGGATGCTATCCAGTCATTCTCTGCAACCGGGCATCCTGGATATGAGACACGTACCCACACGGGCAACGCCACTTGCTTCCAACGAATCCCATGGCGTGCCTTGCTGAGGGACCAAGATGAGGAGAAAGAAACTCAATCTCTTCGCATGCAACGGGTTATCTTATTTTTTTTGTTTCATAATTCAAGCTCCATTTGTATCCCGTCATCATATAAATAAAGTAAGGATATCCCGTCAGCAGCCGCTCCCTTCTTATCCCGTCTCACCACCATCCATTGAGATCGATCGACTCTTCTGAAAACACCCAACCCAACATACCACACAAGTGCTGCCCGTCATGCTTCAAACTATCCCCACAGCCAGTCGTCTCAGCGACCTCTTCAGCTTGAAAGGCAAGGTAGTTGTCGTCACCGGAGCTTCCGGGCCCCGAGGCATGGGAATTGAAGCTGCGCGCGGCTGCGCCGAGATGGGCGCTGACCTGGCCATCACCTATTCGTCTCGCAAGGAGGGCGCAGAGAAGAATGCTGTGGAACTGGCCAAAGAATATGGCGTCAAGGTCAAGGTGTACAAGATCAATGTGAGCGAGTACAACGACGTTGAACGCTTTGTGAATCAGGTGGTTTCCGATTTTGGCAAGATTGATGCTTTTATTGCCAAGTACGTCTCCCTTCATTCCCAACAGCTATGATCCATATTGCTAACATTTTTTTCCCTTTCTCCTACCAGCGCCGGTGCTACAGCCAACAGCGGTGTTGTTGATGGCAGTTCTAGCGATTGGGATCATGTCATCCAGATCGATCTGAACGGCACTGCGTATTGTGCAAAGGCCGTCGGTGCTCACTTCAGGAAGCAGGGCCATGGATCATTTGTCATAACAGCCTCAATGTCTGGCCACGTTGCAAATTTCCCTCAGGAACAGACCTCATACAACGTTGCCAAGGCGGGCTGCATCCATCTTGCGCGCTCCCTGGCCAACGAATGGCGCGATTTTGCTCGAGTCAATAGCATCTCACCTGGCTATATCGATACAGGTCTGTCCGACTTTATCGATCCCAAAACACAAGAGCTATGGAGAAGCATGATCCCAATGGGACGCAATGGCGATGCCAAAGAACTCAAAGGCGCGTATGTTTATTTAGTCAGCGATGCTAGTTCATATACAACCGGAGCCGACATTGTAATCGACGGAGGTTATACTACCCGATAGAGAAACATTCTTCTTCCTTTTAACGCGAACTGTACTGTTCGAAACTTCTCTGTACTATAATTATGGCCTTATCGTATCAACAGAGATGAGAAACTTTGAGCAAGGGATCTTAAACTCCCTGTATTCAATTCCCTGATGTGAGATAAACAACGATGAGCTCCACCAGTGAGACCATCGCCCTGTAATGCTTCCTAGACTGCCCTTTTTTTCTCCTTTTTTTTTCTTTACCTCTCTTCTTCTTCTCTTGGACATCTTGCTCTCACATTGGTACGTCGCGCCATTCAAGGCTCTGTGATGAACCCTTGTAGCTGCTTCTACTATGCGGATATGACCCGATGCCGGGGTTTGGCATTTAGCCGTCGCTGAAGTGCCGTTGGCAAATTGCAATAACATCCATCCACAGCATTACAGGGAACAGAAGCACATGCGATGAGGTAACACAATTAATGGTCTAAAGTAAGCAATAAGCAGTATGTTGCAAGAAGAATGGATATCATCATCTCGTGTCTTAGCTGCATTAGACAAGTCCAGCTCTAGACTCCGAAAACTCCGACCGATTTCTCTTTCGCCCTTCGCCAAAAAAAAAAAACCCTTGCCGCTGCGCAATTTCTCATCACTGTTTCCCCGCGATCTGGGCCGTCGTTCCCCCACCGATGGATCTAATCCCAAACATGGGTCACTGACAGAAGTACCCGACAGTAGTGCGATCGCCCCTTCGGCTTCACTGTGGCGTCGGTTCATCGGAATTTAGGACAAGTGCCGAGTAGTCCTTTGGCAGTTCGCGACAATATTACTGTGTTGTAAATGTGCCTCATGAGGGGGCCATGGAATAGTTGTGTGAGGGAACAAACAATGCTAGATACATATATAGAGAATTGAGATGTTCTTGGAAGACGGAGATGAGTGTTGGTCGACGACGCCGATCAGCTATACCAAAAAAAAAAAAAAAAAAAAACCCCATGCCAACTGAATGTATGCATACTATACCTCATGCTAGGGCAATTGGCTTTCAAGCTTCTTCAATAGCCTATATGGGATCTCGCCCCATCTCTTTCCAATTTATCCTGCTTCCAAATTCTGTTTCTCTTCCCTGGAACAGCTTTCCTGGAATAGCCCTTAGACATGCTCTTTCCCCCCGAAGTCCGACGGCTCGAAACATAGTTCGTACGCATCTCGCAACTGCAGATCTTACCGGCGGCATTAAACATTATTCACATGTACTTTACGAAGCACAGACAAGCATTTCTACCCTGAAAACTCCACGGGCCCCTTGTACTCAAGGCGAGCTCGAATGAGCTTCCCTCGCCAAGATACCGTCCACCTACCTAAATGATCGAGACATTAATGTCCCATACGTGATGGCATGGCTATTGGGTAGCATTGGCTGCGGATAGTTGCTGATTGTCTTCCGTCTCTTCCCCCTAAGGCCACGGAAACTCATGATGGGGCCATCGGATAACATAACTATTGGCCTAGGCAGACGTGGTTACCGTCCTTTCTTTACGTGTACGGAGTACAACTATGCATATCGTATGAGCATCGCGATCCACAAATGAGGGGGAGTTACATTCAGATGTAACCATCGTCAAGCTGCGGCACAAGCAATTGGCATACTAGGCACTTTAGACAGGGGTTCATCCATGTGGGTCCGGAACATTGGCCATTAATATTAAAAGCTGCTGAAGGATGATATCAGAGACCTCAAACTTCCATGTCAGCTGGCTTTATCCTGGTAACGGACATCTCCGCCAGCCTCATCATGGTGACTAGGAGCTCTTATTTTCCTGGAATAACAATAATTTTTGGAAGGAATACCGACGGATATTTGAAGCGAATTCCATCTACCCAATCATGGCAAAGATGGAATCACCAGGAACCAACAACCTTGATCGCCTGCTGTGTTTAAGGTGACATAGTGTCTTGAACCTGCAGCAGGCGTTTCCACTTCAAGAAATGATCACTGACAAAGTGGTATTACCCGGAGCTTCCCCCGCCATCTCTACGCTTTGTGAGACCATGAAGCTGCGGGGATGGATAGTAATCTAGGCGGAGCGCTCCTCTGCGAGATCGCTGTCTTAGAATTATCCAACCATGTGAAGATGGCCACGAGATGCCCAACAAAGGAGGTCGGACGATACTACATAAATGGCAATCTCCGCAACATGAATCACCATTGCTACTCACAGGGCGAGCCTCTTCACGTGAAATCCTCCGGGGTGGTACGAGAGCTACCTGCCTTGCTTCCAAGTCCCCTCAGTCGCAGCTTCTTCTGGTGTTAGTGCTCTGTTTCCTCCCATAAATGAAAAGCACATGCATTCTCACAGAGAGTTCAGGCGCTTCGACACCTTGACAACAGTATGCATATTCAACGATTGGCGGCCTCCTGGCCACTGTTGCTTGGATTGAGCCAAGCAGCGGATCAGCACTCATCTTTCGATGTCCTGGATTATATCGATCCATTAATCGGTACTGCCAATGGAGGTACGAGATTTCTTTTTCTAAAATAACCAGAAGCCGGGCTAATGAATTGCATTATAGGCCATGTCTTCCCTGGCGCGAGCCTTCCGTGTTAGTATTCCTCGATGAACATCCTGTCCATCCAGTGCGTGCGGAAAGCTGATTTCGATTGAAAACACAACAGATGGTATGGCAAAGAGTGTAGCAGATGGCAATAAGGAGATTCAAGGAGGCTATGCCTCAAACGATGGTCTGAGTATGCGGCTCCGTAATATATTGTCCTTGTAACAAACGACGGCTGACCAATTTCAATAGTCACTGGATTCTCTCACATGCATGACAGTGGAACGGGTGGTGTAAGTTTTATTCGAATTGCTCACAGAATGCCAGAGATTCTAATTTCCACGCGGCGCAGGGCGCATCTTTGGGAAATTTTCCTCTCTTTGCTCAGACGGGCTGTGTCAATGACGATATCAATCGCTGCTACTTTCCTTCAGCCCTAAGAGCATCAGAGAAGATTAACAGCACAGTTGTGGCGAAGCCAGGCTACTTTGCTTTACAGCTTAACACTTCAGTCAAGGCTGAAATGACCGTCACCAACCACACTGCCTTATACCGATTCTCATTCCCAACTGATGGCACCCCAACTAAACTTCCAGCTGATGGGAAGACGCCCTACAGTCCCCTAATTTTGGCTGATCTAGCTGATCTCTCTGGTTCGCGAAGTGATGCGATTATCTCAGTTGATGCTCACACTGGTCGTATCTCAGGTAATGGTACCTTTAGGCCCTCCTTTGGCATTGGCACCTACAAGCTCTATTTCTGCACGGATTTCCACGGTGCCCAACTCCGCAACACAGGCATATTCATCAACAATCGAGCCGGGAGCGACCGCAAGAGCTTCCGTGCTTATGATGACGGCCAAAACCCAATTCTGCCAGCAGGTGCTTGGGCTCAGTTCCATCCTCCAGCCAATAATCAGATTCTGGCTCGAGTTGGTCTCTCATTCATCAGCACTGATCAGGCCTGCCACAATGCCGAGAAAGAAATCCCCAACTTCAACTTCGAGTCCGTCAGATCTGATGCTGAGGATGCATGGCGCAAGAAGCTTAGCGTCATCAAGGTCGATAACACAGGTGTAAGCGACTCGCTTCAGAGAACATTCTGGAGTGGCATTTATCGTACTCTTCTTTCGCCTCAGGACTATACAGGTAAGATAATTGATGTGCCAATAATTATAGAGTAATTTCTCACCGTGATTGTAGGCGAAAATCCCCTGTGGAAGAGCAACGAACCCTACTTCGACTCGTATTACTGCATCTGGGATAGCTTCCGAAGCACACATCCCCTTCTTACCTTGGTCGACCCTCACGCTCAAGCTATGATGGTTCGCAGTCTCATCGACATATATCGCCATGAGGGCAAGCTACCGGATTGCCGCATGTCGCTCTGCAAGGGATTTACCCAAGGTGGCAGCAACGCTGACAATCTATTGGCGGATTCGTACTTGAAGGGCTTGAAAGACGGTATTGATTGGGATACCGGTTATAAGGCAGTTGTATCTGATGCTGAAGGTAACATTCTTACCCAATTTCACTTTCAATGGCCAGTTGCTGACGCCTATTATTAAAATAGAGGAAGGTCAAATTTGGACTGTCGAAGGTCGTGGAGGATTGCAAAGCTGGAAGACTCTGGGCTACATCCCAACCGATGATTGGGATCCCAATGGCTATGGTCTTTTCACTCGGTCCATCTCCAGAACCATTGAGTACTCATACAACGACTTTTGCATTGCCGAGATGGCTCGTGACCTTGGAAAGCACGCCGATGCGGAGAAGTATCTGAAGCGCTCCGGCAACTGGAAGAACATGTTTGATCCACAATCGCGATCTAAGCTGAACCTAACTGGAACTAAGGACTACAACCAGTTTACCGACAGTGGATTCTCTGGTTTCTTGCAGCCTCGTTACCTTAATGGCACTTTTGGCTTTCAGGAGCCAGCCATCTGTACTGACTTGTACAACTTTGAGGGCTGTTATCTCAACCCAGGCGGACATGAGACCTACGAAGCAGGCTCTTGGCTTTACACCTTTTACGTACCTCACGACCAGGCGACTCTAATCACCACGTTGGGTGGCCCAGATCAGTTTGTCCGTCGCCTTGAGTATATGCACGATACCCCTGGCTTATTCTACATCGGCGATGAGCAAGCTTATCTTCTTCTCTTCATCTTCCACTATGCTGGACGCCCCGGCCTCTCCTCTAAATACGCGCACAAGTATATCCCCAGTGCCTTCAACGACACTACGAGTGGCCTTCCAGGAAACGATGACTCAGGCGCAATGGGCAGCTTCACAGCCCTTACCATGATGGGCCTGTACCCCATGAGCGGACAAGATGTCTACATCATCATTCCACCTTTCTTCCCCGAAGTTAAGTTCACTGATCCACGGTCCGGAAAAACAGCTACCATTCGAAACATCAATTTTGATGCTTCGTACAACAACATCTACATCCAGAGCGCCAAATTAAATGGCAAGCCATACAACAAGGGCTGGGTGACGCATAGTTTCTTTGTCGATGGCGGGGTTCTGGAATTAACTCTTGGACCTAAGGAGAATACGAAGTTCGGAACTGCCAAGGCAGATTTCCCACCGAGCGCGTCAACACATTTCTGGGAATAGACAGGGCGAAGAGATAAGTGAAGTATGATTAGTAAATGCTGAAAGATTTAATCAGTTGATACCAATAGCTGCAACCTAGCAGTGCTGCCTGATCTGTATTCTATTGTACGTGACTTGCTCAGCAACTTGTTGTTAGGATTGAATGGCCAGCGACTATTTGGGAACTCACATGGCAAGCTTGACATTCTTACAGCATTCATGTGCCCAGGCTTATAACGCCATATTTCTTCCAGAATATCACCCCTGGTTGTACTTTACCCAAGACTTCATCTATCTCTGCTTTCAGCACCGAGCTGATTCATTTATATCTCATCTTCTCTTGCCTTTCGAGTAGAAGCTTTTGGACTGTGTAGTTATCTCGTAATTTGGTCCATGTTGGAGGAAGATCAGCCGCGCGTTTGCGATTATATGACACAATTACATCTCCGCATGTAATCCTCGTCTCAAGCAAACCCAGCTTGGTGGGGCGATGGGCCTTTCAGTTCATCATCTATTTTGGGTGCTGACGGACGCCAAGCCGCGATGATCGTCACTAAGCCCACATCCTATCTATATATTACGACGAATTCACATAAGCCTCAAGGAAGGCCCGCAGTGCTACGGAGACTAGACTGTGATATACGTGTATTTATCTCGTGGATGGGGCCTGGACTTTCCATTTATGAGCGAGTCAAGTTTACTTAGCAAGGGAGATGTAAACGTTTATCCATTTCATTAATGCATCGCTGAATGGCTACCAGAGCGTCTATAATATCTAAATGAATCCATGCTGAACTACCTATGCCTTTGCCTTTAATAGAGTGAATTGCTCGCTAAAAGGGAAATCATGGAAGCCCTTATCCAACTTGGGAGTGAAAAACGTCTCACGTTGATACGGCGTGAGCTCAATTCCCTCCTTGAAGCGAAACGGAAGGTCTGGATTAGAGGTGTAAGGACGGCCGATGCCAACAACGACATCGTACTCGCTGTAATCCTCATCGACAGCTTTCTTGCTTGACTCCAGCTGAAAGCCTCCAGCCACAATGACAGGACCAGCGTTGCCATAGGCCTTGATGATTGGCGACAGGTCGTTGCCCTTCTCACGGGACTCAACGAATGAGATGTATGCCAGGTTGAGCAGCTTCAGCTGCTCAACAAGGTACAGATACTGGGGAACGGGATCGTACTTGAGCTCGGCCAGCATATCTGCAAATGGACTGAAGCGGATTCCGGTACGGTCAGCTCCGACAGCTGCAACAACAGACTTAGTCACCTCGAGGGCGAAGCGAGCGCGGTTCTCAATGCTTCCGCCCCAGGCATCTGTTCGCTTGTTGGAGGCTTCCTGGATGAATTGCTCAAGCAAGTAGCCATTAGCAGCGTGAATCTCAACACCGTCAAAGCCGGCGGCAATGGCATTTTTGGCGGCCTGTGTATAGTCCTGGATGTATTGATGAATCTCTTCCTCAGTAAGGGGGCGCGGCTTTCCGCCATTGGCTTCGGGAATATCGCTGGCAGAGACCAAATCGGCACCGCTCTCCTCCTTCAAAACCTCAGCTTTGGCAGCTCGTCCCAGCGCCCACAGCTGGAGATAGATGTATGAACCCTGCTCGTGGACAGCATCGACAGTGTTCTTCCAAGCATCGATTTGCTCTTGTGTGTAAATTCCGGGAACATTGCTGTAGCCACCAGCCTTCTGGGTGATGAAGGTGGCCTCGGAGATGGCCAAAGAGCCAGGAACAGCAGTTCTCTGTGCATAATATTCCTTTACTGTAGGTAGAGGCACATGGTTATCGTCGGCCCTGAAACGGGTCATAGGTGCCATAGCGATTCGGTGGGCGAGTTCGATGCGGCCCACCTTGAGAGGAGTGAAGAGTTTAGACATGATGAGTTGATTACTTATGTCTCTGTGCTTTAGTTGCTACTCAAAGAAAGAACAGTTGATGCTAGTAGCACAACAAGACGAAACACTCTCTTCTTATTGTCCTTTATATATTTCATAATTCCCGCCCTCCGAGCGTGTACCACACATTGCACCATAGTGCAGATTAGAAATCCAAAACCCAGACACAAACCCCACAGCTGCTGTGTAAGTGCTGCACTAGGACTCCATTAGTCAACCCTCGGCATTGTTCCCCCTTGAGTCAACTGGTGTGACAAAGTATGCTGAGATTGAGATATAGCAAGCCACGTGAAGTGAGGTGTTCGATTTAGCTAACTGGGCGAAATATGGTTACATTCATAGCCAATTGAGGTACAGACAAGATGCTGAGGGCTATTGCACGACTCGTAACTATCCTGCGACAGAGTCTCTGATATTGTCACTCTGTGTTCATCTCTATTAGGTGACAAAAATATCTGCTCAATTCCACTTTTTTACGGAATTAGAGGGTTGTTTGGGGTATTGTTTAAGTTTGTCACACTGTTGAAACTTTCTAGATCTATCAGATACGAGTCTGTGCCGAGATAGGGGTTACAGGTGTCCCGCGCCTGAAGGAGTCTCCTCTCATAAAACATCCCATGTACCACTTCTTTTGTCACCCCATATTTACTTGATGAGATGACAAAATAAGCTGTGCAGGCCTCCCTGTCGAGCCTTGGCGCCAAAGTGGAAAGTGGGATTCCATGTGGAGGTAATTTTGTCACTCAGAGTCATAGTTTGGCTATACGTATGAGGTGACAAAAGGATCTGCTCAGATCCACTTTCACTAGCGCTTGGAAAGTAACAGGGATAAGCGCACGACTTAGTACGAGTATTCTGTCTTCTAATTGATTCCATATGACCAAGAAAAAAGAAGCAGAAACAAGTACGCAATTATTCCACCACTCCATCATAATTGGTACAAGCATTGGCAAGGAGCAAGGCAGCGATAAATGCTTCACCATCTTGTCCCTCCGTTGCCATATCTGTTACGAAAAACCCCGGGTTTTTGCTTTTACCTCTCTTACAATGAGGTGGTCTGTCACCGAATCAACCCATGGAGCAAAAAGTCTTCTATTTTAGTCAGTTATCAGCGCCGGTCTAGCTGGCAACTATGAGCGACACTCTTAGTAATGAGCTAATACGCTAACAGCCACAAGCGCCCATCCCAAAATGATAGGATTGAGAAAGAGAGAGAGAAAGAAAAACGAACGTTCCTTGACACCTTTTGAAGATTGTAAAGAGTAGGAACGGAGAGCTGCATACTCGTACAAGTCCTGCGGATCGTTGTTTATCCGTCTTGCAAAAGAGCGCTGTAAGTTAGCACCGATCTCATGAATCTGAAAAGACCATTTATCTGCCAGACGGAAACGGAGCGGAGTGCATTAAGTCATAGCCTCCTGTTGTGGACAACTTTACAATGCCGAATTCCGTATCCACGCACAATACTTAGATACACTAGCTTACAAATTTGATCTTCTCTCATGCGGAGAAGAAAACATGGACTTTTCAAAAGAACAAACAACAATGAGTAATCCGTGGACCAACCTAACGGCTATCAACGAAATGTGTCGCCGACGACCCATCTCAAAAAGAAGGATCAAAAGGTAGTGGGTGAATAGCCTAAAGCAGACTGTCTAGCCAACGATGTAGTGCCTATCCTGCGCCAATTTTTGTTTCATTTTACCCAATGGGAGAACATAGACCGCGCATACCTCGTAATTCACATCAGTAAGATTTAGTTATTAGGTATACTTGATAAATCCTCTCAAAATAATTTGGTTAATGGAAATTTCACCTTCCAGAGATCTCTTGCTAGACTTCACTCGCGTCTTGCATTTCTTTCAAAATTGGAGGTCCAAACTCCGCCGAGCGATCTCCGCGCGCTACGGAGCACACCGACTCGGCATTGTAAATTGAGCCGAGGCTGCGATCATATCGATCAGGGGTGGATAGAAGGCAAAAAAAAAAAAAAAAAAATTAAGAAAAAAGTTCAGTTGTTATTTGTTTATAAAGACGGCAGTTTCGAGACATTGGTTAGTCTATATGCGTCGAATAGATCAAGAGAAAGTCAGCCAGAACTCCAAATCACCATAAATAGTCATCATGACAGTTTCGGAACTCAAACTCCAAGAGCCCATCACGCTCCCATGTGGTCTCACACTCCCCAATCGACTGTCCAAAGCCGCCATGGCTGAAAGCTGGGCAGATAAAGACTATTTGCCTGGCCAGAGAATATTCAAGATTTATGAAAACTGGGCTGATGGCGGATGGGGATCGGTCCTCACAGGCAATGTGCAAGTCGATGTCAGATATCTGGGCAGTCCTGCCGATATGAGCCCCAACGAGAACGTTGATAGAGGGAAAATCCTGGATTCATGGAAAAAATGGGCAGAGGCGAGCTCCAAAAACGGCACTCCTGTGATTATGCAAATCAACCACCCAGGACGACAAAGCCCTGCCGGCGCCGGCACCAGGGGGTACTTTGAGAAATCAATTGCTCCAAGTGCAATTCCATTGCACCTAGGCAATGGCATTCTAGCCAGGCTTGCCAGAGCATTCGTCTTCGGATCACCCAGGGAGATGAGTGTTGAGGACATCCAGCGCGTCGTTACTCAATTTGCAGAGACCGCCAAGCTGGCCGCGGAGGCCGGTTTTGCTGGTGTTGAGCTCCACGGAGCGCACGGCTACTTACTGTCTCAGTTTTTGAACCCTGCGTCTAACCAACGCCAGGATCAATATGGTGGATCTGCCAAAGCTCGCGCAAAGATTGTCGTCGACATCATCAAGGCCGTGAGAGAGGCTGTTCCAAAGGGTTTCTGTGTCGGCATCAAACTGAACAGCGCAGACTTCAAAGACAAAGAGCAGCTTGCCGCTTGTATCGAACAGCTCAAGGAAATCACAGACGCCGGCGTCGACTTCCTTGAGATCAGTGGTGGTTCCTATGAAGACCCTTCAGTAAGCTTATACAGCTCTGCGCTCCAAGCCCCCGTGCATGGATAGTACAGAATAACATAACTGACTTGTTCTCCGCCTAGATGATGCAGGCATCCAGGTCCGCAAGTACTCTGGCCCGCGAGGCCTTTTTCCTCGACTTTGCAAAAGAGATCCGTGACAGGTTCAGGCACGTTCCCTTGATGGTGACAGGCGGCTTCCGGACACGCGAAGGCATGGAGGCAGCGCTTCGTGAGGATGCTTGCGATATTGTCGGCATTGGCCGACCTGCCGCTCTTAATCCTTCATTGCCTAAGAATTTGATCTTCAACAAAGAAATCAAGAACGAAGATGCTAGGGCGTTTACGAGAAAGGCGCCGGACTTGTTGCTGCCAAAGTTGCTCGGCATCAAGGTCATGGCCGGTGGAGCAGAGACTGTAAGTGGTTCCTTTGAAATGATTCATACACTGCGCAGAAAAGGTTTGACTGACTAAAAATTACAGTCTTGGTACATGAAGCAAATGCGGTCGATGCCAACCTCAGTTTAGTGCTACTATCAATGCGGCGCGCGTATTGTTTTTCATCATATTATCATTTCGGAAGGGGTGCCTTCGATACCCCAAAACCTACTTAATCTATAGGTACTCATGTATTACCTCCATCTCCAGCCATACATCACTAGACAGAACATATAATATAACCATGATCGTGTATAATGGCGTCATTTTATCTGCAACCTTCTCATGCGGAGTAGTCCGAATGCAGCCTCCAATGCAACAGTGCTGCTCTATAATCGCCAGGGATATTCCAATTCAGTCAGCACTCGCCTCCCTCTGGATTCTATGCCATTAAACTCTTGTGACCAACGCCTGAACAGTATAACAATGCCGCCATTTTAGCGTTGATGTTGGAAAACTAGGATGGCCACAGGCGACTTGACCTTCACGCGGCTTGAGCTTTATGCATGATCATGGGCCATTGCACCATCGGTAGACTTGGAGGCGCAGTGTTGCATTTTTGATCGGGTACCCGTGTCTATTCACAAGTTGTCTATATGCTTGCTTGTGTAATAAGCTTAAAAGATGTCTGAGCCTACAAATTCTCTGTCGGCATTTCTTTTTCTTTCTCTCCATTTCGTCGCTCATTGTTAGCTCTTCCAATCATGAAAGCCTCTCTATTATCAACGTGGGCACTCTGCCTCATCGGCGCATCTGCAGCACCTCAAATTCAGAAGCGGAGTGACGGGGGATTCTCTGACGGGCAGCCCATCAGCCCAGATGGGAAAGGAGGACCCTTTTCAGGTATACCCTTTAGATTTTACAAAAAAGAAATGAAATTCTCTAACACGAGATGTAAGGCGGCACAAACCACCAGCTGGACTTGCAAAATCCCAATAACCTGGGCGAGCAATCCACCGATAATGGAGTCGTTCCAAATCTCAAATGGAGCTTCTCCGACTCTAGGACACGAATCTTGAAAGGTGGTTGGGTTCGGGAGCAAGTAGTTACAGATCTGCCTGCAAGTCACGACATTGCTGCTGCCCAGCTGCATTTAAAGAAAGGGGCCATTCGAGAACTACACTGGCACCGAGTAGTAAGCATTGGCTTCTTTTATTCCCCAATTTATCTTCGTTGTTATTAATCTCATATGATAGGCCGAATGGGGCATCGTCTATGCTGGCCGTATTACCGTGTCTGCCGTCGATGAGAACGGCCACTATGAAGTCTCAGAGCTCGGTTACGGCGATATTTGGTATTTTCCCAAGGGAGTTCCTCATACAATGCAAGGTCTTGAGGACGAAAACGAATTGCTTCTAGTTTTCGACGACGCAGACTTTGACAAGATCGGGTAAGAGGAACAGCATCCACCCATTTAAATGGAGGAACTCTTCAAAAGCTAACCGTCTAAGCACCACTTTCAACGTTGACGACTGGATCGCTCACACCCCCCGCTCCGTTCTCGCCAAGAATTTTGGGGTCGATGAATCCGTTTTCGATTCCATCCCTCCCGCTGATCCATACATCATCAATGGGACGGTTAGCACGCATAATGTCACGGGAAATGCCCCTTCGCTTTCTGGGGACAGCTCCTTCGTCTACCGCACGCTGCAGCATCCGCCCGAGAAGATTGGCGGAACTGGCGGCGAATTTCGCAAGATTGACTCGACCAATTTCCCAATCAGCAAGACAATTGCTGCGACGTTCGTGACACTGAAGCCTGGTGCTTTGAGGGAGCTGCACTGGCATCCAAACGTGAGTGTCTCGCTCTACCTTTGCCTCACATTATTGTGTCTATGTACAACATCTGCGGTATGATGGACTGCAAACTAACAGCCAGATACATAGGCTGAGGAATGGCTCTACTTCCACAAGGGCACTGCCCAAGCCACCGTCTTTATCGGTAGTGCTGCCGCCCGAACCTTCAATTTCCGCGCCGGCGACACGGCCGTCTTCCCGGACAATTCGGGACATTACATTGAAAATACTTCAGAGACAGAAGATCTCGTGTGGGTGGAGATATACAAATCGGATCGTGTAGCGGATATTCCTCTTACGCAATGGCTTGCGCTTACACCGCCAGATATCGTTGCACAGACGCTGAGAGTGCCGCTGGAGTTTGTGGAGAAATTGAAGAAAGAAAAGCAAGTTTTGATTCAATAGATGCCCAGAACAATTAATCCGTCACGTATTGGATAGCATCGGAGAGAAATATAGATGCATCATCATCAATATCATAATTATTCATTTGCCTCTATCTCATATATACAATGTACACCGCAATTGGGTACCGAGATTGATCCCGCAAAAAAATCCATACCATTTCATTGTACAACTACATTTTTCTTTAGTTCTTCAGCAGAACAATTGCCTCAGAATCCTGGACAGTAAATGTAATGTTACCGCTGCGGTCAGCCTTGATGACCTTGCCCGATTCCTGGCCGTTAACACGCTTTGCTAAACCGTTAGAGTTAGCATCGTAAGAATATCCGTTAAAAGTGACACCAGTCTTGTCGGTGGCACCAGCTGCAGTAAGGCGCTGAGATCTCCAAGAAGATCCAGGGGCAACCTTGACGGTGTAGGTCTGGCTTCCACGGGTACCAGAGCCAGAGTTGTACTGCCTCAAGTTAAGAACCGCGACGCGGCGCAAATCACCGTTCACGTAAGCGCCATATCCAGAGTCCTTGTCAGCATCCTTGTTCAAGGCAATAGTCTTGACGTCAATGGTGTGGGAGTGAGCCAAGAACGTGCTTGCTGCAAGCTTTCCGTAGTACGGAGCATTAGTCGCAAGAGTTCCCGAGGGAACCCAGGCGGCATAAGGTGAGCCCACCGACTGGTGGAAGTGAATTCGCTTGATAACGCCGGTGGAAGCAGCATAGAGGGAGAATTCCATGGCCCAGAGAGCAGCTCCAAAGACGTCAGAGAGACCTGCAGCACCACCTCCGTACAAGCTGTTGTGCTCGCCGATGATGTAGTCGGCATCGAGAATAGAAGTCTTGGCGTAGTTGACGTGGTTGGTAATCGAGTTAACAACGGCAGTGTGGCTCATCAGGGTGTTTTGCAGGGTAACACCAGGAACACTGGCACCATTCATGTAGTTGTGCACAGAGACTTGGGTAATCTTCTCTGTGGCGTTGCCCTCGTCGGGGAATATGTCGGCAATGTGCAGCCTAGCACCAGGAGAACTCAAAGACGGGGCAATATACTTGACGTCGCGAGCAAGCTCGGGGCAGGCTTTGTGGAGGTAGCTCTCAAAGTGCTCCGTTGTGTTCAGCCACTCGTTGGCGTACTGAGAAGCATTGTACGTGCTGGGACGTCTGCTTCCGGTAAACAGATCGGGCTCGTTTCCAACTTCCCAGTACTCAAGCTGGCCTGCAAGCGCCTTGCAGGCAAGTGGCACCGTAGCCTCGAGAGTGTTCCATCCGGATGAATTGTATGCACCGAGGTTGAATTGATGAGAGTAGCGGGTGCCAGCGGGAAAGCCGCCATATGATTCGAAGTAAGTCTTGCCAATGCATTGCCACGCACCGGGATCGGCGTTGGGGCACGCGCTGGCTGTAGAGGTGGTCAAGGTTGAATCGTAAATGGCACGATCACTGTTGAAAAGATTAGTTACGCCAAACAAGGTAAGGAATCTCATCGTAATGTAATCGGTACTCACCCAGAGTTTCCACCAACTCGCACAACGATGCCGCTGCCTTGAAGCTCGGCCAAGTTGTGCATCAGGTTGTGGGAGAAGGCATTAGGCTGGCTCCTTGTTCCTAAAATCAGAAGCAAGATTGTGTCAGTTTACTTAAACATCGCCAACACGATTCAGAAACTCGAGTCCCGGAACTTACCCGCAAATGTAGGAAAGCCAATGAGCTCGAATGACAAGCTCACATACGAGTCAAACAGACTCGCGGCCGCAATCGACTGCGACAGCAGCACAGACGCCGGAACCAAGTACTTTACCATTGTAGCTTGCCTCTTTGTTTAACCAGAATCTACAAAGAAAAAACTGAGTCCAACAATCCTTCACGGGGAGCTCCTGAAAACAAGAAATGTTCGTCCCAGCCCCATATATACAAGTATCTGTCATGTCGTCATGCGATGTTACGTTGTCCAGGCACCCCAACTCCTGAGTCCCTGGATCTAATGCAGGCCCTTCATCTGATGACATGACCAAAGGCTCGCCGGACCCAAGATCAGTTAATCCATCTATAGGAACAATTTTCTTGTGACCGCCGTCAAACGGCCTTGCCTGTTTCAGCAGGAGAAGCTGCTGCCGAGCTTGTTCTATGCGCAGGGATTATCGGTCCTACCCTTGTCCTTTCCCCCACAATCTCGAGGCGTATACCCCGTAGTGCTGATGCGGCCGTGTTCGGATAGAATTTCCCGGCATTGTTGTCAGTAAGGAGGAGTACGCACGAGCTGCCATTGTGTACGAGTCTTACTATATTATTACTATTACTATTTTTGTAAGATGACCAAGTACTCCGTACTCCCAGTGATATTTCGGGGTCAAGAGCAGGATCTGCCTTACAGCTGAGGTATTCGTAAGACGAGGCCCATAAAGGATCGACGACCGGATATTCGGATCGGCTTTCTCTGCCCTAATAGTATCCCTTGCCTCCTTATTCAAATCTAACCATAACAAATCTTCTATTCCCCCGCATTCAAGGCGGCCGTAACTGAGGAGCCTTGGAGCCGTCAATGCTAGGAGCTAGCATGAAATATGGGGTACCATTCCGGGCCGACTAGTGTTGCTCCATGTACCTGATTTGGTTCAACGAGGAAAGCAACAGTATCCAATAATGTCAAGTTCGCTGCAGCTTCAGGCATCGATGGAGGCTTCATCGGGACTGAACTAGACCGTTCGACCGCTGATTGCCCAGAAATTCCGTAATTAGTCCTTAGTTAGTATGGAGCATCCACCCCGCCCATCATACCATCAGATAGGTTGTTGCTCCTCCGGCTAGAGAATTCCATCCCTTGCTTCTACTAGTACCAGACCGCAACTACATCCGAGATGTCAACATAACTAGACTATTGAATCCGGAGACCATCACTCCGGGCACCGTTCGAATTTTGTTTATTCCACTCCAGGCAAAAAGCCGTGAAACCGAGGGAGAACACTGAGTGAAGCCGCCCCTTCCATTCCCATGAACAATATTCGACAAAGAACCCCGGCCATCACGTCTATCATTACGCCGTTGACGACACCAATCCTAGTGCCATACCTTCTAATAATTTTTTCTAACGGAACCTGAAGCATGCCGTCAAACCCAGTGCGCCAAATCAATACCGCCTCCCGCCTCCATCAATGGAAACAAATTTAGAGCAGAATTCGGATCGCTGTCGTTGCCGACGATCCCATCCCAGAATGTAGTGTCAGGTGTATGCAGCATCGACTCCGACAGTCCCAGGAACACGGAATCCATCTCGCCCAATCGTGGAGATGGCCCACTCGGTAAGCCTTGGTGCTGTAGAAGCGATCTATCCATCGAACTGCGGCTCCTAGTCATGGTCGTATCCGGTGTGCTGACTCGCAAATCAATATCCCTCAGCGGTGCCGGAGATTTATTTAAAGGAGATCTTGCATCAGGTGCCACCAAACCGAACAACTGACTCGAATTTTCTGTGCGTCGCATCCGTTCTTGAAGATCCTGCCGTTCCAAATGCTCCAATGCTGTCGTGAGCAATGACTGAGCAATCAAGGAGTATTGCCGGGCATGGGCGTCGTTCTTGGCAAAGTGATCCATTGTTTGTATGGACATTCGAGTATACTTTTCCAGTATACGGCCGAATCCGCCCAAGAGACCAACTCCAAGAACCAACGAAGCGGCAAAAAGCCACGATCTACAAACTATTAGTCCATAATTCTGTGCCCGAAATACACTGAGATTTATATTACTCACACAAGTAGAGGAGCCTTCCCCTTCAACACACCCCTCTCGATCAAATCCAAGACCGGATCCACCATCAAACTTGCGGCGTCGATGCATGCGTCTGCCAACTTTGATCTTCCTGATGCCAATACCGGTCTGCTAGGTGCAGCCGAGCCATCGACGAGCCGCTGAAATAGCTCATACATCAAGAATGGCCGTGAAACAAGCATCACCGCATAGTAGTACGATGATAGCACCTGGCAGGCTCCTGTGACCTGAGCTTCGTTGCGAGCGGCGGGCTGTGCAATGACTTCTTTCAGTAGACTGAGCCATCTCCCAGACCACTCACGCAGCTTAAGGGATATCCCTTCAGTCAACTGCATAGAAATCTTCTTACGCCCGTATACTTCCAAGATGATGTATTCTAGTATAAGGAGGATCTGAACAGAGGCATTGAGCAGGTCAAGCACCTCATTTCCATCAGTGCCTACCGCGCGGTAAGGAACCGTGCAATCTACATCCGAAGTGGCGGGAGGGCGCCCCATGGAGCTGCTGAGAAACAGGTCCAGCACCCGTAGACTTTTCCACAGTCGGTCTCTCTGCTGGTGAATTTCGTGACCAAATCGGGCGTTTACCTCAGTTCGATGGAGGCCAATTGAGTAAGCGGCTCTCGCAGCAATGCCAAAGAAGAGAAAGGCTCCATTGATCTGACAGGAACACAGCATGTAAACCGTAACCAAGATGAACGCTTGCACCGTCTCAACACCAAGACTGTCGCTCAGATCCGTGTACGCCAAATCGCGAGCATACTCGAAATACTGCTGAGACAGCACGTCGTCATCCGCCTGTAGCCCGATGGCAAGAACAAGAAAGTGAATAATAGTCGTCACATTATCTGGCTTGTGGGTCAGATTCGCCCATATCATCAAATCATCCAGCAGCTTCGCGCGGTCAAACAAGTCCACTAAACTCGCCGTTGTCGATAGATACGCCGAAACCGCAGGCGTAACGTCCTCAGGCCGGACTTCGGGCATCCTTGGATCTCTTAATGACCTCTTGGATTGCCGTGCCGGCGCATTTTCCAGGACTGAGAATCGACTCGTTTGCGGTGCAAAGGCATTCTGGCCTACTCGATTGGTCACAAGCCTGCGCACCGATTGGAAGAAGGACAGTGGCGCACAATCCCCGATAAAGGTCAGTTTTCCATGAGCGTCACACAGCAACCGAGCCTCTCGCGGCACTTCGGTCTCGTCCTCAGCCACGGACGACTCCTGAGCCTGGTTCAACGCGGATGCCGACGATAGCAGCCGGTGCCGCCTCTCGCTCCCCATTGCCGGAGACGACACAGAAGCAGGCGCAGACGCAGACGCAGACGACACACCCATCCCAACCACCGAAGACACGCGCCTCGAAGTCGGCGTCTGAGTCGGCGACGGCGACCTCACCGACGAAGCGTCCCTGGTAGACCGATCCCTATCCCGATCCCGCGACTCCCGCACAGACGGCGGCGGCGACCTCGGCAGCTTCTGCGACTGTCTCCGTCTCCTCTGCGGCGAGTAATGGCACATTTGTGCCCTCTGCCGCGCAACACAGAAGCCGCACGGCAGCTTCCCGTCGCACTTGACCTTGCGCGCCTTGCACCCGTCGCAGGCATTGGCGATGCGGCTGCGGATGTAGCGAACGGGCTCTGATCCCGAGCCATGGTCCATGTCCATCTGATAGCAAGGGAGGCGATTGATGCTCGTAGCAGTCTGGATTGGCCAATGCGACGCTGCGGATGCACGGCCGACAAAAAACCCAGTCGCCAGTGGTTTGTTCTACTTCTTCAAGGTGTAAAAGGAGCGGGACGGCGGATGACGGAAGTGCGGATGTCAGAGTTGCTAAATTCTGAGGTTATACGAAGTTGATGGACGGTGGACACAAACCAAAAAGCGGAAGCACTGTGCTAAGACAGACAAGTTAGACAATTTTATACCGTGTGTATATCATCAAAAGCATACTGTAATGCTCAAGGAAGCCCCTCGCCAAAACTGTCTCTTCAATTGCCAAACATGAAGCAGGGCATAGCTACGGCATATATACAAGTAGATTAACATACAAGATTATTACTTACCTAGGCGAGACAAACTCAATCACAGGTATCAGATAAATCGTACAGTATTCATATCATCATCATCAATCTCAACGTGGGCAAAAGAGGAACGCCTAAAAGGAAGAAACACAAAAAGGAATCAGATTTCTAAGCCAGCTCTATGCCACTCATATGCATACAACAAGTCATACACAAAACTTTCGGGCCCATACGCCAGTTCCATGGCCCAGTTGTTCTCCCAGACGCCAATACTCATATATGTCATGTCGTGACCAGAGAAAATGCAGCATACCGTAACGCCGTTTGTTGCTTTATCGGGTGAAAACACAAAAGAAAGAGAAAAGACCAACCCTTGAAGCAGAATATAGAGCGCTGAAGAATATTAAGGAACAGGCAATATATAAAAAGAAAAGAAAGCGATCGCCATCAGTATAGCCGTCATCTTATCGGCATACCTCCTCGGCTATCCAATCTTCGGTGTGCAGAAATACCTGCGGCGGCAGCGCCCGTCGCGACGTTAATTGTGACATGGCGAGGACCCTCCAGGCCAACTCCGTCACGTTGGGCCGCACCGAGATTCTCCAGTCGCAGGTTACCCCCCATGTTCATCCGCCTCGCCTGGCCGGCAGTGAGGTGATTGTCTGACATTAGTTCTGGCGGTGAGCACAACAGCGGCGGGCTCTTTCGGAGCTCCAAGCTTCCCCTGCGAATGCGTGAGATCCCGTGGGTGGTTCTGGCCAATATGGGCATACTGGATCGTGAAGGTGGTCTCTCGGTGGCAGCAGGGGCGATCGAAGTCACCCGTCTGGCAACAGGGACTGAAGTTTGGCCCACGAGGCTCATTCGCCGGGGCTTCTTCGAAGCAATCACGCTACGAAGCTTGCGCATATCAATCGCGCTAGACTCAGAGTCGGATCCAGAGGCTTCCGGTGGGTTGTTCTCATCCATGACCGACTGCAGTTGGTGATATTGGGGACTCGGCCGGGGAACTTTACTAAAGGACAGCGGAGATGAATTGTCGGTCTTGGTGCCATCTACAGATCTCAAAGGTGGCGTTCTGGCCACATCGGGAGAACTCGAGGAGCGGAGATGCATGCTCAAAGTAGGGGGTGACGAGGACACAGGCAGGCCACTACCTACAGATGAGAATCGCGTACCTCTTGAGAGGAAGCCGGCTTGAAACCTACCGGGCTTAGCGATTGAAAGGCTCGGCGCGTCTGACATCTCTAGGCTTATCGAGGAGTCATCGTTTGAAGCATCATCCTTAGTGGCGCTGCTGAACTGCGGCGGGGAGGGAATCTTGCTCTTAGCTACTGGCGATGGCTGCGTAGGAGGAGAGCTGAAAAGTTTCTGTGGTGTCTTCTCAAAGTCCTCCAGCGTTCCGTCCTCCGTCTCATCGTCCCTCCACCTGACCCCTCGGGACTTGACTGCCCGTTTGACCGGCGTAAAACTGACACCCTTCTTTGGCATGCCGAGGGCCTTACGCCGTCTCGGTGATGACTTCATGGGGCTTGCAAACACATGTTCGTTTTGTACGGCCACAATGGCCGGAGGCACAAGTGGTCTGTAGCCAGGCAAGGACTTCCTTTTTCTTAGCGTTCGCCGTGTTGACGGAAGAGCGTCGGGCATAGCAGCCAGAGAACCATCTGGCTTGACCACTTGGGATGCGGCGGTGAGGCCAGTCTGGAGCAGGCGAGAAATGGCCTCTTTGGCGTGCGCCACAGCGCTGTCTTCGCCCATCATCATGACTCCAGAAAGGGAGGAAATCATTTCAAACTGGGCGGTGAGAAGCATCTGCATCATCGCAGCATCACCCGCCTTCTCCTGTTCCAAAACTTCGCGATAGGCCTCGCGATTGAAATCGGACTTGAGAAGTTCAGCCTCGCGTGTCAGGCTTTCAATTTCGCCAGTATCAGCACCCTCGGCAAGCTCAAGTTGTCTGATGCCGTGAGCCAAAGCTGTATCCAGATGGCGCTCCCAGGCCGATTTATCCAGCTTTTGATGAATATGGTGTCTGCTGTTCTCCAGCTCCAGAAGAATCCCCTGCGCAGTTTTTCTAATGGCCGCGAGACTTTGCGGCACTTCTGCCCCGTCCTCCCTCTGGCTGTCAACAGCATCAAAGGCTGCAATCCACGCAGACAGCAGACTGATGCGCCTCTCAAAATGCTTCAGTTTTCTCATAGAGGTGATTCGCTCCTGACGCTCGGCACCTGCATTATCATATGCAGCCCGAAGCCTCTGGGCGGCCTCTCTTGCAATGCCGTCGCGCTTTTCGTACTGCTTTCGGAACTTGGCGAAGCTAGCCTTCTCAGACTCTCTCTGCTGCGCTCTCAGCTCGTTGATCAACGCCATTTGCTCGTCAATCTTGATCAAAAAGTCTTTCACGTGGCGGTTAACATTGAAAACATTGCGAGTGACCTTGGTCTGGATGTTCTTGGCCCTGTTGGCATAACGCAAGGTGTTTTGGGTCTCATCGTAGTGAGCACTCGATGGTGAGACGCAAACAATCATGACAGTCTTGCAGTTGCCGCCCAGAGAGAATTTGAGGAGTCGGGTAAGCTTGCTGTTGCGGTACGGCACGTGTGTCTTTCCTCGTGGATCGCAGAGAGCGTTGATGCAGCCTCCCAGAGCGAGAAGCGACTTGTTGATGTTGGCACCCTCCGTCAGGCGCTCACCCCGATTTTTTGTGACGGAAGCACGTTCGGAGCCCGCTAGGTCGATAATGCTGAGAGTCGCCATCGTATGAGGCTCGTTGACGTCAGCATTCCTGTCCTTTTGCGCAATGTTAATCTGGAGCACGGCATGGGATCGTGACGAGGTTGCGTTTGCTTCTGTTGGTGATACGGTTCGATACTCGTTGCCCTGGACAATCATGTCCATGACCTCTTGGACATCTCGAGGACGATGGCTGGTCAGGCCAGGCACAGCAACTGCCTGGTTGCTGTCCTCGCGAAGAGGCAGGCCAGCCTTGCTGCCACCGGGCACCAGCAAATCTCGGATCGTTTCGTTGTAGATCTCCAGGTAGCTCAGCGACAACTCTGTCGACTTCTCTTGGCTACGTTCCTCGATTTTCTCAAACAGCTCTTGCATCGTCAGGAAGATAATGCCTGGATGCTGTGCTGTGCCGGTGATTGTATGTGTCTTGCCGCATCCAGTTGCGCCGTAGGCAAAAACAGTCGCATTATATCCATCCAAGACGCTATCAAGCAAGCCTCGAGTCGTGCCTTCGTACACCTCGGCCTGCGTTGTGTTGTCGTCAAACACTCGATCAAAGGCAAACACTTGATCTTTTACTTTTTTCGAGCAGGGAACGACGGTTCGGGAGAATTTCTGGACGGGGCTTTCCTCTGGTGGATCGAATATTCTGTGGCAGAAACAAGAGTCAGTCGATGGAAACCCCCACCAATGGCGTTCGGTAAGGATGCATACAGGCAACGATCATCGATTACTTTGATCACATTTCGGATGCCTCGCTGGTGAAGTTTGGGAGTCGGTGCCGAGGCGAAGGAGCCGTCGCCGAGAAAAATCGTGCCATCGTCGTTCCGCTGCCTAGAGTGGGAGTCAGGTTAGCATCGATTCAATCGCCAGGAGTACCAAGCCCTACAATTGAGCAGCTTCCCGGATGGTAAAGGGTCGGACTCGGACTGAGACACTGTCAGTAAGCCGTTGTCTCTGATGGAATGGGCCATGCACATACCGGCCACTGTGATGGACGACTGCCCCGAGTCGGCCATGGTTCACCGCTTCCCTTGCTTGACTTCCTTACTGTCTCAACTCAAGGCTGCCCTGTTTTTTGAGGTCGTGCAAACTGTTGGATTGTTCGACAGAGGTTCAATTCCCAATCTCAACAGGTCGTCAGTGCGCACGATGTCTGGCCAAATCGGTGCCGAGCGATCTAGAAAATCGGTGACCAGGGGAGGGGGGGCTGGCAGAGCTGAGATGGAGAAATGCTAGCAGGACAAGAACAAAGACACAACCAGCCCCGGGATCAGATTAATACGAGCAGTAGTCGCAGTATTTCGTATGAGATGTCGAATAGTCAAACACAATGGCTGCAAGCAAAAATGCAAAAATGCAAAACGGAGAGAGCGAATGGCCCGGTTGATATCCCGTGGAAGCTCAACATGTACGAATAGGACAGGTCTAGCTGGAAAGTGACGTGCCAATCAATCGGGTTTATTTGTTGACCCTTGTCAGGAGGGAAAATGGCAGTGTTGTCGTGACAACGTCTAGCGTCACGGGAAGCTCCACCCGCACCAGCCTAGGAACAAAGTTTCGCTGCAAGCTACCCTGTAAACTCTGGAGATTTGCCGGGATTAGCTTCAAGAAGCGCCAAATCAACAGCCAAGTGCTCATGAGAAAGGCGGTCAGATGGATTACGTAGTATAACAGATATATCATCTTCAGTTGATGAAGTGAAGGTGAGGGCTGGCGGCGAGTCGGTGACGAGTAACGTGAGGAGTGATTGGACGCAGAGACGATGTACGTACTCCCTCTGCCGCCTTTTTACTCTCCTATAGCCTATCAGCTCGAAAATGACTGGCACACGTGGGGTGAGGCAACAGGACAGCATCGCACCCATGACATGGTCAGAACAGGGAATATGTAGATCGATTCGAACAGTAACGCGGCTACAGTACATCGACTTGAATATCTGGTATCTACCCCCCCTCCCCCCCCCCCCCCCCCCCTTTTTTTTTTTTGTACAGAATAAGCTTCATTGTTCCATTGCTTAAGTTCTTCGTCGATGCTGAATCAGTATGGGATGGGCACAACCTGAATATCATTTCCAGCACCAAACAACTGGCGCCTGATACTGGAACGCCGTCATCACACGCACAACGTCAAGAATCTTGATCGTCTAATCTACCCGTATAAAGCCAGACCTCGCCCAAGCCACCTATCCACTCGATACAAAGAGCAAGGAGCATTCGAAAGCTTATGGTTATTATCGTGACGTGGGAATCATCCTAATATCTCCACATCAGATCTACCCACATCAAAGTCTGCAGAAGAATGAAAAAAAATTCCGTTGTAGTATTATACACAATCCCTGACGCCTACCCTTGTGAAAGTGCCTTCAACCAGCATTTGTAAAGCAAGTTCTGCAGCTCGTGTACCCGTTCCCCATCTGAGAGGAGCTCTCCTTTTGCTGCTCAAAGTACCCAATAGCCTTCATGCACAGATATTAAGTTCCAACTGGCGGTATGTACGCATAGCGAGGCAGAGCTGCCATCTTTTCCTCGGGACTGAATTCCGCATCATCGTAGACCATCCGACCCTTTTTGTCCTTGTCTTTTTTGCCCTTGCCATCACCTGCCTCCTCACCCTCTTCCGGCCTCTTCTGCGGCTTGACACCAGCTTCAGCCATACGGATTAATTGATCAATCTCATCGCCAGAAGCGGTAGCTTGAGCTGAGCTACCCCAGAATCCGGCCTGTGTGGGCCGTTGGGGCAAGCCCGGTGCTCCAACCAAACCTGAAGAAGGTCGCGCCGGAAGAGAGTCTGCGGAGAATCCGTAAGCAGCTTGTCCATGCGGTTGTTGTCCAGGGAAGCCGGGCTGGTTGAATGTTTGCTGAGGGAAAGCTGTGCCTGTCTGCACGACGCCGTCCATACTCCCACCACTTGCTAACACCGCTTTTCGCTGAGCGCGATACTCGGCAAATCTCTTTAGGAGCTCCTCCGCTGTCTCAATCTTGATCTTCTTTCTTGGGTTCTTCGATTGGCCGGGCGGGGGATTGCCAGTGGCAATTCTGCGGTCCTCCTGCGCCTGGTAGAAGTTTTGGATGATGCGATTCCGATGCTGTTCGAGCACTTCTTGTGGAATACCCTCCATGCCGAAAATTTCGACCTCGAGTCCTTGTCTATTGGGCAGCGCATTTTCAACCTGGCTGAGCGTCTCTTTGTGAACCTGGTTCAAGTGGACGGAGAGACCTATGAGCGTGCCAATTGTTAGCCAGTCTCCTCTCCCTCGCTAGCGAAGCCGAATCAATTCTATCCGGTAAGAGTCGCACGATTAGAGACGTACCTCCCGCAGTGTTTAGTCGTCGGCCACAACGGTCGCATTTGAAGTGCTTGGCCTTTTGGTGGGAAATGAGGAGCTTCAGATCTTCGAAATCACGCTCGCCTGTGGAGGAGACAACGGTTAGAGGTGTGAAAGACGAGACGCCTCGGAGCAGAGGGATGGATTGTGCACACACAGTAATAACACCATGGTCGCGAGAGGATTTCCTCGACATCGGGATGGCCGCGCTTCTTTTTGCCCATCTTGGTGCACTGCTCTTGAAGCGGAAAACAAACAACGGATGCGGCGCGTGGATTGCCGGCTGCAGAACTGATAGCCCGGAGTTTGGACGGGAGCAAACGCGACCGAGAGAGAGTGCAATGCTGAGGATGGACTTTGTGCTGTAGCGGTTTGGATGTTGGAGCTTAGTGGTTGTGAGCTCACTGTTGGCTGCGGTGGATAATGGGCCGGTTGAATTTCGGGTACAGGTAGGCACATATCATGGGTGACTTACAGTGAGGTGCTCTAGCCTTGGGCACTGTACTGTAATTCCCCAAAGTGCCCAAGACATTACAGTTGAGGTAGAGGGAATACACCAAATATTTCAGTATGGACCTACCTTATCAATGGAAGCTGAGTTGTTCATGTTCGGACGGAGTGCAATTGCATGCATGGGCTCTTCAAGAGAGGCCACAGGTACCTGGCACCAGACTCCAGCGATTCCAGTTCAAGTGTCAGTGAGATGGATGGAGAGGAAGCACTGCTACTACCTATCTGCTACCCACTACATGTACATGTGCCTTTTCTGACGACCTCGCTTTACACGAAGAAAGTCCATGGAGACATCTTAGCATTTTAAGCATGATCGAAACTTGGGAGGAGGGTTTTAAAGCATTTTCTCGTATTTTCTGCGTACCGCAGGAAATTCACCTCGAGACCTACAAGAGACCAAAGGATCTGGGAGTAACCCACGACTTGATGACGATAACGAATACTTTACTTAAGATACCCGTGCACATGTTTCATCCATCTTGTATTGCTAATGCCCTAGCAACATCCATATTTGCTCAATTCCAACAGTATTGATCCCACTGCAAGCCTTCACCAGGCCCTAATCTTCCAGAGACAGCCTCAAGATGCTCTTCTACCGTTAGCAATAATTGGGTCAGACAGAGACAGACAAAGAGCGTTACCACTTGATGGCTCTCACATGAGAGTACATATGAAGCGACTATTTTGTTCATTCTTATGAGTTCTTGCAGCTTGCATCATCAATATCGCCAGAAAGCAAATTCCTTCGCGCATTATTATATGTGGCGTCCAAATCATCGGCCCAGATCCATCGCATTCGATCCTGCAGAGTTTGTTTTAGACGTTCCTGAAACATCGAATCTTCAAATGTACCTGATTTAATGTGTAAGTTATTTCCGTTCTCTCTCGATGTTGCCTGTACTCTCTGTGCCCGGGGAAGTCGAACTAATTGGTAGACATTTGTCAACCAATCATCTAGAGTGCGAGAGCTTGGGTCATTCAGATAGTCCTTCAAGCATTGCCCGAGGATATACCCATCTTCTATGGCTTGACCAACGCCAGCACCTCCTAACTGTCAGTAGATGATGCTCAATATGTCTTACAACGCATACCTTGATGGGGGACCATAGCGTGGGCTGCGTCCCCAAGCAGTGCTACTTTACCATTCGCAAATACCCACTTGTCACAAAGAGGTCGATCATACAGGATCCATTTGAGTGGATTTTCGTCCAAATGTTGAATAAGACGTTTAACCGTAGGGTCGAAATCCGAGTAATCTTTCTCCAGATCGAATCTGTCCCCTCTCAATGTCCAGCTTTCCGTCTTTCTCTTAAGTGATTTGCCATCAGTCGCGACGAATGCTCCAATATTCAACAAAGCTCCATCGCTAACAGGGTAGACAATAAAGTATCTGTTGGGACCAACCCAGATGGGTGAGTATGTGTCTAGGGGCCACCAGTCCTTGACAGCAGTCGTTGGAACCAAGCCTCGATATACAACCATCTCTCCCAGTTGGGCATTATCGTTCTAGTAGAATTAGTTCTCAATGTAGTGTTGCATGCGGCTTTGGTAAATGTAGCGTACATGGTAGTTTTGGCGTATACGAGAGTGAATGCCATCAGCTGCAACCACAAAGCCTGCCGTAGCCATTGTGCCGTCTGCAAAATTCAGGACGATGGCATCATTATTATCCTAGCGCTGTAGTATTAGATACAATTTACAGCAGTCTTCGGCGCGTTAAACGGTCTTACCTCTATTGTCATGCATTTTTTGTTGGGATGAAGAGTTGCAGCTGCTCTGTCTTTAATCGCACGTACGAGGAGAGCCAATAACTCGGCTCTGTGTACCGGAAGATGTGATGGTTCGTCACCATCTGCCTTGATTCTCACAATCTCTTCACCATTGTCGTAGCGCCGAGCCGACAACCAGATATCAGTCTTGCCCGCTATCGCAAGGATTTGTTCATAGAGTCCAATTTGTTTGATGACTCTCAGAGTATTTCTGCCAAGGCTGACACCTGCACCAATCTCTTTATACTCTAGAGCCTGCTCATAGACATCAACTTGAAGTTCACCTTGATCGCAGAATGAATGAATGCAGAGGGCTGCCATCAGACCACCAAGTCCTCCCCCGACGATGGCAACTCTCAAAGTCTTGGAGGGTGCAGACATTGTTGTAAATTGAGATACTTGTCACTTCAGTTAAGGGTTGTTCTTATTTGCCTGATGGTCGATGGTAGCACAAATAACGTCTGTGAGTTTTGAAGAGAGAGGGGCCTTTTATTACAGAAATACATAGTTGTAGTGTAAGGTACCATACTGGTCCTCGAAGGGTCTTTCCAAGCTCACTGTATCCTAGAAGCATCCTCTTTGACACCCAATTCGGCTTCCACGGCGCTACCATATCCATATTTACCTCGTATACCCCCTGTAAGTCTTATTACAATCATGAACGGCTTCTTCGGCATCTGAGAATACTCGTTTATATGGTGGTTGGACTCGTCATCATTTCATGAGCCCGATGTCCACAGTGCTAATGTACGATTCTGCCTTACAAGTACTATAATTGCATTACTTGCTCTGATAATCATCTGCAACTACGATTAGAAATGCACACTTGAACTAGCGCTCCATCGAAAATACCGATCATTGACGTATCTCTGCAGCAAGGACAGCCGCTCCAACAGGAAAGACAGCCGATAATTCTGCCCGCTACAAGAACTGTAATAACTACGTTGCTCTCTCTAGCAGTAGGTCGATCAATAGTATGGAAGGCGTATCAACTCTTACAAAACACTCAACACTGTGGTTACACTGGCTGTAATACTCATTATAAACCGCAATTAAGACATATTTATTTACAACAATAGCCATCTAAAGGTCAATCCTATAGAATAAATGTTTCAGGTCGTTCTTTAGGTTGTAGTCGAAAGAAAGCCTTCGTAATTAATCCTGGGAAGCCAGAGTTGTGCTGACCCATAATTATCTCCGTGTGGATTGCGATAGCCTTCGAATCCGGTACCCATGGTTGTGTGAATAGACTCACGTGTAAGCTGTAAACCTCGCAGCGGGCGGAGCTTCGATTAGAAAAGAGCATGTGTTCGGATTCATGTATGTAGGGGGCTAATTGTGTTCAGAGGCGAGACGTAGCCCAAGACCACCCTGTTGACAGATCACCTGAGACACATTATGCAGCTATGCTAGGATTGCTCACCAACGTATTAGCCTTTAAATGAACCAGGAGGCGAAATAGCACTCTTTGGAAGTATAAAGAGGATGGTGATCACCATTGAGACTTGACTTGTCATGGTCTCTTCACTGCCTTATTCTGGCTATCATAATATTCTCACAAAATGGAAAAACAACTTCGTCAGCCTGGGATTTTTGGGCAGCTCGGCTGGGATACCTACACTGTAGTTGTTCTCGGGTTTCCAAACCAGCCTGGAGTGCAGCAAGATGAGGTCATGACGGCACTTGACAAGGCTGCCATGAAGCTTCTGGAGGCTTTTCCATTCCTCGCCGGTCAGGTCGTCAAAAGAGGGCAGTCAGCTACGAGATCCGGTAGATATGAAATCATTCCGTATCCGCCTCATGATGGAAAATCTCCCGTACGCCGAAAAGACTGTACCGAATTATGCCCTTCTTACGAACAGATCCTCAGCGCGAATGCACCTTTTGCCATGCTAGACGGCGATGTCCTATGCCCCAAGAAAGGCATGGGCTATCAGTATTCTGAAGAAAGCGAGCGACCAGTCTTCATTATACAAGCCAATTTTATAAAAGGAGGACTGCTTCTATGCTTCGCGTCTATGCACAACGCTCTTGATATGAACGGACAGGGCATTGTCCTCAAGATGTTCGCTACCGCTGCACGTGGGGAAGAGCTGGATGTGGAGCTGGTAAAGGCAGGGAATCGAGACGCTGACACCATTGTGCCGCTGCTGAAACCAGATGAGATTGGCCTTGATCACAGTGACCTGAGAAAGCCATCATCCTTGGGGCAGTCAGGCCATCACGGCGCACCGGGTAAAGCTCCGTGGAATTACTGGCGCTTCCCGGCCGATAAACTTGCAAAGCTCAAGGAAATTGCTTCGACTGGGCGTACTTGGATCTCTACAAATGATGCTATTACGGCTTTCTACATCCAGCGACTTACTGCGGTCCGCTTGGCTGCGAACCGCGTGGCAGCAAGCGAAGATGTTCACTGCCTTCGAGCAGTTGACGGGAGACGAAAGCTAGATCCACCAGTCAGCGAAGGATATCTTGGCCATCTATGTGGCCTCTCTGATACAGCTTGGCCTACGGCTCGTGAGCTTGTTGATGGTTCGCTTGCCGATGCTGCTATCAGTATTAGAGAATCACTCAACCGGATTGACGACCTCTATATGCGCAGTCTCGCGACGCTCATTAACAACACAGAGTATAAGACTACAATCTTTTATGGAGCCAAGAAGAGACTTGGAAAGGATATATTAATCTCATCGTGGGTGCAGCTGCATTGGCTAGCGAGCTGCAGCTTTGGTGCGGCGATTGGCGTGCCCGATTTTGTCCGTAGAGCTAGGTTACCGGAACTTCCAGATCTAGTGTACATGATGCCGAAGAATAAAGAAGGGCACATGGATCTTGGTATGAGCTTGTTTCACGAGGATTTTGTTGGTCTAGCGAATGATGCAATTTGGAGAGATTTCACTGAGTTGATCGGCTAGGATGTGGGCAACAAGACAAAAAGCATACAAGAAAACTAAACCGCTGTAGTGCATGTTTAGATAGATTGAGAATGCTAAACTATACGCTTTAAAAAAGATTGTTGAAACCTAAACGAGAAACCGCTTCGCGGCCATCTTTTGCCATAGCTCTGTTGGGTGAAAGAAAGCTTTGCTGTAACCGTAGTATACGGGCTGACGATGCACTGAATGGACACAGCCGCGGAACAAATACGGCGCATGTAATAGCCTGGGAAACCGAGGTTGAAGAGCGTCTCAGACAACGAGAAAGACACAGAGCCTGTTTCACGGAGTGTCATGAGAACCTGAGTGTCAAGCTGTCAAAGGGAGATGTTCTTTGAGAGTTCACCATCGTAGGCTGGAGTATTCTAGAAGGCGGCCTCCATGCGGCGAAGATCGAGAGACAATTGTTGAGCGGCGAGCAAGCCATTACAGCTTGAATCCTAATCTCCACCATGTCGTAGAAACATCGCCGACGTACGAGCGTCACGTTCGAAGCGGAATGCCCGCTTTGTATGGCGGCACATGCCTGCAGTAATCGAGTATAGATCAAAGTATAATGTTCGCAGCTGTCCTTCCAGACAGATATACAGACGGTCGTTGGTATACTTGGAACAGGGTCAAGTCTCCGCCTCAGTCGCGTGAGCCACCTCATTCTTTTGCATCTCCAACTCCCGAGCATATTCACCCAGCCTGTGAGCTGACAATCAATATTCGTTATAAACTATAAAAATGGTAACAGTGCTGTTATTTATACATTTTGTGCTTATCGATGATGTCCCCAAGTAGTCGGAGGGCATTTGCGTATGGGGGTATATTATGACAAATCATGCTCTCCGCCAAAGCAACAAGGAACTGCTTAAGAACGACTTTATCCGACTTCAGTTCTCTGACGTCTGCGGAGACTCCTAAGCACAATGCACAGCTAAGCGCAACGTGAATGAAGATCCACGACCGTCTAATAGGGCAGTTCAAGCTGAGAAGCTCGAGGTATGTACGCAAAACAGAGCGGCAACGGCTCATATGAAGATTGTTAAGTTCTTGATCATATTCATGATGGCCTGACAATATAGCGGGACGACACAAACATAGCATGATCGAATCTGAGAACATTCGAAAGAAGAAGTGCTGGAAATAATCAGCCTTGTTCTGACATTTCGTCACATCTTGTATGTGAGGAAGTGAGCGGGTCTCAATTTGGTTGATCAGGTTCTTGAAATCGAGTATGTTTAATAGTGGTAGACGCTCTTTTGCAATTTTTGCACCGTGAAGAGCCTGGCCGATCTTATTCGCAACCATAAAGAGATTATGGCAACTGTCCAAAAAAGAGTCGAAGCGTTTTTCGTTTAGACCAGCCGGAGCAGTTATTGCTATATCTTCGAGGATAGTAATTCCCAATGGTCGGGCATAACACAATGAAATTAGTGTATCTTGCCACATTAATGAGCGCCTATATCATAATTGTTGATGTTAGTGAGGAGTTTGAGCACATTAATGATACATCTCACCAGATATGTTTGTGAACAAGGGTCTCATCTCGCTCGTTCTTGTCGGATAAACCTTCTGGGTCCGACGAACAATGGATCCCAATGGTCTGAGCAAGTCGTATAGCCAGCCCTAAGAGCACGTTTTGTGTAAGCATGTTATATAAAACGTGAAGATGCAACTAATACACGTACCGAGTAGTGACCAAGAAGCACCTGCATCCGCCTGGTTTCTGAGAAAGTTGACCAACAATATCAGTGTCTGGATAGTCTCAGTATTAGGAAAAGAGAGAAAATTGCTGAATCGCAGGCATTGGAATGCGCAGCAGGCTAAAAGCAAGTTAGACTCGCTCTATATAAAAGGCAGAAGGTTCTTAGTCTTCAATATGCGTCTCACCGAAAACACGAGCTTTCAGTATTTCAGAATCTATGTCCGAAGAGGCAAGTTGTACCCCACATGCTAATATGCTAAACAGAAGGGCAAACCACGAGGGTGTACAGTCTAATGGAGGATTCGACAACGCATCTGATCTTGACTTTGTTCTTTCACAGAGAAACTGCGAAAGTGTGGCTTCGAATTGCGGGAATTGTATTATTGGTGGCAAGAGACTGAACAAAGATTCCTGGCAAAACCGAAGATGACTTCGAAATCATTAGCTGTAATAAATGCTGAACTAAGAAAAAAAGGTCACTTGCCTCAATAAAGCCTCGTCTTCAGGCAATGCACCATAAACTTTGTCCGGGCCATCTTCAGGTGCCCAAATATTCGTGAAAGGAAACATTGTGCTCGAATCTTGAAGGCACAAGAGCTCAAAGACAGTCTGCGGGCTTGTTGTTGGCCCAAGAGTCCACTTCTTTTGAACCGGCTGTGGCTGGTCCGCACTTGTGGTTTGGTAAATGGAGACAAGACTGGGAAGGGACTCATAGCCCAGATGCACCCTAGTCTTGTAGGCCGAAAGAGGGTCCAGATAGAGCCCTTGATCCATATTGACACTTTCTGTCCTTTCATCAGTGACACTAGATGCCTGCTCTCCGTCGCGGGTGTTCTGAGATTGGCCAAGTCGCTCTCCACCAAGACTTTGGACGCTATAATCGCAAAGATCTGGGTGGCCCCGGATATTACAACTACCACAAGGTTGCTTGAGATTACATTTGACTTTTCGTCGCCTACAGGGATAGCACGCTTTGGCTGCACGGAGACGACGTCTTGAATAGAGTAGCATATCAAGGTCACGCGCCGGCATGTTCTTGGTCCCTTCGCCGTTTGTTATTCTTGTAGAAGGTTGTGTTAGACGCGCTAATAATGATGATGAGTTTTGAATAACATACTTCTCTCCCATTCTCAAATTAGTGTGTTTATCCTCTAACGAGCCGATATAAAGGGAGATGCGTTTCAAGCTTATCCGCAAACACTGCTCAGGCGGCATAAAACAACGAGACGCGGTCAACTCCGAGCTCCTTCGCCAGGATATCAATAAAAACACTAAAAATAAGAAAAATATGAAGCGTTTCCTGATTAATATGCAGTATGAGCATGTTTGAGAAACAGCAATGAGGTTGTTCCTTATTTGGCAAAATCTAGATGATAACGTGTCACCACGTAGGTTAGTAGCCGGCAAAGTAAAGGATCAGCAAGCCCAGACAGGAATAAGCATTATAGAGAAAGCGGGATAGTGCGACTTTTTTCTCAAAACGCAGACAAGTATTGGCAAATGGTCATGTGGCTGCTGTTTCATATTGTCAGACTGAATACAAGCCAAAGTTGACGCGGAAGCTAGGTCAAAAGAATAGAACTGTTTCTGAGTCGCTGCCAATTCACCCCCTCTAGCACGCCGTAGTTTCCGCGGTTGGCGCTGATATTGAACTCGTTGACAAAGGTGAACCTACACACTCTCCCATTAATGCGTGTGCCGTAGCTCCTCCCTAAGCTAAGCTCTGTTCCGCTATTCTAAGTTAACCCCAGTATCCTGAGCTTCTACTATCATTGTTGATTATTCTAACTTGTAGGAATACAAGGAGCTTATGTGGAATCCTTGCGAATGGCGATTGCGGCCCGCACGGGCTGATCACAATCTTAGCGTTATGTGCTGCGTAGCGAGCTGGATCTACTCCTCGTACTCCGTATTAGCCTGCCTACCTGTACATATGCGACGCATCTAACACGGGGTTAATTGTGGAACATCTGACAGCATGTGTTGGCCCCACGCCATAATGGCACAGTCGGTGAATACAGCGGGCAACCTTCCGGTAATGAGGCTACATGGATGTATTTTACAAGAGTAAGAGGATTTCTATAGAATTCGAGGACACTAACGCGACAATCTGTTTTGTCGAATTCGTCATTGCGGGTACGGGACTCTGGCACAGCAAATAATGCAGGGGCATCCCTAAGCGATGTTCCGGTCAAGATTTGAAAGCAGTGAATCACCATGTCAAGGGGTTGGGAATCAACTTGAACGATTTATAAGCATCATATGTGAATCTATGGTTGAGTTCCGTGTAAGCATCTCCTTCGGTGGACTCCCGGCATATCGTCCTTTCGACATTCGTCATGTAGTATCATCGTAGAGTGGCATGCGGAGCTCGCCGTTGAACAAGAACGTACAAGTACAAAATCCAAGTTCGTATTTGCCCCAAGCATAACCCGATGTATGCCATGCCAATCTTACCTTGGCTCTACAAACGTCCCCCCAGCGCCAGACACAGATGTTGTAGGGTGACAAGTGCTCTTATACCAATGCAGACCGAAATGCCGATGGCTCGCAGCACGATATACACATATATACCAACAACTATGAAAGCGTGTATCCATAGTTACTTGACAGACGGCGGGTGCTGCACTTCTTTGCAAACACTCCCTAATACCAAAGTCTTCATTTCATACCGTAACCAGCTTTTTACATATGACCTCTCAACTCAGACTGCGCTATCATCCATTCAATACCTTCTCGTAAATCATTATCCCAAGCTTTATTGGCCGGACAATTCGGAAATCGACGAAAGAAGTGAGGATATCCTGGATATATATGGAGCTTGGTCGGGATACTAGAGGTGGGAAGCGAGTCAGCAACAGGCGTTCACAAAAGAATCCCTATTGAGTAGACAGACAACTTTACTTACTGCAAACGATCAAGTTTCTGTTTCATGAGCATGCCATGGTCGCGGAGAGGATCCTCACCGCAGACCATTATATGAGAGGGCGGCAGATTTGTAACAGCCTGTTCGTCAAACAAGAGGGGATTGATCACTGGGCAGTCCCTATGCGACTCCGGTGTATCCAGCATATCCCCGTATTTTATAACCCAGCTATATGGAAGTAATGCCGCATCTTTGCATTGAATTGGTGAAGCTTTGTCTGGGAGAATCTGTTCGAAAGGAAATTTTTCAGGTAGGCACAGCCATGGTACACAGAGGCTTTGGCCCTTGATAATTTCCTCACCTGCCTAGATGGGACATTAGAATGCTGCTCAAGTCTTGATAGCATGTTGCAAATGAACAGGATACGAGACATACCATCCTCTCACGAATAACAAGGCTTGCAGCCAAACACGCACCAGCGCTGATCCCCATTACATAGAGATTGAAGGTGGGAGAGAGCCCAAGAGCTTCTGCATTCTGTATTACCCAACAACGGACATCCCAGGCATCTTGAAACTGCGTTGGTGCCTTCCATTCTGGTGTCAGTCGATAACCAACACTGACCACAGTAAGTCCACAGCTCCGAGCCAAATTCATGCACGCAGCGTCGTCTGTAGACAGCGATCCGGAGAAAAACCCGCCACCATAAAAGTATAGCAGGACTGACGCAGGACTTCTCGGCTTGGGCGGATTATACAGTCGAACAGGTATTTCGAGATAGTCTTGGGTGATAACCATCATAGTTTCGCATTTGACACCATGGCCCTCCATCGCTTTCAACTCTTCATTCCTTGAGAGGAACCTCTGAGAATTGATAGTTTGGCGAATGGCTTTCATATCGAGGTTGGCTGTAATATTTGGCCGGGGCGGTAGAGACAACTGCTTCGAGAATTCTAGCCATTCTGCAGAGGGACCGCCAAGTTGACTGAAATCCGCCATCCTGAGATGTTGGTGCAAAGTGGGAACAAACCAAGAAGATGTAATACTCAGGGTTATCCCCTGGGGTTTGGTATATTTGAGAAAGAAGATGGGACAGTGACGCTCTTAGTGACGAATATGCAGCTATATGTCCGAGACAAACACCCTGGAGTAGACAGCGTGAATTGGACGACTGCCATTCTTCCAATTCCGGTAATATTATCTCCGGACTTACTCGTGAATGGAGACAGGTTGATTCCAGTCACCGACAAAGCCGGAATACGATTATTTAAGTCCGTCATGCATAGTTAGGGTAATTCTTTCACTAGTCTAGTGTGTGTTGGCAATTCACATGCATCGGCGTGAATGCAGGGTACATGTATTCGCAGTAGATGACATGGACAATCACGGTCGCCAGTCAAGTGACTCGCACTGCATACCCTAAGCCAAATGCCACCCCTCCAAGTAGAAATTCTTCATTTAGTACAAACTGAGCTTAAGTGAAGTTAAAGAGGCGTGAATACTTTAGATTGCCAGAAATCAGGTTGTGTGCTAACAGATATCGCATCACCACACGGCCCGTAACAACTCAAAGCCGCACCCTCGCATATAGGCTTGAATCCAGCGGCAATAAGACGCCCGCCTCTCTCATAGAGCGATAAATGCCAAGAGTTCAACGGTAACGCTAGACAAAATTGCCTGTTTGAGTTGTTGGAGGGGTGTGCCAACTGAGCTGAAAATCAGGCCGTGAAGCCACCTTACATGCAAGGGAGATATTCCTTCCCGCAAGTATTCAGATTCTTTGGCTGCTGAACGAAAGGAGTGACCAGCTCATTTAACTGCGACTACTTTGCACATTTGAGAAAAAATGACGGGCGAGGACGTACGTGGCCATTATGTTTATACATGGTACCACTGCTGTTGCGCGACAATAAGGATAACTGCGTGTATGTAGTGAAGAATAACTCCAGCTGCCTTGGCATATACATGATTTAATAATGCAATAATCTGAGCAGCTTCCGATAGATGGGCTTCCTTGTAATAGCCACGATACCCGTTAGTAGCCATGGGGTCTTACACTCAGCCCCCACAAACTTGGTATAACGAAATGCCCGACTCACAGCACTGGTTGATCACTCCCTTGATAAAACGAGATCTCAATCTCATTCAGAAAATTGGGAGATCGGAGCGCCATTACTGGTGGCCTTGCGTCTGGAAGCATCCACGATCCGAGCCGAACCGAAATGACAGCTGCCTATTCCAACCCGACTTGTGCCACGCAAGCCATAGTCTCAGACACAGAAATTCAGGACGGCCCTTTCTTGATACATTCAGGCTACGGGCCTTCCCTGCAGATACGGGATGTTTCTAATTGGATAAACCTCCGTTGCGCTCGATATGCGAGACATTTGCGCCCCCTTCTCGCATCCACTTATGATGCCCAAACTCGTCGACCACTTACAAAAGAACAAGGCCTTTCTCCGAGGGAATACTATTCAGATGAGATTTGTTCCAGTACAGGGTCATCGGGAGGATCCTAGCGTGTCTTTCATCATCTTGGCACAATCACGCCTTTACCGACGCTTTGCGAGACCGGAACTGTCATGTTACGACTTCTTGTATGTCCTCATTTGGCAGGTTTCATTTGCTCCACGCATCCGAAAGTACGGATTTTGGGCCTCAATGGCATAAAATGGAGTTTTTATTAATCTCGAATCAGCATATCCCTTACATACATGCGGAGGGGCGGTGTATCAAGCAGTTTTCTTTTTTACGTGTTGTTCATGACGCAAATGTGTCAATATCAGGCGGATGACTAGCCCTTTTTCGTGTTCATACTTGTAGCCACTCATAACATTGCTATCCAGGGATATACCACGAATAGACGAGTAATAGGAGAGAGTAAATATGAGAGAAAGAGAGGGAGAAGAAAAACTATATAATGCCAGGCTATAGACCGAGTTAAAGCCCGTCTAGTTCCTCACCAACCTTTATCCTTCATCCACGAACCCAAGAGTTCCAGAGTTGACATCATGAAGCATTCATTCTCTTCACTGACCGCGTTGGTCTTAACATTATCCACATCAGTTGCTGCCTCTCCAACGCCTCAACTGGTACCTGGTATCGTCGATACTACCACTTGCCTTGCTGTAAATGTCATCGCCGAACTTCTTCTTGGAGACCCCTTGGCTATTGCCTTTTGCGCTGTAAGTGATCACCTAGCACGTTAAATTCCAAATGAATCGGACTGAAATAACTAACACGAAGCCTCATACATAGGCCGTAGTTCCCCTTCCCTCAGTCATCAGGTCAAAAACCACTACCGTCGTGCGGCCAACTACCGTGACTGTGACGACGACCATCCCCAACGCAGTCCGTCCTACCATTACAAGCCACACCACTGTGTATGTATGCGCCCTTCGTGTATATCTTCCACTACATCAATCTAATATCACACAATCACAGGACTACCACCATCAGCTCTTGCACAGCCAGTGCCACGCCATTCAAGCGACACTTTGCACCCGGCGATGGATACATTCCGCCAATCCCAGACTGCGTCACCCAATACCCGACTCCAGACATCACCGAGGCGTGTAGCTGCATCAGCCTACCAACTCCTACATTCACATCCACCAGGACAGTCACCATTTCTCCCACAATCACTATAACCAAGACTACTGGTGGCCGTGTCGGAGGTGTCCCAGTTGTAACGACGTCCACAGCTACGCGGACCATTACAACAAGAGCTTGTCCCGCACCCTCTCCTTGCGGAAACCAGGGCATCGAATTCGCCTACTATGAAAGAACCGCCGGTGGTGAATTTGCAGACTTCCATCCCGAAGAATATAAGGTATGTTACCAAACACAGCGATTATTCGCCTCCCTCTCGATTCCATCAGCGCTAATACGGGCTTCACTACATAGACAATCCAGCCCGATTACCAAAACGTCACCAACGTCATCGGCGGCATCAGCTTCCAAGACAGCGCCCCAAAGAGCATCTACGGCTCTCCTCCGCTCCCCGAGTCTGACTTTGTCCTTAACCACCGCGGCTACATTTACGCTCGCGAGACAGGCACCTACACATTTACCCTTAACCTGGTTGACGATGCCGCTTTCATTTGGGTCGGCGCCGCGGCCTACTCTGGCTGGACTGCCGCAAATGCGGATGCAAAGGCCGTCTATGATAACGGACCTGCAACGGGCACTTACACGGTCAACCTTCAAGAAGGCCAGTACTATCCCTTCCGTATTTTTTACGGCCAGGGACCTCGTATTGCCGAGTTCGACATCACAGTCAGCGCACCAGATGGCACCACTTTCCTGTCGTCTTCCACATCTGGGTCGCCGTATCTCGTCCGGTTCTCTTGTGACCGATCTACCGCACCTCGATTCAGTGCCTTTGGATTTGAGTTTTAGATGCGCAAGATTCTCTTTTCTCCAGTTCTTCATGAGGAGGAAGCGTGGATGTGGCCATGAAACTTGGACGTATAACTAGTAAATGATGGGGTGGATATACCGGGACTGGCTAACGTTTTTTTAATTTGTTTCGTTCCTCCTGTCTCAGCCATGTAGGTTTGTGGCGGAGGCCCCTTTTACCGTAGATGCCGATTATGATTCCGCGGCTGAATATAATGTCGTTCTGCTTTAGCTTTTCTTGTTTCCACTGTTGAGTCAATTCGCCGTATCATTCAAAGTCTAGCAGTAAACAAACATGTAAAGCCAACTCATTTGACCGAAGAGGGGGCGCATCTCCCACGGCAACGGCGGCCAGGCGCACCCGCCGAATCATGAAAACAAACGGTCAACGTCTTGTTATGAACTCAAATAGTCCCTAAGTAGTAGGTATTGTCATTTCCTCCTCCACTCCAAGCGCCATGAAAAGCTTGCGAGAGGCCCCCGCGCGTATTCCCAACTTTAAGTAAGAGCTCTTTCGTAACGACGAGGTGGCTGATGTAGCTCAAGCTCAAAGGCACACAGTGCTATTGGAGGTTGAGCGCGATGATTCGAGAGATATCTCGAGCATTCCGTGTAATACAGTTCTTCGATACAGGTAATCCAACCATCCTCTCAAGGCCTTTGCTCGTAGAGCTCTTCGTCCTCCTGCGGCCACTCGACTTCAAACACAGCATCTCCCTCTTCGGCGTCCATATCGTCCTCATCATCGGGTGCAAACGCAAAGGCAACGATGCTATTATCCTTGATGCCACACTTGCTAGGAGTGTTTGTAGCGTCCTCTCCAAGTTTCAGGGGCTTCCATCCCTTAGAGGGATCGGTAGGTACACGGAGAACGCCATAGGTGAGATTTGCCGCATCCGGCACAGGCGTCCTCTCATCTGGTGTTGCGCTTGACTTGGTGAGGCCGTCAGGGTACCTATCCTTGAGAACCTCGAGCAGATCTTGCGTGACGGATGAGAAGGGAGCTAGTGCGTCGATGAAGAGGAAGATGGTGTGGATGCCGTACTTGAAGCGCACGGATATGTGTGCATCGTCGACATCGGTTGGCTGCTGCACTTAGTATTTCGTCACAGATGCCCGCGAGGAGGTTGATTCACCATCTTGGTGCGATTTTGGCTTTTCGCCCTTCTGTTTACCTATAGAATTGATTGACACCTCTGTAAAATCTCCTTTTTGAGCCGTTGGAGTCAGGACTCTCTTCTCTTCTCAGTCGATTAAAGTGTTGTGTATGTACTTACTAAGGCAAGGCCAGGCAGCATGTGGATGAGACTGGAGACGTGCAAAGTGCAGCGCTGCCCCGCGATTTTAGTGAGCGCGAGACCACGTGAGCTCGCGTTAAGTGATTTAGCTGGCCACCAGCATCCGGAAAAACATGCGATACGGAGTGGCAGAGGCTACGGATAAGGGACTTGAGTATAGCTTCATGTTCACCACAGCTGCGATTCAACGACAGGATGCAACCCCTGTAGCACATCAGATCCAGCAAATCTATTGAGCGGATAACTCCAATTCCTCCAGAGATCCCTTTTGCGCCTGGGGAGCGGGCTTGTGCTTGCAAGCTACGAATACGCCTCCCAAGATACAGACTCTTGACTCTTCATCATGGCGAGAACCTCAAGCAGCGATGGGCTTTTCCTCAGCGCGCCTCGGTCGGACCCCGTCAACCATCCCGTCTTCCCGGCCGACTCGCATCCCCGGCTGGCCATCATGACTCCCACGAGGCTGCTGCTCGGCTCCGTAGCCTCCAGCCTGGTCGGAGCCTCTCTCGGAGCTGTTCAAGGTGGCCAGATGGCGCAGCTGCGCTTCCGGGCTGAGCACGCGCACAAGATGCCCGACACAACGGCGGGCTGGTATCTGTATCACAAGTCCAAGAACTACCACGCCATGCAGGGGGGCATCCGCGAAGGCTTCCGCATGGGCTTCAAGACGGGCTTCTGGAGTCTGATGGCCTTGTCCTTGGAGAGCACCGTCGACCGCTATCGGGGGAGCAGCGACATGTTTTCGACTGTGGTGGCGACGCTTACCGTCGCAGGCGCATTTTCGCTCTGGCGTGAGTTGATTTTCATTTTCATTTCATTGTCTCGACTATTATTATTATTTTATTATTATTTCATTTTTTCTATTTTCTCTTCTTTCACTGGCTCTTCTTTGGCTTTCGCAAATTCTTCATCGTCTGCCGTTTGTCCAAAACAGGTGAAGGGAATCAGGCTAGCCAGGTCTGGCTTTCACCGGCTTTGAGCTTGTGCTTGTCATGTCTCTCTGCTTCCCCACGCCCCTACTGGCAAGTGTCGGATCAAGATGGCGAGACTCCCCAAAAGGGCAAAAAAAAACATTAAGACGGTGGGAACCATTAGCTAACAGAAAGCCGATCTTCGGCCGGCACTGGGCTTATAGATCGATTCTCGCTTTCCACCGCCGCGCGCACTGCAAAGTACGGGCTGGTCTTTGGCCTGGCCTACGGAGGCGTCCAGGATCTGGTGGGCTTAGCCCGTGGCAGACCGATTGGGTATGTGGAGATGATCCGACGTCGGTTTGGCTCTGGCGCTCGGTCACGCGAAGGCGACGACGTCTAGAGGCAAACCTGCGCCGTCAGCAGCCGCTTTCGTTTGCATCTCAGCACAAGGCAGTGGAGATGGTCTCATTTCCTCTTGGCGGTATCAGCCAACGGAGCACGGAGCATTGCTTGGGATAGATGCATTACTAAAGCCCTGAAAGAAGTAAAGAAGGGAAGGGGGTGGGAGATGAGCAAACAAGAGACGACCAAAGTCGACGGCCGCGTCCTCTAGACGGACGAGCCAAGAACCCCCCACGGTAACATGTAAGCTCAACCTCACGACACTTGAGTCGGGCCTCACTTATTCCGACATCATATGGCTACATATACTGCTAGCTACAGGATGGATGAAACCAGACCAGATTGGAACAAGAAGAAGAAGAAGAAGAAGCCAAGAGGAAAAGAGAAGGCTCAACTTGTTGTATATACAAACACTAGTGCAACGCGCTACTCTCGCATCATATTATGATCATGATATCATTCCAGAGAGAGGGGAAAGAGGGCAAGAATTGGCGATTGGACGCTCCCCCTCGATTCATGCATAATCAAAATCCAACGCGAGTTCACCTGACAATGCCGTGCATGTCCTCATGATGCACATGACAAGAGGCCGTATCGGAGCCCGCCCTCAGCTCGAGCGCAGCACAGCATATTATCGTAACGTACAGACGAAGCAAGCCGGGGGAAGCGGCGTGGGGGGCCACAACACCAGCATTGCTCGAGCCACATGCAATTTACTTGCCCACGACGGGACCAGGGCCGTTGAATCCAAACTCAGTCAATTTTCCTAGTGTCATCGTAATCTACGGAGTACATACAGTAGCGCAGCTTGCGTAGCTCCAAATCCTAGTCTGCGGCTACTCTCGGCTGCTCCATCGTCAAAAATCCCCCATGAGGGGCGCCACGTGATGCCATATCGCCCCTCTCCCTCCAACCAAACTCGCAGCTTATCAATGAATCTCGCCTACTGCCAGCCAGCATCGCCAGATTACCAGCACTCGTTCAATGGCTGGCGCATTCCAGCTCCCCTCTGCAGCGGCCTGATACGGAGTTTTGCGGAGAAGCAAAAGCCTCTCTTCCCACCCCCCGGTTCTCTGGGCCCGTACTTGCATTGATGTCTTGAGGTCACGTACTATGTACATTTCCATGCTTTTTGTTAGACGCAGTACTTCCCGAGCCTGCGACGATATGGTGGCAGCACCGGCAACGGAGGTGTAATCGCATCCCATCGTATCAAGTTCCGTGTCCCTGAACAATTAGATCTCGCCTCTCTTCGGCCCTCCGTAGCTGCCGGGTGGCTCCATGTCCGGGCTCATAGATAGCGTCCTTTCCATTGTGCCTGTCCTGATGGAAGATTAATAAATTCATTCTCTTCCCCCTGGTGTCAACCCTCTCTGCCATCTGTTCACATTCACACCCTTTCCTCTCTGCAGATCTTTTGCAAGATAACTTCCCCATCATCATCATCCAACTTACGTATCATCCCCGTTATCTAATATTCGGCTTCAATCGCTTTTACAAGCCACACGGGTAGATAGGCAGTGGACGCCACTTTTGTCTGTTTGTGTCGCGCTACCAAAGCAAGCAAGCCTCGTCTTACACAAATCTCGTCTGATCTGACCAAGATCTTTATACAACCATCAGAAGCATCCATCCATTGTAGTTCATTATTCACCTATAGCACTACCCGTCTGTTTCTGCGTGCTCAGCCAAAGATGCTTTCCGTCCCAGGTCGACAGGCAATGCGCCTGCCCGGCCACCGGACTCCCCTTTCCTCGCCTCTCTATCTCTCTCATCTCCGAACCTCATCAGCATCATGCTCTTCATCACGACTTCTCGCCACACAAAGCTCCGTCAGCCTAAATTCACGGCACCAGCGCCGCAGCATACACTCCTCCGAGCGGCGAACCTCGACAGTGGCAGACCTGCCCGGTTCCATGCCGCCTGTGCCACCGCAAAACATGGACGCAAACCGTGCGCCTCTCTCAGTCCTGCCGCTCAGCATGATCCTCCGCTCGCTGGCAACGACAGTGGTCTCTTCTTCCCCCATCCTGCTGCCGCCCTCACTGCGCATCATGGTGGCGCTGGCTCATGCCAAGTCCCCCATTCTCAACCCCGACAGGAATCCCCTTTTGCGGTTCTTCTTGAAAAAGTCCTTTTACGCCCAGTTCTGCGCCGGTGAGAATGCGGCCGAGGTGCGGCAAACAGTTGGCCGGTTGAAGAACATTGGCTTCACCGGCGTCATTCTGGGTTACGCCAAGGAGGTTGTCTTGGACAAGTCAGATGCCAAGGACATGACCATGGCCAATCTGGGCAAGGAAACGGCACGCGACATCGAGAAGGAGATCAACCCCTGGAGAGACGGCACCTTGGAGACTGTTCGATTGGCTGATCCTGGTGATTTTGTTGCACTCAAGTACGTTTTGGTCCCTTTGAGCCCTTCCTTAATGAAGAATCATCGCTAATCATCGTCTAGATTCACTGGTGCCGGTAGCCTAGCCCTCAATCAGCTCAAGAACGGCCTTCCACCCTCTCAACATCTGAGTGAATCGATTGACGCCATCTGCCAGCTCGCTCGTGATCGCGGCGTGCGCCTCCTCTTCGATGCCGAACAGGACATGCTGCAAGACGGCATCGACGACTGGACCATGCAATTCGCTCGCAAGTACAACGACTCTCCGGACACCGCCACCATCTATGGTACGTACCAGGCATACAAGAAGAACTGTCCTGCGGTGGTATCACGGCACCTGGCCGACGCCCAGAGAGAGGGCTTCACCCTCGGCATTAAGCTGGTGCGCGGTGCCTACCTGGGCTCAGATCCGCGAGAGTGCTTCCACGATACCAAGGAGGGTACAGATGCGTGCTACAACAGCATTGCAGCCAGTGTCTTGACTAGGCAATGGTCCGCTGCTGTTCAGGGCCAGGGCGAATTCCCCAATGCTCACATCGTGCTGGCAACTCACAACGTCGAATCCGTACGCCGCGCCAGAGCCATTTGCGACGCTGGCGGCGCCAAGTCGGACATCGCATTCGCCCAACTCCAGGGCATGGCAGACGAGGTGAGCTGCGAGCTTGTCGAGGCCAGCCAGTCGGCCCAAAAGGACAATGCCAACGCCCGCCCACTACCAGTTTACAAGTACCTTGTCTGGGGCACTACTGGAGAGTGCATGAAGTATCTCTTACGCCGCGCTCAGGAGAACAAGGATGCCGTTCAGCGAACGAGAAACGGAAGAGATGCTATGTGGGCAGAGCTGGTCAGGCGGTGCAAGACCGTTGTTGGCATGGCCTGAACAAACAAGTAAAGAGATGATGAGATGATGAGGTCAGAGGAAGAGAGCAGGGGAGAAACTGCGTTGGTTTACACCTATGAATGTGCTTAAATAGCTGGCCAAGGCCTGTCTTTCGGATACCTGCGACACTGCACGGTTTGGAGTTTTGCAAGTTTAGTTTTGAGAAATTGATGATAGAAACGGTTCTTAGAGTATCTAGCATTGGATGTGAATAACTGGCGGGAGATGACGGGAAATTTACAGAGTATTTGACTTACTGGTTCACCCAAACTAAATTCTGACGCATTATGTGCCTTTGATGCGCTTCTTTTTCTTCTCTGTTCTCTTTCTTCTTCTTGAGCATGATTACATGCACATTTGTAGCCGAATTATATCGACTCCTAGCCACGCCGAGTAGTGAACCCTTCTTGCCTCATACGCCCCGTAGTGCCATGCCCCCAAGAACAAGCCTTTCAATTTCTTTGCGCTTCACCAATTCGTCCTTGATATTGTCCAACCACGCCAGACCGTTGAGCTTATAGCTCTTGCGAACAGTGCGAACGTCTGTAATCGTCTCGATAGTGTCGTCGGTAGCGGGTACGGCATCTCCCTCGACGTTGTCTGTGAGATGCTGCGAAATAGCGTCGGCGGATGGAGGTACGGGGTTGCTGTCGCTCGGAAACGCAATCTTGACGACGAATAGATCGGTGGTGGACGGCGAAACGCCGAAGCGTCGATATGCGTCGGCAATCTGGATGCCCATGATCAATTCTCTGGAAGCATAGTTGGCGCAGCTTTTGAGTGAGAGACTTCACACTCACATTACTTGAGGAACTTAGCGATACGACTGTTTCTGAATGGACGTTTGGCGTTCGTAGCGCCCCGTTCACTGAGCTGTTCACTGCCTTGAAGACGGCCGAAAGAAGATGGATGCGCGAGACGATCTGCGAGCACACAACGGTCAGCAACGGGTCAAACCATCGCCTCATCCGATCATATCAGGCTCTTCGCTAATCTCGGCGAGATAAATGCAGCAAGCCGTGCAGCGGTCGATTTCAGCATACCGTCGAAGCATCGATAAAGGCATATTCGAACCCGGCGTTGCGCGCGAGGAGCTGCTGATGCAAGAAGGCGGCGTTTTTCACATTGCGGAAGAGGGCGAGGTAGATTCGGTACGACGACGGCACATGCTCGAGCTCTACGGTTTCGACGGCCATGGTGAGAAAATGGGACGTAGTAGGTAAGGGAATCTATAGGATTATGTGGGCAATGATGTCGAAGCTGCTGCGCCGTGGTGGGATAAAGTTCCAATCTTATCGCTCTCCGTGCGTATAATCTTTTGAATGGATATTAGCACTGTATTTCGCTCTGCCAGCTGCGGCCAGCTGTTGGAGACAACATCAATTCCAAAGATTGATACTACAAAGATCATCGCAGCAAGACGAAGAGGAATGTCCAGCTGTACTTAATTTTCCAAGAACCCATAAAATACCTAGTAGCTACTTTTAAGTACGTCAGGTTAGTAGAATAAGTATCGTGCTAGTATTTAGAAGGTAGCTACCCCTTAGGGGCTCTCAACAAGCAGAGCTACGACGAAAGTCTTGCAAAGTTGTAACCTGAGCGAGGAGCTTCTAGATTTGCTTCATTAATCGGCAAATCTGTATTTACAAACTACATATTCAATACTGCCTTTCAATGAATCTTTCTTTTCTCTCTTTTTCTTTTTCTCTCTTCTTTCTTTCTTTCTTTACTTTTTTGGCCGCTCACACCACCCGTAATGTAACACCGTTGGCGTTGCTTTTCTGGTGTTGCTACACCATCAAGGTCACTATCGCAATGTTCCTACGTATCAAGAACTCCGTGGGGAAAAGCCTGCTGTTAGTGCTTCCCAAAGGGCAGAATTAAAGTCCCCTTTTTTAGTCAATTTAGGTGGCCACGATCAATCCAAGTGATCGCGTTCCATCGACGCGTCAGCTTTGCTTGCCCCTCTGAAAGCCTAATCCAGAATGAGATGTGTAAACAGCTACAAATATTTAATGTAATCAGTAGATAATTTGGGACCTGAAATACCGAACCTTGGTGATTGAAATAATAGATACTTTTTGAATAATAATAGCTGAATTACCTATCTAATAATGAGGTGAAGATCCATGCATCCTCATCAAAAATTATGATCCAAAATCACCCAAACTCCGGGTATAAGCACCACCGCTATGAGATGAATATAATGAAAGAAAAGAAAAAGAATCCAAAATACCAAATAAACCAGAGACAAAATCTGCGGGTGTCGTGTCTCAAGCACAGACGCTTATACTGCCGAGGCGCTGATTGGACCAATCCAAAACCAAAATGACTATCAACCAAGATAGATGCGCTCATCGCCTGTTCACCAACTCTGCAAGCTCTGCTGGTATTCCTGGGAGGCCCACCCCAAGAGCCTTACACCTATCTTCTAGGAGTTTGCACCAAGTCAGGAGCGCCGTATTTCGATCCACCAAACTGTTTGCCTCCGCTCGAAGCATTCTCCCCCTGATGTGTGGATCTTTTTCCCAGCACTCTTCTCCTACAGTTGCGCAGCGTTGACAACCATTAAGGTTATCATCACACTTGAGCTTGTGAATCTATGAAAAAGTTAGTGATCCAATGTCTATCAAGCTGGGGGTATCTCGGACTATTTACGAACCGTGCACCGCTCACAAGACTTCACTGACCGCCTGTAGCCTCGGGGATTTCTAACCACACGACGAGGCGGTGTCAGGGGCGGCGATGGTTCGATTCGCCAGTTGGTACCTGTTTGAGCCGGAACAGGGAGTGCCACATTGGTGGAAGTGGCTATTTGTCCCATGGGAACAGTGTGAAAGACATCCCCTTGTTGGAATGTATTAGGAGCCACGATATCTTGCCCCATCGGTTGAGGGGCATTGGTTCCTGTTTGCTGGGGGCTAAGAGGAGGAATGGTGGCCAAGAACTCCATTTGTAGTTGCTGGTACTCTGGAGCAGACAACGTTGACTGCGGATCCGGGAACTCTGGAGCATAAAACATTGACTCCCAATCCGGCAACTCATTGGTCTCTGTTGGTATGTTTGTCTGGCCAGGATAGTTCTCAAACCAGTCGTTTTGCTGGTAAGGAATAAAATTATCCATTGTTGGCAAAGATGAGACAACGGAGAGGAATATCTGGAGTGGTAATGGGGTATGATCGAAGTAGTGGTTCTCTTTGATAGATAGTGGCAGAGTTTGTGAGCGTTGTGTGTGGGATGTGCGAGTGTTGTGATGGAGGGAGAGAAGGAGAGAAGGGGATAAACATAGGCAAGGCCTGCCATATATAGCAGCCCATAAACATAGCCGCGTGTTAAGGTTGAAAGGAGAAAACCATAATTCAGTCTTTTTCTTTGATCACGATGAAACTCAGTCTACATAGAAACGTTAAACGGTCCGACTTTTGACTATACCTCGGCGCCATTTTTTATCCCAAAGTCAAGAAGGTGATACCGACACGATACCTGGTAGATATGTTAAATATGAAACGCAGAATCGGCACAGAAACAATGGTATCCAGCTTTTAAAAGCCTTCTTCCAAAGCAGCGTCCCTCACTATGGCGATTTCCTCGGTGACGCTGATACGGATGCAGAGAGATATTACAGCTTCGGTAACCTACTAAAGATACAAAAAAGGGTAGGTGGCCTACATTGCCCTCCTGATGGCAGTGTAATACAAAGGTTTACTAGAAGGTTTCCCGCCGTTCAATAACTGTTTATTGTGAACCATAAATAAAACTCCCTCGGTGGCAGAAGATGTGCGGCGAGATAACGACTGAGTGATAGCGTCACATTCTATCTCTTAACTCATAGCCACAAAGTCAGTGCCGAATGCATATTTGAATACTTGGGTTCTATTCGTATTTGGGACTCGTAATTTACATCCACCTTCCGCCAAAGATGGAATATGGTAGAAGGGTGTCCCTTGAGAAAGCAGATGAGAGGATTCTGGAAATACGTGTCTTCCTCTAGCCTTGAATTTTGTTCTCAAGGGTCATTTGATATCATTCATCCAAGATCCATTACAATTCACCATCTTTATCATTGTTATATGAGTTCGTTGCGTATAGAAGCGCGTGACTTGACAATATAGAAGCTCAAAGTTTTCCTGCTGCTAATAGTCCGGCGGCGACGAAGAGAAGAAACCTTGATTAGCGCGGAAAAAATATTTTGCCTAATAGATAAAGAATTGCGCTTACATTGCAAGCACAGTATCTGTAGTACTCTTATTGTATTGATATACATTTGCGGACGTAGTTCCCTGCCCCCTTGCCTCCCACAACCCGGGAGATATATGGTGGAGCTACCTGCATATTCACCCGCGATCTCGGCCTTATGAGATTGCGCACCAAAACTCTGTACTAAAAAAGTCTTTATTAAGTCTCTCTATTCAGAGTTGTTTCCATTGCTCAGGATCCAAATTTGTTGCTCTGGGCATTTCGTGGTGTATTGTAGTCATTTTATGGTTGCTCCACTGCACGGTTACCCGCCACAACGGCTTTAATTTGAGCATAAAGGAGCGCATTTACCTCGCCCTTTTGCGACTCATTTACGACCATTCCAGTTTCTGCGTGACCACTCGGGCCTAGGCAGACAATCGATCTATTGTATATGTGATTTTAAAATATACGCTACCTTTGCAGCTCGAAACGATCATCCTGTTCGTTTCTAACCCGTTGCCGTTGAGACGGGTGACTAGTTTAGAGCCCGTTTCCATGCCATTTCACTCTAGGTTTTCCACAGTTCAAAGTTTGACAGTGGCAGGTCCGGGGAAGTGTGATCTCGCAAAATACCGAATGGGCCTCCGACTCTCGTGACAGAATAGGACTGTGCAAGATTGGCAAGCAATTAATATCGATCATGTTGTCCAGCACAAGTCGCGCAGATCCGATTCTCACTTCACACGAGATGCCTACGCGGATAAGTATGAGATGAGTGCATCGAGCAAGTAAATAGGTATGGTATCTAGGTACCTAGACATAGAACTGGGTACCTATCCACTTGGTTGAGTATTTCCAAATTGAGAATATTGGCCAATGAGAAAGCAAGTACAAATGCCGATGAAGTGGCGCTTCTCAAAGGCAATCAAGCAAGCCTCTTGAACTCTGCTTCTCTCTGGGCAACACACGTTATTATTCTTCATCGGGCCCATCTGGTATCAACAGGAGCTGGAACTTTCGAGGTTTGAATCGGAGCGAGATGTTGCATGGACAGTGCGTATTAGACCGAGATGGGTAGCTTTCGGATTTACGCTCGCCATCTGCCGATCCGTAGATACACATACTTTGATCTGTAAACTGATTATGAAACGGCTGAAAATGATGTATGTTGTATTACAGCTCACAAGATCTCTAGGAAGGCGACGCTTGGCTGATGAAAGGTAACAGTATGCCGCGTAGATGATTAAGGAAGAATAGAAATGAGCTTCTCGTGGGTACATATGGATTGTAAGGCAATGGCTACTTCCATCTATAACAATAATTATATTGACTGTCTAATTTGAGGTCGAGATGAATGTATTAATACACAGTCTCAATTAATATCTCTAGTTTTCTTTATTAAACTATCTTAATCAGCCACATTGATAGCGTCGACGAAACTAAACGCAAAACAATGAAGAGCAGGTACATATACTCGTGCTATCAGACACTACCGCGACGCCAATCTTTTGTTTACTTTGTTGACCTTGAAAGGTAGGACGCGAGCGTTACGTGGACGCTTCTTATTTTTGCCGGCGTTCGCCTATAGATCGTAGCTTTCTTAGCTCGATGGCTCTACTTGGCCCTGATCAATGTGATGTTTTGTAGAGCAGTGACTAGATCTCGCGCGATCCACCGCTCAAGTCCTATCCCAGATGCTACAGCTGACTACATGTACCTGGTAGCATCATAGCAAAAAATGCAGGCGAATATACATTTGATTAATGCATGCATGCATTAATTTTTCTCCTTGTGCCGAGCGGCAGTTGAGTCACCGGCCAGAGCAAATCCAGCGCTCTGGTTGGACGACGCCTCGCAGGCAGCCACAAGGCATTTTCAAGGCAGAAACCAAACACATGCATATAAGCCATCGGAACATTGTGTCCTACGTAGCACGGTGTATATAAGCTGCATGTTTAGGCGTTTGCAAAATAAACAAGTGAAAAAATTCTGACTCTGTCTTTCGTGTTTGTCGCCGAGACGCGAGAATCCAAGGCCATTCATTTACAAGACTACAAACACTCATTTGCCGCCATGCGTCTTCGCGACATCAAAGACATTGACCGCGAGGCCATTTCCGACTTTGCCTGGAAATGGCGCTGCAAAATCTTTCCCGTAAAAGAGGCAACCTTCTCTAAAGAAGCCGCAAATGGCAAGGACGCGGCCGTCTTGGAGGGCGATGACTCCAAGGCTGGCGCTGCTGCGAACAACGACAAAGACGCCAACTTTGGCTCAAGCCCAATCATCAAAACGCTCTACGACAAGAACACTTCCGACACGTACTCGCCTCACGAATGGGTGGATTATCCGCCCAAGCAAATGTCCAAATCGGCGGCTCGTGCCCAGGACCGAGTCGCCATCAAGGTGTACAAGGTCAGAGACCATCGCAAGCCTTGCATCTCGGGACGAATCCCTCTCAAATACCACAAGATTGAGGTGCAGAATCTTACTCTGGTAGCCGCACTGGCGCCAATTGTGAAGAAGGAGAATCTTCATCTCGATGTCAACGAGGCCGCCACCTTTGAGGAGCCCTTTCGCAGCCTTTGGTTCTGTCAGGATGATATCAGGGAGCTGCACAAGAAGACGGAATCATCCGACCCATTGAAGTCCTATGTGAAGCTTTTCATCCAAGTTTTGGATGATATGTTCCGCGAGATGATCGTCAAGCGACGAAATATCCAGACCAGTCGTCTGGTCGACTTTAGGACGGCCTGGACCCTGTTCCCACGAGGTTCGACCGTATACAGTTTTGGCATTAATGCAGAATTCTTTGCCAAGGTCGACAGCACAGTCTACGTGAACAAAAACTCTGGCAATGCGCTACACGTCAAGACCAAGGTTCTCAAGTTCAACGGCGAAAAATTTGTCTGGCAAGAGCACCTACTCTTGATTGAGGAGTTTGAGGGGAATAAACCCATCCTCGAGTTGGGACATTACCCGCTCGAATTTCATCAAGATCCAGAAGCTGTCAAGCAACGCCTGACGGTCCGTGGCCGCAAAGTTCTCGATCTTCAGGGCCTTCAATATCGCCTGTATAACGGAATTGCTCTCCACGACACCGGGAAAGACTGCATCGAGAAGCACAACGTCGAAGGCCGCATTCTCCTCGATGCCGTTGGCTACAACAAGTATCACTTGGCCAAAGGCAAGCGAGAAAACGACAAGAAAGATGACGAGTCGTTGGGTGGCTGGAGGCTGTTTGACTCGGACTCTAGCTCGAGTTCGGATTCTGACACGGATTCTCTAAACGAGACTTCAGCCAAGCGGACTGTGGTGCGCCGACTGGGAGAAAAGGACTTTTTGCAAAACAAGCAGCACATGGAGTCCCGAGAAGAGGATCTGTGCTTTATTTCTGGAATGTTGGGCGGATACGCTTTGAAGAACAAGATATGGAGTAAGTCTCGATCCATCTCTTGCCTTGGTTTGATCGAACCAATACTAACTACGCAATTTACATAGTGGAATTTTACGTTGAGGACGTCGAGCCAATGATTTGGAACGACACAGCCTATTCTCATCTTGTCTATGACGATCAGCAAAAGGATCTTGTTCTCTCCTTTGTTCAAAACCACAATCCTCACCGCGTCGCTTCAGCAGCACCAACCGCATCATCCTCAGCTTCAACAACATCGGCCTCTGGAACTCCCGCACCAATGGAAGATGTCATCGTCGGCAAAGGTCAAGGACTCATCATTCTGCTCTCAGGCCCTCCCGGCACTGGCAAGACGCTCACAGCAGAAGCCGTTGCGGACCGTACCCACCGACCGCTCTTCTATCTCCAGGCTGAAGATCTCGGAATCAACGCAGCTTCTCTCGGCGCCAACGTCAAGCGCGTGTTCGAAATGGCCACTGAATGGAACGCCGTCATCCTACTGGACGAGGCCGACGTGTTCATGGCCGAACGCAATCCCAACGACATCCATCGAAACGAGCTGGTCAGCATCTTCCTCCGAGAGCTAGAATATTTCCGCGGCATCATCTTCCTCACCACAAATCTATATCACACCATCGACGCAGCTTTCCGCAGCAGAGTCAGCTTACATCTTCTCTTCCAGTCGCTGAGCAGGGAGGCGCGCGAGACTGTCTGGCGAAAGTTCTTGCAGCGACTGCCGGAGCAAAAGGGACTTGAGCTACCGCCTAATGAAGGCACGGAGGAAGTTGTAGAGGCTAAAACACCCCTTGGAGATGCCGAGATCCGCCAGCTGTCACTATGGCAGCTGAATGGGCGAGAGATCAAGAACGCAGTCCGCATGGTGAAGAGCTGGTGCGATCACAAGGGCTATGTCATGACGCTGGAGAGGCTGGAGAGCGGAATCAAAGTAACGAGCCCTCATGCGACCAAAGAAGGTGACATTGACAAAGATTTGTACGAGTAGATGGGATATTGGGGCATCAGAGGGGACCTCGGGTTTTCGGGCTACCATGGATCTTCTTGTTAGTTTTCGGAGGAGCAACAAAGCGGGTTTGCGCCGTGAGAGGGTTTTCGTTTTTAATTCCGGAATATTTCCTAGGCATACATCTCTGTAGTAATAATTTCATTTGTTTTCCATTTCCCTTTTTTTAAATGATGTTGTCAGTCGTTACAGCCAGGGGATCACTTCGGGTTTCACTCGACCTTTGATCTCAACTGCCGCACTTGATCCCTCCTTTTGCAACTCAACCATCCCGCATGCAGTAACAAACTCCGATTCATTACCAAATTGGAAATGGATGCATGGATACGTCCCTTTGTAATGAAACGAAGATATCAACAGATGTTCATCATGTCCAACTTGAGGGCGTCGCATCTCCGATATCGGCCCCCTGTCCAGTATAAGTACTTCGTACCGTGAGGCTGAAGAGCAGCATGTAAGAGCCAAATCTCCAAATCCCAAGCGGCCAAAAAGTATATCTCATATTGGTCAGCACCATCTAGCTAGCCTAGATCTATATAGCATCATCGCCTGCTATCCTGTTCTTTGCCTCCTCATCCGTTCACTTCCCTTGCGTCGCTTCACACACTTCAAAAAACCACCATCATGTCCAAGACTGAAGGCGCCACTTACACGCATGGCCACCATGCCTCTGTTCTGCGCTCTCACACCTGGCGCACTGCGGCCAACTCGGCAGCCTATCTCCTGCCCCATCTCAAGCCCGACATGAAGATTCTTGACGTTGGCTGTGGCCCTGGAACAATCACCGTTGATCTGGCCGCAAACTATGTGCCGCAGGGCCACATCACGGGGCTCGAGAATGCTGCCGGAGTGCTGGTGCAAGCTCGCGACCTGGCCAAGGAGAAGGGCGTGACGAATGTAGATTTCGTCGATGGCGATGCCAATGCGCTCGAGTTTGCAGACGAGACATTTGACGTCGTCGTTTGCCACCAGGTGCTGCAGCACGTCAAGGATCCTGTGGGCATCTTGCGGGAGATGCGACGAGTGGCCAAGACGGGCGGCATCGTTGCTGCCAGAGAGTCCGACTTTGGCGGCTTCATCTGGTATCCCGAGGTCGACGGCATGGACGACTGGCTGGCGTTTTACTCGGCCAACGCGCGATCTAACGGCGGCGAGCCCAATGCCGGCCGCCGCCTCCATACCTGGGCCAAGCAGGCGGGCTTCTCGCCTGCGGCCGTGACCAGCGGCTCGAGCACTTGGTGCTACAGCACAGAGACGGAGATTGCGTGGTGGAGCGGATTGTGGGCAGAGCGGACGGTAGCCTCGTCGTTTGCGAAGACGGCGATTGAGAACGGCACAGGAACCAAGGAGAGGCTGGATAAGGCGGCTGAGGCGTGGAAGCGATGGGGCAAGGAGGAGGAGGCGTGGTTTTCGGTTCTGCATGGAGAGGTGATATGCCGCAAGTAATGGGGTACTGGTAGATGAGCTGATGAATTAGGATGGATGAAGTAACGAAGTCTATGTTTTCATAGGTGGCGATATGCTGCAAGTAACGGGGAATATACTCGTATATGAGTTGATCGGACAGAATGGATATAGGAATGGACACGAGGCAGAATGAATCAAGTCATGGAAATCATCTCTCTCTGTTGATGATGGGCTGGAAATTATGGAGGAATAGAGATGATGTGACGTGAGAACAGCGTAGAAAATTCACCAAGACAAAGGATAAATGAATGCATATGACACAGAATGAATCTAGTCTCGAAAGCCCTTCTTTTCTTTGTTTTCCCCCGTCTATATATAATGTCGTCACCATTGACATCAAGTAGAACACACGATATCCACTCTCTTAAAAGAAAACCGTTTGCGCCATAGTGAGAGCAAATAATACATGTTAACCCGGGCAGCTAGCCTTTTGAAGGATGGAGTTCATCCATATCATGCATGCTATGCCCAAACCCATTTCAAGCATCCAAACATATCGAGTATCCTGGTCATCTCTTAGAGCGTTTACCGTATGTTTTTTGCCGTACCGTCCTTCTTCCATCGGATATCATATCAAAAAGAGTTTTTGGTGCAGGGGGAGGCTGCTCCACTTGCTTCGCCCTTGTGCTCTCATCTAGCGCCTCTCCTGAAAGCCGTGGGTGTCTATGAAGCTGGGGAGATGGTTCAGTAACCGTCTTTGGTTCCGTTAATGTAGAACTAAGCGGCATCGCCCAGGTCACGGATAATCGCTTGCGCGCAGTGTCATTCGCTGCCACTGCGTCTCCCAGTTCCTCCACGCTAGGCAATTCATCTTCCCGAGTGTCTCCACGTGTTTCGTCTTCGCCAACAACATCTTCCATCGTCGTGCTGTTATCCGTGCGTTTTCTTTTAGCAGCTGGCTCTTCTTCCTCTTCCTGAGCTTCCGACTGAACATTTCGCCCATGCTCCTCAGCTAAGTCAACAGTAGCAATGGCCTTTGGTGGCCTGCCACGTTTCTTTGCTGAGGCTGTGACAAGAATATCCATCACAGAGGGAGCTTTGTCCACAGCTGCTGCCTTCGGCCTTCCCCGTTTCTTTGCAGGTGCTACCTCTATATCCTCCTGTGCCGGTGTTGAGACTGTTTCGCCCACGGCATAGTCTTCCCAGACGTCAACTGTAGGTTTTGATGGCTTGTGTGGCTCGGCTTCTTCCTGAGAATCCGTACCAAGACCTGGCTCTACAGTTGTATTGGGCAAATCTGCAGGTAACAATGTTTCGCTCTTGGGAGGTCTACCCCTGCCCCGTTTCTTGGTAGATTGCGGAGTTGGAGAGACAGCTCGTTCTTCTAATGTATCAGCTTGTCGAGGAGGTCGACCTCGCCGACCAATAGATTTCACGGTAGGCGAGTCCGTTGTCTGGGGTGCCTCTGCTATTGGCAAAATTCCATTTTCTATAGGCATTAATGGCCCGGCGTTCTTTGGAGGTCTTCCGCGCTTGCCGGGCGTAGTCGTCGGGATTGAGGTATTCGGGATTGCGTTCAGTGGTGGTCGTCTTTCGCCTGAAGCCGGAGTTGTGGCGACTGATGCTTCAACCACAGGTAACTGAGCTTCGTAGATGGATGCTTGCATAGGTGTAGCGCCCATCATGTCGCTCTTCCCAGGTCTCCCTCTTTTACCCGAAGCCGGTGTTGCAGTTACCGGTGCCTCAACTGAGGATAGTTGAGACTCTTCATTAGAGACTTGGGTTGCGTCGATAGTATCACTTTTCCGAGGCCGTCCTCTTTTGCTCAAGCTTCGTGCTGGAGTTGTTGCTGTTTCCTGAGCTGCATTGCTCGAGGATGGCGCTGCATCCAACACATCACTCTTTCGGGGCCGCCCTCTCTTGCCCGACGAAACTTCAGTTTCTGCTACCTCAACTGCGAGTAAGTCAACTTCGGTGGAGGCCTGTGCTGCGTCTGTCACATCACTTTTCCGAGGCCGTCCTCTTTTGCTCGAGCTTCGTGCTGGAGTTGTTGCTGTTTCCTGAACTGCATTGCTCGAGGATGGTGCTGCATCCAATACATCACTCTTTCGGGGCCGCCCTCTTTTGCCCGACGACATTCCTGTTTCTGCTACTCCAACTACAGGCAGCCGAGCTGAGCTGGCAGGGGTCTGCGCGGCGTCCATCGCATCGCTTTTCCGTGGTCGCCCTCGTTTGCTTGGAACCGGTGTTCCGACTGTAGACAATTCGGGGGCGACTGCGGGCCTTTGTGTTGCATCTGCAATGCTACTCTTCCGGGGTCGCCCTCGTTTGCCTGGAGCTGGTATTGCGGCTGGTGCTTCGACTGCAGACAATTCGAGGGTGACTGCGGACATTTGCGCTGCGTCTGCCATACTATTTTTCCGTGGCCGCCCTCGTTTCCCAGCAGCAGGCGTCGATTCCTGAATTAACTGGAGATCTGTCACTTTTGGTGGTCGACCAGGCCCTCGCTTTGCTGGGGTTGGTGCTGCCGGTGTCACCGGCTCTGAAATCTCACTTTTGCGCGGCCTTCCACGTTTTCTCTCAGTCGGCACTTCCTCCGCTCTGTCAATATCAGCGTCATCCGTCGCAGCTGGTTCCACGGCTTCATTTTCGCCACGGCTGTCCTTCTCGTGTACAGCTATCTGATCGGGTATAGGTCGTTCTGTTGCTGGAGCTGGTGGCGCTTCCTCCGCATCGCTCCTCCGCGGGCGCCCTCGTTTTCTCGGTGTTTGCTGAAGAAGCGGCAATTCCCTCTCATCATCGTCTATTATCGATCGTTCATTGGACTCCATTATGAGCTGCTGTTGCGCTCCGGTATCCGGTGTAGGTTCCTCCTCGTCTGTTTCGTCTCTTTCCATCCCTTCCCTTTCGCCTTCTTCCATTTCTCCTCTTTCGTCTCCTTCCATTTGTCCTTGTTCCCTTTCGTCTTTTTCTCCTTGTTCCCTTTCATCTTCTTCTATTTCTTCCATTTCGTCTTCTTCCATTCCTTCCCTTTCTCCTCCTTCGCCTTCTTCTGCTGTGCGGGCGTTTTTAGGTTCGTCGTCAAAACGCTGCGCATCAGCCTCCATCGATGGCTCTTTCTCTTGTTCTGCATGATCAGACCTTTCCACGCTGACAGAACGGGACTCAGATTGGGGCGGCGTCAGCTGAGGTGCCTGTGATTGTAGCGCTTGCAGATTCACGGCCTCTTCAGTCGGCGTCCCCGCATATGAGCGACTTAGCACTCCGTTCACCACGCGGCTAGCCGTCATTGCCGCACTCATCTCAATCTCATGAGTGTATGAGCTTTGGTGAGTAGCCTCCACTTCCACAGGCACGTTCAGCATAGAGCTGAAGTCTTCAGGCACGTAGTGCTCTCTTGATAGCGCAGTCGGTTCTTCGATCCCAGCCATACCACTTGATGCCTGTCCCTGGGCTTCTGGCTCAAAGTCGTACTCCGATGCGGCGCTTTCCTCCAACATCTGAGCGCCGCGGTCATGATCCTCCATCAGGCCCCGAAACGACTCTGCTGGCTCCATCGGATGGGTGGTTGAGTACTGAGACTGGGGCGACGATCGGCTCTCACTGTACATGTAATTTGCCACCATGGCCGGCTCATTCACTTCGATGCCCTCTCCGTAGTCATAGCCGGACTTGGCCTGCAGCACCTGAGTGGCCAAGCTCGCAATCGTGGCGGCATCCTCGTTGTCCAGGTCATCGGTTGTCTGCCAGTAGTCCCTGAGCGGAGTGTCTTCGTCCATGGGGTTGAAGTCCATCATGTAAGTGTAGCGGGGGAAATCATCGCCCCTAGACATTGGGAATAAGGTGCAGCCGTCATAAAGACAGCGGTTCTGGGCGTGAGAGCTGCAGCAGATGCTGGCGGCAGATGACAAAGACACGGATATGCATGCGCCCAGCTCTGAAACATGGAGTTGCCCTCGTGGTGTAAATTTAATATGAACGCGTGTTTTGATGATACGGGGCCAAAGGGAGGACGCGCTCATTTGGTGAGCTGGTCACGTGATGCACAAATGACGTCGGGGCCGTTGATTGTGACCATGAAATGGCTTCCTTCACTTTTCACTTTTGCGTGACAAGCTGTTTTTTTTTTCCCATTGCGTGACTCCGGTTATTGCCACTACCTAGACTATCCATTGATTCAGTCACTTGTTGACCGTTTCATGGGTTTATTCTCCTTTACACAGCAATGCTTCATCTTGACGAGGCTGACTCCCCGAGGCTGCAGGTACAGGCAACTGCTTGCAACAATCCAAATTGGTATTATATTTCTTTAAACTACGGAGTACCAAGCACCGAATATCAGGATTACATGCCCGCTAACTAGAAATTAAATCACAAAAGAAAACTGAAGAACAGAAGCTGCTTCACAACTCTTCCCAAGCTAGTGTCAAGCCGTCGCAGCAACTAGGTGAAAATCTCAGCAGCGTACCGCGTCTTCTCAAAGCGCTTGAACCACTCCTGCGGCGTGAATTCCTTTTGCGCGTCCATCGGCTCAGCCGTGTACACAAGATTTGCTACCAAGTCCTTCACCTGAGAAGCCATTTTCACACTTCCGCAGACATAAACCTTTGCTCCAGCATTCCACAGCTGGACGAACACATCTTTTTCTGCCTGCAAACTATCCTGGACGTATCCCTTCCTGGTGTTGGACTTGGAGCCCACGTCTTCTCTGCTGTAGGCGCGGAACACGCGAATGACTCCTGACGATTCAAAAGCATCAAGCTCGCTGCGATACAAATCATCATGTGACGATCTACATCCGAAAAACAGAGCGGCGGGTGCCAGCTGAACTCCATTTTGCTGCTGGTAAGCTCGCTCTTGGATGAATCCCCTAAACGGCGCGAGACCAGCCCCTGCTGCAATCATGATGGTTGGTGCTTTGGACAAATCGGCGGGCATCTGGAAAATCCCTTTCACTGGGCGTGTGGCCACGTGGATCAGATCCCCTGGCGTCAAACCGGCAAGATGATTAGAAGCTACACCTAAATAGCGTTTAGATCCGGGTGTAGTTGCCGGCTCGTCCAGAACTGAGAGCGTCAACGTAGCACGACTCGAGTTCCAGGATGGCGATGATGAAATAGAGTATGTGCGTAGACGAAGAGATGGCAAAAGGGTCAAATAGGTTCCAAACGCGATGGAAATCTCTGGAAACTTCTCTAGAAGATCGAGTAAAGAAGTTTTCTTTTCTTGGATGTCCTCAAGGTAGGATGTGGTTGCCAGGTTGTTCAACACCTGCTTAGTCGCTTCATCCTCAGCCGCAGCCGCAAGGACCCGGATGTCCTGCACGTAGTCAGCATAAAGGGCTCTAGAAGTGGAGGATTCGATTAACGATAGAGAAAGAGAAGCAACTTACCCTCGGGGTCGCCGGCTGAGCCAGCTCAAAGTATGAACTCAGCAACTCGTGTACTGTCATGGCTGTTTCGATCGGTATGCGAACAGATTCGTTTCCAGATGCTCGCACAATGGTGTCCCACGTCAAGTGGAAGCGCGATAGAACACGCTTAACATTTCTTATTGGATTTACAGGCAGCACAAGAAGATGGTCGCCAGGATGATATGATACTCCTGAAGGAAGCTGGATATCAACGTGCATCTTCTTGCCAATAGCAGAAGGTGTTGTCAGACTCCGTGATTCCATCACTGTTGCCTCTACGAGGTGGGAATACTGCTGCAGTTGGCGCGGCTGAGAAAACTCGACTTTGAGCAGCGAGCTGATCAATTTGCCTTCTCCATCGTTATCCTGTTTTCCATCCGTCTGCGAAATAGCTGGCCAAACGGAATCGGTGGTCCATTTTTCGAGTTCCACAAAGAGGTCCATCACTGCTGAGTCTGCAAGGCCCCTATTCGCAAATCGTTCGGCACCGGCCCTCTGCAGAAGATCGTCTATGAGAATGGGAACTCGTTGAAATGTTGCGACCCAGTCGCGATGTCCACAGCCAAACACTGAGTACGAAACTCCTTTCAAGGAGTCCTTTTCAGCCGTGTTCAGCCAGTCAAAGAACTCTTCGGCGTTGTCTGACGGCAAACCATCATAAGATGCAGCAAGAATGATGACGGGTTCTGATTTGGGGAGGCTGTTACGGGCTGCGTTCAAGGGTGCAATCTTCCGAGCGTAGAATCCGTGGAGAGTGGCATCAGATGCCAGCCTGTATGCCAAAGCCTCGCATGTGCCACTGTTCGACCCGTAAAGAATTGTGAGCGGCTTCTTATCGCCTCCGCCAGTCTGTGCTGAAGTAACTGAGGGAGTAGAGCTCAGTTTGGCACCCACCGAGCCCAGGGACTGTAATTCGCGCTGAAAATCCGTGGCAGTGCCCCCTCTCCTGAGCTTAGCTTTCATGCGAAAGTTGTCTGGCTTGACTGTCAGGGTCTCTTTAATTTTGAGCTTGTATCCAGGATCCGCCATCTCAAATGTGAAGCTCTGCAGCAGCATCGCCACAATCAACAGTGCCTCTTGGGTTGCAAAGGCTCTACCTATGCATCCCCTCATTCCATTGCCGAACGGCTTCCAGGAATTAGGAGGCAGCTTATTGAAGTTTTCGTCCAGCATTCTCTCCGGCTTAAACTCGGCGGCGTCCTCGCCGTAAACGGCCTTATCCAGATGAACCATATGAAGTAGAACCCCAATAGGGATATTCGCTGGGATGAGATACTTTCCACCAATAATCTCATCCTTAGGTGAGCTTAAGATGAAGCCAGGAGCTGTGGGCTGAAGACGGAGCGTCTCCTTGAGAACCGCGTTGAGATACGGCAGTTTGGAGAGGTGCTCAACCGCAATTGGGGAGCCTTGGCTAACTTCGTCAACCTCTTGGCGTGCCTTTTCCATCGTCTGTGGGTTTGCCAGCAAGTAGTACATGGCAAATGATAGGAGTCCCGAAGTGGTCTCGTGGCCAGCGATAAGAAACGTGAGCATATTGTCGATGATGGAATCGTCAGACAGTCCCTCGCCAGTCTTGGGGTCACGGCCCCGCAGGAGTGCTGCCAACAGGTCGTGAGAATCTGTGTCCGTCTGACTTTTTCTTTTATCAATGATGTCTTGACACAATTTTCTCATAAAGGCCGTATCTTTCTCGTACCGGCGCCAGGACTTCTTTCGGAGGGAGTTGATGAAGTTTGGCAAAGCCGCTTGAACACTGGCCTCTTTCAATGTCCTCACCATGCTGTCGACGAAGGGATGCAGGACTGTTCCGTTGTGGAAACTGTTGAATCTGAAGCCCATGGTGCACAGCGCAAGCGTATCGAGGGTGAGCCGAGTGAAATCGGCTGTGACATCAATCACGTACTCTTCGCCATAGCGAGCCCTGTTTCTCATCCGGTCAGCGCAACCAAAGCAAACACAGCATCGAGTCCAGGAAAAGCGAACCATTTTAGACACAGTTGCTGCGCCAGATCTTTCATTTCAGGAAACATTTCACGAATCTTGATCGTGCCAAAAACCGGCATCAGGATCCTGTGAGCAATTTCCCAATTGCGCTCCTCATTCCTCGCGGTGAACAGCCCATCGTGGACAACATGGCGCAGCTTCTCGAGCTCTGCTGTTACGATTTTTTGGAATCTTGACTCGTCGCAAAGCTCATTCAAGAGCTCAATACTTGACACGAAGATGTTGAGCTCGCTTCCAAATGTGAGCTGGCAGATGGGCCCCAATGGCTGAATCAACTCTATCAATGAGAACAGCGGCGACTCGAGATCGATATGGTGTAGACTGCCAATCACCGGGAGGCCTTATTGGCGAATCCAGATCAGCATTTTCCGCCCGCACTATCCGCGAAGAAATGATTTGGCTGTACTTACCTTTGGGCTTTGGAATCTCAACCAAGTTTGGGTTTTTGGCGGGCTTCATTTTGCGTTCGCTATCGCGCTTCTTTGGTGGCTCAATCGCCTTATCCAGGCCGTTTTCCCCTCCATCTTGACCTCCCAACTTCGTCTTGAGTGTTTTTATATATCTCATTTTCGGTGATGAAGCAATACTATCGCGCAAACGGAGCTGGATGGTTTCTCCGTCGACTCCGCGACATCCTTACAGATGAAATGAATTGCAAGTCAAGAGATGAATCTGACAGCTGTTGTATCAATACGAGGTAAGGTTTCCATCCCGAATAACCCATGTTTCGTCATCAGCACTTGTTTCAGCCACATGTGAATATGCATCGAACTATGCCTTGCTACAGCGAATAGAGCTGACGCCAACCACGCGATCACCCACGCGGCGTAGTTGTCATTAGTGGAACCCGCGGATTCCGCCTAAATGAGCCAATCCAACGGCAACAATGTTAAGTGATGTGTAAGATGGATTGCTCGTAGGATGTGCCAAGATAATACCCTGTAAGATCACCCAACTGCCCACAGAATTGTTGCTTTCAAAGGATGGAGCCTAAGTTCCGTTCTATCTCTTCCTGGAGCTATTTCAAATGCCGTCTCCGCGGATACCGTTGCCGAATGGTGACACCGCGCTTCTCGGATAGTGGCGTCACCACGTAATCCTGTATAAACGCGCAAAACATATGTAGGCTGCCGTATTGACGACTTTCGTCTCTACACTGTATAATCTTTTCTGATATATAGCGTCCGATCAGGCGTTTTCCCAGGATTACTATCCAGAAGTCTGTCGCTCTAATAAGGAGAACATCCATGTGTGCCGACCTCCTTTTTAAAGTTGCGCGCCTATGTCTGATGTCAGACTCCATCGTGTCTCTAGTACCAACAATATCTCAAACCTAGTGTTATCATCTTGCTCATTGCGATTTAGCCTGACCAGACCCATCTCAAGTCTCTTGAGTTGGTAATATGTCATTACTAAGAGTGGAAGATCCGGTGATCTTTGCGGACCAGTTACCATTGTTATGCCAGGGGCGGTTGGCGCATCGGATTTCTCAAAAGCAAAAAGGAGTATGCCATCGCCTTTGTTTGCGTATTCAAATGATATAGGCGTAGAAAACAATTATTCACGTTACTTGATACAATCACCTAGATGAACGAATGAAGTTTTTGTTGTAATAGAGACTCGTGTTAAAGAATGGCTGCAGGTACCCTAGAGAGAATACGTGAATTTGCATTGCTACATGGTACACGTGCGCGGGTAGTTAGTTCTTCAGGTCTCTTTGTTAATTATTTCCCTTTTCATATCTTTGATACACATAATGTAGTTTCGTAGCTTTTCTTTATGCTTTTAAGATATATTATGCTCAATCTCTTTATTGCTAGAAGCGTCAACAAGCTCCGTCTAGAGGCCGTCACAAAACTAGTGGAGATCAGATCCTACGATCAGATATACCAGGATCGAATACTACAATCCATATTCTATCATATAATATGTTCAATCACGGTAATTTTACTCTTGAATGGCCATCTCAACACAATCCGTGATCGCCAAACAAATGTCCGTCGACGGAATAACATCTCCAGCGGACAATCTACGGCGACAACAATGTCCGCTTAATCGCCGTCATGAGTCCAACACCTGAGCAACTGCTATATAAAAGCCCTGGATAGAGAGTTATTCTACCGCACATATTCTCTAGAAACCAGCATCTTTCTATAACAGCTACAACTCATTCAAATGTGGACCTTACAGTCGTTTCTAGTCGTAATTGCGGCACTGGGCTCCGGCTCACTTGCGCAAACGGACCAGGTGCGACTAGGGCCTCCTCTCGAGCCACCAACTCATCTTTCAACTCAAGCAGTGGTTCGAGAGGCTGTTTTGAACATTACAAACTTACTCAACAATGCCATTCTCACTGGAGAAAGCCAATATGGCAGCTTCAACAGCTGCACGACATCTTTTTCCTTGACTGCTGTTGCGCAGCAAGACTCTGCCCCCATAATTGACTTCCATCACACATCTGGCTTTCTCAATGTATCTGCCGGAAGCACGTCGAGGGTGACGGCTGATACAGTCTATCGAATCGGCAGCGTGTCAAAACTCTTTACCGTTTACTCCCTGCTCCTGAACAACGGTACCAGCTACTGGAATCGCCCTGTCACCGATTTTGTACCAGAACTGCGCCAAGCTGTTCAACACTCATCACGCAAATTGTCGGTTATCGATTCTGTTCAATGGGATCAAGTCACGGTTGGTGCTCTTGCATCGCAGCTTTCTGGCATGGGACGAGATTGTACGTTTTCCGCTTCACTATCATCGCAGTTTGTACTCATACCAATGGAATTACAGATGGTTCAGCAGATTTATCGGTTCAAGATTTCCCCGTGACAGAGCTCGGGCTTCCTATTCTCCCTCCTCAAGATATTCCTACTTGTGGTATAAATGATGGCCAATTACCATGTGCGCGCAATGGTAAGAGTATGCACTGAGAATGTCTACTGTCTTAGATTAACAATGGGTTCCAGAATACTTTTCAGGTTTGATCCAGAGACACCCCGTTTTCCCATCATACTCAAAGCCTTTGTATTCCAATGCGGCCTTCAGGATTCTCGCATACGTACTTGAAGAAATTACTGGGAAGTCGTACGATGAAGTAGTCATGAATGAGGTTTTTGAGCCGCTAGGCATGAAGCATTCAAGTTCACTGCCACCATCTGGCAAAGGGGCTGGTGTAATTCCTGACGGAGATGCAGGATGGAATAGAAATTATGGTGATGAGGTTGCGTAAGTCAAACAACAATTGTCACCGAACACAGTATTGTTCACAGCTCAAGTTCCGTATCTAATTAAATACCACAGCACTGGCGGCCTCCTTTCTTCAACAAACGATCTGGTTAAATTCGGACGCGCAATATTCGCCAACAAACAACTCAGCTTCATGGAGACACTTCGCTGGATGAAGCCCGCTTCGTTCACAACTTCGCCATCTCTCTCCATAGGCGCGCCATGGGAAATTGTGCGAACTCGAAGCGGCATCACGACTGGCCGCCTCGTTGATCTCTATACCAAGTCTGGTAGCGTCGGTGTCTACAACTCGCTACTTATTCTTATCCCCGATTATCAAGTTACCTTGGCCATTCTCGCTGCTGGACCTGACAGTGGTGCAGCATTGCAAGTTGCCACCGAGATCGCGATTCAAACACTTGTCCCTGCGCTGGAAAAGGCGGCGAAAGAAGAGACATGCAACAAGCGCTGTGGAAAATACGCACCGGCAGGCGCTGAGAACACTTCATCCCTTGTCATCACTGTCGACGACGGACCTGGTCTGCTACTCAAAGAGTGGACTCATCAGGGCCACGACATCATTGCCGCCGGACAGGCTTACGCGAACGCCACACGCAGCGGCATTATCAATTCTGTGAGACTGTTTCCTACAGGTTTGCAGACAGAGAATCAGGCTGCGTATCGGGCGCTATTCGAGACGGTTCCGAGCCAATACAATCCATCAGTCCATATGGTGTTTGATCCAGCGGCAGGGATCTGGGGGACGCCGGATTCGCTCATGTATGGGGAGATCGCGGTAGACGAATTTGTGTTTCATCTTAACGCCGGGGGCAGTTCAGCTGCAGTTGAGCCGCGGGTGCTGAGAGAGGTCTATAACAAAGTATAGACAATGAACCTAGAGCGCAAGGATTAAGCGCTGTTGGGAGGCTCGTACTTGAACAGTTAGTAGTTGAGATTGTTCTGTTTCTATTCGTGTATTCGCAGGAAATCATTTTTTTAGACAGCCCAATTTACAAGGGAGGCGTAGCATCCCGATACCCCTACCATCTAGCTTGACGCCGACGACATGCATTGTAGCTGGTATTGACAGGGCAATGTGAGTGTAGCGAAGTGTCAGGCCAAGAATTAGAATGGTTCGCTTGTTGCAAAAGCAAAAAGAGAAAACAATTTTGCTTCAGTCTAGGGTCGTTTATGATATATCAACTTCAAGCAATACCTATATATAGCCGGGAGTGCAAGGGACTACAATGATGCCCCAGCTTCGTATCGGGGGAGCGGATACATGTATCTTGCAATCTTGCAGCGGCTCGGATTTATTCTCCGCAACGGGGCCGTCGGGAGAAGGATCCCCAGAGCTGACATGCCAGGATTTGGAATTGCGCCAGTCTCTCTCTCGAGGCCCGATGTCACCCGTCCTAGCGCGTTCAGGTATGGAACATTGTGACGAAGTGAAGCAGGGAGAAGGGCTTGTTCGGTGTTCTATGGGGTCGCTACTGTGTTCTTGCCGCCGTCTGAGATCATGATAATCTTGGTATCTTGCCTTTTACGGAGTAGTCTGCGCTTTGTTCTGGAGAGGAGCACAGACAGAATGCCACCTTCAGAGGGACATGGCTTGAGACTCGGGTGCTTTGACACGTCGTCCACCTTGCATTCGCTCCCAGGAACAATCCGAGTCTCAGAGAAATTCCATCGTGAGTGGAGTTGCCAACGTGGTAGAAGCAAACACAGCGCCACCTAATAATAGCAGCCCCCAGACAGCCCGTACGAGCGGCCATACAGGCGTCTTTACATCGATGTGTGCCTGTCCACCACTGCCAGCAGACGAGAGACATTCAAACGAGACCAGCCACCGCACTAAGGCACACGTCAAGGAGCACGTAGCGCGGAAATTGCTGGAAGAGGGCCGATTGAGATGCGGCTGAGTGCATCCCCGGACGGACTCTAATGGCAGCTACAGGGGCTCTCCATGTCGTGAGGCTGTTCCGCGGAAACATTTTTGGGCTTTTTTTTTTATGCTTTTTGTCTCTAGGGTTTTTTTTTTTTTTTTTTTTTTTCTTTTTGTCTTGAGCAAAATTGTACCATGCATCCGGCCCTCATCCGGTCAGATTTTCTTTCCGCTTCGCTTTGTTCCCGGGCCATGCAACGTTGGAGGGGGAACAACAACTGCGTCCAATAGGGCCTTGTTCAGTCAATTGATACCTCACATCATGTCATTTATCACAAAGCAAAAAGAAAAGCAAAAGAGGGCTGCAAAGCATGCCAGGGATGACAGGTAAGACATCCACGGCTTAGCGTCTGACTTGGCAATCCTCCGGAGCAAGAAGCAGTTTGCCGCAGGCCGGATGCACGCGACGCTCTGCTTGTACTTGGCATATTGTTAAAGTTGTGTTTCTCAGATCGGGTACGATATATGTAACAAAAGACAGATCCGTTGCCGCCGATTTGAAGTTGCATCTTCCCCGGGTTGGACTCGGATCCCTGGCAGCGACGACGCTCCAATCGGAGCCCATGCAGGAGATGAGATGCCCGTTCTCGTGCATACATACATGTATCAAGCAAGGCTCTGGACGCGCTCAACACGTCTTGGACTGAGGAAGAAAAGAAAGAGATACGTGGGCAAGCATCCGTCTGTTCCCACACAGCTCACGCTTCTACCAATCCTGAGACTCCCGGTTTCCATCTTGCCTCCCCCTTACATGTTTCTCATGGGACCTTGCCGGTGTGGCTGTTTTTTCCCGCCTTCTCCTCCCATTGACCTCAACTGCTCACACAGGACCCCCCCAGCTTGTGAGACCTGCCTGTTATGCAGGGAGACTCCCAACCCAACCGGATGGGGTTCCGGACAGCCCCCAAGCCCACTCTCACTCTGCTGCTGCTTGGAGATTGCGCAAGAATCGTCCACTGTACCGCAACTGTCCAAGGAGACATGTAAAAGATAGAGGAGAAAAGCCGCGGCAATGCTTCGTACGTCTTCCGGTAGTTTTCGTCCTCGCCCTGGGGCCCATTTATCCTGGGATCGACGAGACAGGCACCGGCTTGCCCACATGGTTGCACCAAGCATGGGGATGTCTCTGCTGGCCGAATCCATCGGGGGCCAGCTCCGCGGCCGCTCGTGGCCGAATCAGAGGCCCGTCCATGTCAGGTTTCGTCGAATAGGCATTCACGATTCTCTATCAATACCCTATTTGGACGGCTTGTTTTCTCGCAGACTCGTATTCAAAGTCATATGCAGGCACTGGTGCTGAAGCGAAGACCGAACAACTCCAGCCAAGCTGCAAAGGCAAAGGCCACAGTGAAAAAAGCAGCAGGCAACATGCATGAAGAGCCACTTTCACAAGAGCAAACTCAACTGGACGATTCTGTCATGTTGCAGCCTCTCAGTAGCCGAAGTCTCTGCTGAGGGTTCCCCTCTTCTCCCCTTTTCCTTTTCCTCCTCGTCTCCAGTCCAGCCATCAGGGCTACGTATTCACTCCCTGTGCCGGAGTTTGGAATTGGCGTTTGTGTGGTCCTCGACTTGGGACGAAAACGACTATTCACCCACCTGGACCCAGCTATTCAACTGCCTGGCAGTCCCCCGGTTTCTCGAGAGTGAATGATTTGTGAATTTTCTCTCAAACACCGCTCGTCTATTTAATCACCTCGCACCCCCGTCCTTCTTTTTTTGCTGATTCTTCCACTTGGCAACATTCATCAGCGATCATATCAGCAGTTGCACATTTGTCTTTGCTTCATTCTCTTCTCACTCGCTGCCTTTGGCTTGCTTGCTTTAGCTCTTGTCACTAAAAGTTTGTGCTCTTCTCTCTGCTCACAGCTCCGTTTGCCATTCCGCATCATTCACTGAGGTCGTCTTCTAGAGCCTTCTAGGGCTCAATAGGGCTTGTTGCATCCCACATGCCGGTTTGATAGCTATTCTTGCTCAGCACAACCGTCCTTGACGCCGACGCATCCTGCTTTTCCAAGCCATCAGACTTCACCATGGGTTCTGCAGCCTATCACGACTTCAACGCCGACGGCTGCGGCGTCGACGAAGTCCCCAGGTTCAGTCTCTCTCACTCTCCCGAGAGTCTCAGGACAGCCACCACTCCAGGCACCCCAGACGACATCCAAAGCGAGTTTGGCGAGGCAGTTAATGCTGCCCAAGCCTCCTCTTCTTCCGCCGCCAGAGCCACTTCGGCTCTCAGGGTATTCACCCACCAGCCCAACGACTCCATCTCGTCAATCAGCGACTTTGTCATGGCCACCAACGGCCCCAAGCCCATCTTGGGCGCCGATATTCCTCGCTTTGGCAACAACCTTGGCGCTGGAAGCCGTGCTGCTCAGATCTGGGCACCGCCGTCGGTGCCTCTCGACCGCAGCGCTGCCGTTGAGAGACAGAATGCTGCACACTTCCGTTGGGGCTCGTTGGACACCCGCAGGAGCTTGGTTGCTGGTCATGAGAACCCATTGGCGCGTTTGCCGCCTTTCTTGACCAACCAGCGCCAGCTTTCTGCTGTGGTTGACAACCCCAACGTAGGTCGTCCATTCAGCTCTGAAACTGTTGCTTCTGAGCAACCGTTTCCCCGCCAGCCATTCACGCAGCCCAATGTCAATGTGCCTCGCCAGTATCACCATGACGACCAAGGGCTCCCCGTGAGACGATATATCCCTCCATCCAGCAACAGCAACTCTTCTTTCGACCTCTCGGGTCTCCACGGCGCCTTGCTGAGCTCGACTGCCTCCGCCTCCGAAGCTGACGATACTCAGCCTCTTGGAATCGACATCCTGCGTCTGTCCCCTCCCAGGATTCAGCCTGTCCGACAGCCTATCCCTCCTCCTGCTCCGGTCCAGGTTCCTCCCAATGGGCAGCCTCATGGCTTCTTGCCCATGCAGGCTGTGATGCAGCAAACTCCCCCTGGAGTCTTTGCCCACGAATCCTGCATCGACGCCTTTGGTTCGTCCAAGTTCTCGACTCGATATCACGGTATGCACACCGAGACCAATGCCAGCGCCGAGCATCTAACTCCAGAGCAAAACTGTGCTCTCTGGCTCACGAACCTCCCCCCTGGAGTGTCTACCCACGAGCTTCTCTCCGCCATCCGCAACGTTGGCCGCGTCTGGTGCAGCTACGTCAACTATCCCGACTACGTGACCCATCAAACCGCCGCCGCAAAGGTCGTCTTCTTCACTGCCGAAGCCGCCCAGCAGCTCCTCAGTGTCTCCTGGACCCGTGGCCTCTTCATTCAAGGCTACCGCGTCAAGGTCTCGCACAACCGAATCAAATACGGCAGCCATGCCATCACTGGCAAAATGTCACGATGCCTCATCATCACGGGCCATGCCGACTTTGTCAACGAGGCCAGTCTCACCAAGTTCTTCAAAGATCGCTTCATCTTCCAGGTCGACGAGGTGGTCGAGCTGATCAAGGCGGGAGGCCGGGCTGTTGTGGAGTTCAAGTTTGGAAGTTATCGCTGCCAGTCGCAGATGGGCAAGATGTCCCTGGAAAAGGATCGCCCCGCTGGCTTCGAGAAGGTTGAGTTTGGAGACGATCCTTGCGAGGTTGGCGATACCATGGCGTCGTATGGGATTGCTGCAGAGAGAATCCAAGGCAGAGGTCTTTGACTGACCAAATGAGGTTGGCCCGCTTGGGTATGAATGGAAGATTTGAAGGGATATGGTTTGGAATGATTCATCATGGAAATATTTTCTCTTGTTTTCTTTTTCTGTTTAGCACCGACAACTTTCTCAGGGTGGACATTGCTCTAAATTGCAAATGCTTTTTGTTGGTTCACAGGTTGGATGTTGATGGATTTATCTTGCTCGACAGGAATTCAGGCATCAGTTCGTAAGGACATATCAGGGACAAGAAACTCGGATGATTTATTAGCTTGCTCCGACGCTATTTAGCACACAACTCGTCAGATTACATTACTCAGTGTATGAAAACAATTTAATTCGCAGACCTCATTTACCGTCGTCCACCAAACCCTCCCAGCCATGACGCTCTCTTTGCCCTTCGTCTCCTATCAATCCCCTCTTGTTGATCTCTTTCTTGCGCCCTCTTGACCATGTCAGCCTGTAGCAGCATCACCTTCTCCTCAATCTGGCTTTCCGTTAACCAGCCTCTGCCTCCATCCGGCGCTGTGTCCTTGTCTTGTACACCGCTATAGCTGCCTTGACTGACTCCCAGCAAAACACTCAGCCCCTCTGACTTTTTCATTAGCCACTCGCCATGGACCAGCCCATCCCTCCAGTGTGGCGGCAAGACTTTGTAGCCCAAATACGCGCCAAGCAGAGCACCAGCAAAGCATGCATTCGTATCAGCGTCGCCGCCTTGCATAATGAGATCGGTAATGAGTCGTTCGAAGATGGTTCTCTGTGTTGAAAGACGGCCCTCAGGAGCAGCAAGCGCTCTCATAGCGAGGCGGAGAAGATAAACGCCGGACCCAAAAGTCTTGTATGTGTATCCGATTTTGTACATGTCGTCGAGCTCAAGTTCAGAGATATCGCTTACTTTGACATGCCTGTTGAGCTCTTCCAGATCCAGCTCTGGCTCGTCTTTGCAACTGGCGTCTTTTTCTATCTGGCGCAGCCGGTAAGTGGAATACCATGCGATTGCCTTGCTGACGATGTCGTCAATGTGTTCTTCGTTGTATATCTCCTGCCGCACAAGTCCTCTAATGAGCGCTGTTCCGATGGCGCATGAAATAATGCATCGTGGGTCGACGTGTGTAACGACGGAGTAGTCAGCAGCAATCTGGAATGTTTCGTCGAGCGACTTGTGAATGCACATGAGACCCAGCGGATGTGTTCTCATGATGCTTCCATTAGGTGCAATCTTGCAGTTGGAATTCCGCCAGTGTGTTCTCGCAGTTCCTTCTGGATCGTCGAGGTATGTCTTACTCCTCACAATGGCACCAACAGTTCGGCCCAAGCCTAACGGCAAGGTATCCAACGCGCGAAGGCCCATTCTAACCCAGATGTGCAGGCGAGAGGCAAAGTCACGAGGGTCCATTTCTTTGCCGTCTTTATGGAGATATGATAGCAAGATGCACATGGCGTGATCTGTGTCGTCAGTCCATTCTCCAGGCACGTTGGGGTCGCGATGCGCGTCTCGACGAAAGGGAGTGGCTTCAGATCGAGGACAGAGAGTAAATTTTTGGGATAAATATGCGAGTCGTGCCGTGTCTCCGGAGAGAAACTCGGTATATAGTCCTATAGCATCGCCCAGGGCTGATCCGAAGAGACAGCCAACGATGCGATCATGCATCGCCTCTCTAGCCAAAGCTTCGAGAGCATGTTGTGAGAGTGGTAACGTCGTCATTGTAAGAGCTGTGAATAGGTGCAAGAGACAGGACAAGATAATGATCGTTTTTTTAATGAGAATATGAACTTCTTTAATAATTAAACAAAGGATAGAGTTCCAAAGCTGTCTTCACAGAGTCACAACGGGAGAGCCCAACCAACGTAGCACAGCCTCTTTCAGCCGAGACACTAAGACGCCAATCATTGCCCTTTGATTCGCAGGCAGACAAATAGTCACCCAAATGCCGGTAAGGTTAAACATTAGGCAGACCTGCTAAAAGTACAGCTGAGATTCTGACATCTCGTGAGCGGCTTGTGGTGGCAATTGCTGTTTGCTCAAGTCCCTGCGCCGGGTGCCTGGATCCGTATGACCAGGGTTCTCTCCGAAGGCCCACCTCAGCACCAGGCAGCCAGGGGCTCGCTGATGCACTCGATCTCATTCAATGAATCAATAGGAGATTAAGATGATCTCTATGTATTAGATTAATTGTTCTTCTCAATCGCTCTTGATGAAATCGCAAATCGAGAAGCAAACCAGCTATGCAAATGGTACCTGATCTGTAATATCAACAGCTCATAACCCCAGCGCAAAGTGAAACATCAAAGATGAAACCAAATCTCGCACTACTACTCCATGTCATCCAATTCTCCCTCCAAGAACACCTCATGCCCGCTGCCATCATGCATTCCCATCGCGGTCCCACACGCCAGAGCTGACATGGCCGCAACTCCCCACCAGCCCCATGCCACCATGCCGATATCCAGCCCGTAGCCGTACCACCAGCCTCCAATCACGGGCCCAACTGTCCGGAAGAGTGCAGATACGCTCTGCCCTAAGCCGTGGATCGTGCCAAGCACGCTCGGATGCGGGCTGCAGTTGTTGAGCAGGATGATGCTCGCTGGAAGGGTGAATGTGCGAGCCATTACCTGGAGAAACAAGACGCCAATAATTCCCACCCAGATGAAGCCTCCCGACGCTGGCTCGGGAGGTGGCGACCAAGACGGCAGTATTGAGAGATAGGGGGCGGCAAAATATGCAACTGGGAAGAGAAACAGAAACCACTGAAAGGACCTCATCGTGCCGAGACGGGCTTGAACGGGAGGATACAGAGTCACTTGTAGTAGCATCCCCAGGGATCCTAGAAAAGACGTCGCAAAGCCGACCGTCGACGCAGGCATGCCCATTCCACCAGTAAACAGGAGAGGAAGATATCGGCGCAGAGGTTCGGATGCCTCTAAGCTTCTCTTCGTCGGAACAAGATACCGAGGAGTTGATAAGAATAGCGACCACATATTGCCAAAGGCACCGAGATGGAAGTCATAAAAGGCTCCAGTCAATAGTGTAAACAAGACGTTTCGTGTCCAAAGTCGGCGGAAGGGGAGCTGGCTCAGCGATGGGGTAGGCGTTTCTGCCGGGATATGCTTGTCTTCAAAATTATCCATGGCACGGTCCTCCCAGGCAGGAACCCGAGCGTAGTCATCAGTTTGCTTGTCACCAAACATGGTGGCTTTAAGCCGAGACCCAAGATGGAGACCAAAGTCAAATTTGTGTTGTCGTGATCTTGATGTCTGTATTTGAATGTCAGCCAAACCATCTTGTCAAGAAAAGGGCAACTCTCACCTCCTCCAAGAAGAGAAACACTATCACTGTTACAATGGATAAGCTAACAGCATTGATGAGACTCGGTAAGGCGTACGGATAGTCTCGTATCCACTGAAATCCAAAGACAGCCTTGTCTCCAAACAAACCAGGAAGTGTCTTGCTCGAGTCGGCCAACATGCCTCCCATGACTGTACAAAACCATCTTGTCAGCGAGCCAGCTCAGGGCATCCCGTTTAGTCTTGCTCACTTGGGCCCAAGATTCCCGCAACGTTGAAACTCATGGGAAGAATTAGAAACGCTCGAGATTGGTACTTTTTCTCTTTCGTGATTTCGGCAATCATAGTACGACTATCGTTTCCGTCTTCTTCGTCAGCCGTCTTTTCTTGTTCAGCTTCTCACTTCTTTCCCGGCATAGGGAGCAACTCACATAATGCCTACAGTCCCATTAATTGCACCACCAAAGGCCCTCCAAAACGCCGCCCAAAAGAAAGTCGTCGCAAACCCATAACCCAGACACGATATCGCCGTCCCCGCGAGTCCAATCACCAGCACCCATTTGCGACCACACCAGCTTGCATCAGCGGCTTTACCCCATAAAATGGCCGTCATCACCTGGGCGCCCGTGAAGCAACCCTGCAGGATCCCGGCCTGCTGAGAAATATGGGCATCTGAAAGAGAGTCGTCGAAGGTCTTGAGTTGGTAGAAGACATATGCCTGGAGAGACGCGACCTGCAAGAAGTCGACAAATCGCGAGAGAAAAAGAATGAAGAGCTGGTCTTTTCGAGGAAGAGACATCCATGTGACTGGGCCTGAAGCAGTTTTGGCTTGTGTCTTTTCCATCAGCGTCACCAGAGCGAGCGGCCGCTGCGACTCGCAATCATGACTGGAGTGGCTATTAGCATCATCTACCTCGTCGAGAGTTGGAATCGACCGCTCATTCGGGAGCCATGTTGCATCTGGTTGATCTTGGGTCTTTCGCGGTCGCAGGGGATCTAACAGCACGCTCGAGGTAAAGTCGTTGCTGGAGGATCTGGCATGTGAAGGCGCCATGACAAGGTGGACGACGCCAACTCAAGGGACAAAGAAAAAGAAACCAAAAAATGAGCGGCGTACAACAAAGTGCTGTATCATGAACACAGAAAGAACAGAAAGAATGCAAAAATAATTATAAAGTTGAAATGAAGCGATGAACAAGAAGTGGTTGTGACACTAGGAAGAGAACTGGGTGAGCGCATGATGCATGGAAAGAGGTGACGACACTGCATCGGGTCCGAAAGTTCCGACTTCCACTCAGTTTAGTTTATTCATTTCCGTTTTTTCCTTCATCTTCTAATCGGAAAAGGTAGGCCCGCAAGAGTTTTACTCGCCAGAATTGGTGCGTGTGACGCGCAACTTGCTGTGTATGGGAACCAGGCGGAAGATCACTTGCGACGCATGGATAATATGGATACATGATTTGAAGATAGAGGCAATTCCGCTTTGCAGTTCAAAAAGAAAGCGGCAGCTGGGATGGGTTTAAAAGTCTTGGCATTCAAGCTTAAGAAATTGAGGTTCCGATTGTGCGGTTATTAACATGGTATCAAGGAGATGGTAGGGAGTATCTACAGTACTTGGTTGCGTGCTGATCATTTCGTCTTCGGACTATCGGTGATTCCCAAGTGTCCAGTATCTCTTGTAACAGTATTTTTGTGTAATAAACTCTTCTTCTTTGCTCACGAGTTACATAGGCGACGATCCGAAATCCCATGGGCGTGTGTGACGTTGAAATGGGGCGTTTCTGCATCCAGTGCTGCACAGTTTAGGAAAATGATGATCAGGGGCACCACGTGTGGATAAGAACAGGGCGCTTTATCCATGTAGTTAAGAGAGATGAAAATTGTTATTAACAATGAAAAAACTTAGCAGCCAACTATACTTTATTCACTCATGCATAATTGGGCTGGTTGCCACAAAAAGAATCACGACCTATTGCGCAAGATCGCAAAAACCGCAGAGAGAGTTCTGGTATGTTTAACCAAAGCTAGCAAATGTATTACGATGCACTTTAATAGATATTAGTTGACTTGTTATTTTCGTTATATATCTTCAGTGTCCAGTTTATTCGATTCATAACTCCTTTACCGCGTAAACGGTGACGCAAGCGGGCAGACGCAATGGCTCACAGCCCATGTTCTATATCAAGGCACCGACATGTGGGCCAGCAACAGATGCAAGCCAGCTTGCCAGCTTCATGCGCAAACGTTTTCGAAAATATCTCATCATCTCTCCTATTTTATGAAACAAGTCCAACTAAAATATCCATTCGGCCACGTAAGCTGTCGTTGTATAAATGCCGATCTCTTTGTGGCGATGTATAGTGTGGAACTTGGTGGCCGACGAACCGACGGTGTTTCTTGACGGTGGATCATCTTGATATAGTAGAACAACGAAACTAGAAGAGATTTTTGGCTTGTAATCAACTGCATTATACCCTTCTATTCCCGTCCCTGATGATCGTTCTTGGCCTCAACGATCAACATCAATCGCTGCCCATGAGCATGCTAATGTCTAATGGACCGGTGGGCATTGTGCTTAGGTCTCCAGAGAAGATCGCCCGAATTCAATTTCCAGGAGCATATGCAAAGGAATAGCTGTATCTAATTCGCTTCCAACTCTTGTTTAACCACTGCTCGCAACGTCTTAAACTAGAGGCCATATGTTATTATGGATAACTTCCCTGTAACATAGCCCCCATAATGTGGGCATGAGGAGCACCCAAATCCAGGAGCATCCTACCTGGGTTGAAACTTCTCAAACTGTGCGATACGGTCAAATGTATAACGTGATTAGAAGAACCCTTCGTACTATGGCTAATGAGTCGACACTGGGTTCTATGATTAGCAGACGGTAGTTTGAGTTCGATGCCAACTTACTACACAACTCGGTTATACTGCTTTGTCTAGATCCCCCCTAATACTTGGATCTGCAAAATGCAATATCCATTTCCTGAAAGATAGCCTGCGGCTTTCCCCATTTGACATAGATCCTTGTTGAAAGCGGTTTAAACATGCCATCCTATCATTCAGTGCTGAGGCATAAAGTTTGCTACATCCCTTGATATCTTGAGCAACTTCGTCGTCGTTCACTCATTACAGATTCATCATTCAGTTGTCGTTCCTTTATTTTTTTGAACAACCGTCCTTCATTATAGCATCTGCATCTTTTTCAAACAACATTCTCTTATAATACATTAGATTCACAAGGACTCTGCATAATATACAACGACCAAGATGGCGTATTCTTCCAAGTACACGTCTCGTCCTCGGACCGACATTTTTACCAGCGACACTGATATCAACCGCCGCAAACTTGGCCGCGTGGTGCCCATGAAAGTCCTCATTCTGGGCCTAGGACGCACTGGTACTGCCTGTACGTGTATCCCACTTGAGCCAAGTCTCCCATACCGAGATCCTCTTCCACGATTTGTAATGTGATCCAGATATCTAACTCCCAAGAAGCCATGCGAGCGGCCATGAAACAGCTCGGTTATGTAGATACATACCACATGATGAACTGCTCCATTGAAAACCCTCCCGATGCCCTCATGTGGATGGATGCTCTCTGCGCCAAATATGACAAGCAAGGCAAACCTTTCACCCGCGAGGACTGGGACCAGCTTCTCGGTACTTCACAGGCCGTGTGCGATTGGCCAGCCATTGCTTTCGCTAAAGAGCTCATCGAGGCCTATCCGGAAGCAAAAGTCGTCTTGACCAATCGAGACGTCGACTCGTGGCACGCTTCAACCATGAAGACGGTATACTGGCGAGCGACAGACCAAGAGTTGCGCTGGCTCTCCAATTTCGACTGGGCAGCCAGCATGTACTATCCCATGCTGAAGAAGTTTTTCGACACCTTTTTTGAAGGCGACTTTCCCAACCGTGGCAAAGATGTGTTCCAGAAGCACTATGAAGAGGTCAGAAGCCTTGTGCCGAAGGATCGGCTGCTGGAGTATAAAGTCACCGATGGATGGGGGCCTCTCTGCAAGTTCTTGGGCGAGGCCATCCCCAAGGATTCTCCGTTCCCTAATGTCAACGACAACTCAGACTTTGTAACCCGATCTCGGCGTCGCAACCGTAACCAGATGAAGAATGTCGCATTCCGATACTTGGTCAACTTCATCATCGTCATCGTCTCTACAGTCGCGCTGCATCGACTGGCAGTGGCGTTGGGACCTTTCTAAAACTATAGTTGAGCATATTCAAGTATTTCTTTTTTGATTATTTATCCACAAATGGGATGGGAGTTTAGGTTTGTCCAATAGGTCCAAGGAACTCTGAATATCTGTTGTATACTTAATATGAGGTGCCATACTTATGGTTCCACGGGAGTTGGGAGTTCTCTCTATTCACCTCATAGATAGTATATTAGATATTATATCATGGTCTTTTTACTCATATTTCTGATGTCATTTCCATCTTCGCGATTTTCTAGAAGACAAAACAAGACGTGATGAGTGAAAGCCGACGAGTTATGGCAAATAGATCAGCTTTCATGATTTCGTGTCTTACTCTAGGCTAATGTAGTTCTACCAAGGTCATATTAATACCAAGGTCATATTAATACCAAGGTCATATTAATACCAAGGTCATATTAATACCAAGGTCATATTAATACCAAGGTCATATAACCAGAACAGACAAGTATAGTAATGGCAATTATGTATGCAAAGACGAAAAGAGTCGATGTATAAATCTACAAGATATCGGCAGAATACTCTCGGAGAGCCAAGCAGCTGCATAGTCAAAGATCCGGCTGTCTTATTGCCATACTTTCCGCATGAAGTTTGTTTGTAATGTCTTGACATTCAAGTGGTTAATATTGTATAAGATTATATACAAAATAATAGATATTTCAATAACTGAGGATATACGATGCCTCATTTAAGTCATGACTTCACTTTACAGGTAGGTATGTATCATTCATTATTCTCAAGGGTTTCAAGAATAAGTATTTAATAAACAAAATGACTTAATGCATATATAGCAAGCTTAAATTATATATTTACAGATCATTAGCTATTACACAATCGGTAGGATACCCCCCGTCCAATTGCCAAGATCCCTCTCATCAATCTCTCTACGTTGTTCACTTTAGAAATGCTGATATCCCTGCTATACGGTGGGTTCTTTACACATATCCATGTCAACCATGAAAACTCTAATACATCAAAATTCTGGCATCTGCATCAGTCACAAGCTATTCGTGAATGACAGGCCATCAGGTTTAGCATTACTTTCGAACTCGGCCCGGCTGCCGGCGTCCCCCGGTTACGATTCCGAGGATATGTCACAAAGCATCCGGTTGGCAAGGATATCGATTCATCTCTCATATGATCAATACCTTTGACTTTTTACAAACGATACCATCGTCAAAACGCTGCGGTTTTGGTAGATGGCCTCGGACATGCTGAGAAATTTTGCTTACACGTGAACGAGCCGGGGCCCCCCGCGTCGTATGACTTCCCTTTCGGACAATATCTGCTTCGGAGCGAGCCTAGTTCTCGAGATCTGACACCTTTTTTGCAAGGCTTACCATCATACGATCAAGGTCAAGGCCCTGAGCGGAGCAGAGGGATCGGTTACTACCGGGCCGGTAAGGGATGTGCCAGATCACCTCACTCATCATGCGATCTCCCTACCAGGATAAGAATGTCAGTGCAACAGCAATTCCCGGATCCGGCCGGCATCACTATCTTGCCTAATCAAGGCCTTTGCATTAATGGAGTAGAAGTTCCAATTAATTAATGTGGGATTCCCCGTGGGAAAGAAAAATTCTCTCGCGTGGAGGCCCTCCTCTCTGACAACGTGGGTATCACCTCACCTCACCGTCAAAACAGGTTTCCAGTTGTAGGCGTCAATCGCTAGCTTTCTATTGGATTTACGTTCGAATAGGCCGTGTGACTACCGATGTTCAGCTTGCAGATTCTTGAATGATTTTCAGACCGTGATGCGGAGATGCCGACGAACAGCTCTTTGCCCAGACCTTGGGTACCTTCCCTCGCACCTCAGATGATCTGAAATCATGCCATTCCCAGTATTGATGCTCTTCAATGCTACCATACTAACAGCAATGACAATGGCCCTTATTTCAAGCTAGCACTGACGCATGGACTCAATAATGGAGTGGATAAGCAGACTATTGTGCCATCACTGCTTCCACACCAAACTATTGATGAATGCTAAAGTAGCATCGACAGCCACTCGGATCACGGATACCGTATCATTAATCGCAAATTTGGCCGTGGGATCTCCTGAGATGTGGTTTCAAGCGGTGTTAGAGAATTAGCCCATGAATCATTAAGCGCTTCTAGTTAATTATGCCGTATAGTGCAACATTAATCCGATATCACAGCACCATTTATGTTTCATTACTATTGGATAAATGTTAATGCGAAGCCAATTATCCATCCTTCTACATTGGCTAGGCACAGGCTTGTTAAAACCGAGGGTATTGGGTTTGCCATACGTGATGAATAGACGAGCACTGATGGTTTCATCGCCATCAATGCGTTGCTAACGAGCCCTGTCCGGACTCCATCAGACCACACTCCACGGAAGTAGCCCATGAGCGGGATTTCGTCATGGGCCGTCGCAAGTGTTTTATTCATGTATCACCAAACAAGTGAGGTTTTATCATAGCTATTGCTTTGTGATGGGCATTGGATCGTCCCACCGGGGTAATAGATAAGCGAACTCTTCACAGCTAGTCTTTGGTTGGTTCCCACATCTTTGAAGCACAACAGAGTTCAGGCCACTCGGGTCTTTTCTATACCAAGAGAAGCCACAACTCAATTGGTAATGGCTGGTTTGTTTTACAAAGGGGGATCTGTAAGCAAGAGAGCGTTATGTCATGTTAGAACAGAGTAATCCATTCACCGACAGCCGTTGGGTTGCCACAACCAACAACTAGCTTCCTCTCAGGACCACAGCTCTTAACGTCTAACGCCTCTAATCAGGAACTAGGCTCTTGGATAACAAAGCATTGGTATTTGTACGGAGCAATTCTCCATCTAAATCGCGATCTGCCATCTACCCCGCCGTCGCCGTCTGGTCCTTTTACTTCAGTGGCGTTCGAGTTCGACCCGGACCTGGGAAGTCTACTGCCACCGCTCTGGCATTCGGTATCTCCAGGTTATGGCCCATCAACCGATGAGCAGAATTAGGTTTAAGCGAGGGGAGCTCAGGCCAACTCTTGATTGTCCCGAGGGAGCTCTCCTCGTACAGCCCTGAAAGGCTGATCGGGCTGTGGCTTTCTCATTGCCGGCGTGCGCCATCGCAAAGCTCCAGTAGCTCTCGGTGAACCCTCAGCTGTTCCATAGTTGCCAAGCATTGGCTATAGCTAAGCCTCTTTTCGAGTTATTCCGTAATGGATTGGAGGCGTGGGATGAATCATCCGACTTATTCCAGGGTAGGTCATTGTCTCATGAACGGCGTCATGTGGATTCTCGAACTTGATATCAGCTTCCATGTCAGCAGCCTGTTTGGCATTACCCGAAAGTTAAACCCAAGTAGCGCTTCAAGAGGGATGTTCTTATCAATGACTTGCCAACAGAGTGCCCTCTCAGCTCTAACCAATCTGATACAAAGTTGTCCAGAACCGAAAATTGCGCACGTAGTTCAGTCGCAATCCAAATGCTTCGACGTCATTTGCTGTTGGATCCTACAAGCTAACACCCACGAGCCAGCAAGTAAAGTTATTTCCCTCCCTTTCTTTGTTTATACATGGTACGTCTCCCTTTACGTGCTTGAGCATCGCCCGGCCCGATAGAATCATGGCAAACACATTCCAGAGGTTCAATCCAGACGCATATCGGATTCTCCGGCCCCGCATTCCCGGTCTCCGCCGTCCGTGTTCGTGGTATTCCGAGACGGACAACAGTTGGAGCTAGGGAGCAGCGCAGACCGCGGCAAAGCCATGTCGAGTGAGCAAGGGCAAATGCCACCCCAGGAGATGAAAATCTCGGCAGCAAAAAAAGAAAAGAAAAAAACTGGCTGGGTCATGCACACTCGAAACAATGGACAGCTGAGCTATCGACAGGGCGGATGCACTAAGGCAGCTAGTGGAAACTGTGATTTCCATCCTGCACCTAGCGGCCGCTATGGAGTTGTAAAAACGGCATTACCGGTGCGGCTCATGAAGAAGAGGTGACGCCGTCACAGAGGCTGTAAGCAGTCTAAAGGCAGAGCGCTTGCTCGTGCTGCTCAGTGAGACTGTGGCCCCGGCGAGATGCCGAGAGGAGTGGCGTGCCTGGATGACTTGCAGGCAGCCGCAGAGACTAGCTATGCATGAGCCTCCTCCTCCGCATTGCCTTTTTGCCTCCTGGGCGTTTCTCCAGGCGCCGAGCCATATTGAGTAGCAGTGTTGGATGCTCAATATTGATCCCTTGGGCTTTATTGGCCATCAGACATTCCTAAAAAAAAACACGAGTTTGTGACTGTGGATGCCTGCTTGTAGCCCTGTTTATGCAGTGCCGCCATGTGGTTGTCTCACTTTTTGGTAGCGGCATGGAGGCAAAACGAAAATTTGGATCGAGGGCATGACCCTGTGCACATGTACTGAAGTGTGATAGCACTGGCAGCATGCAGGGTTGCTGCAGGCAGCGGACTAGCAGTGGTAAAACTCTGCATGTAGATTAAACGGCTTGATGAGCAAGACTGCTGGCGGCTGGAGAGCTGCATGTCTGTGTAATGGTGGTTAGTCTGCTTGTCTGCCCAGTTGGACAAGGCGGACTCCCGACTCCGCATCGGCTCATCCGCCACCGGTCTCTATCGAGTCTTGCAGACGGTTGAGAAGAAGGACAGAGAAAGACGAAGAAAAAAACAAGCTCTGTATCAGGTATGTGGATCACTCACAGGAGCCTTTCATCACCCGCAATGATCGATCGGCCTGTTTGAAGATCCATGCTTGCTGTTTCGCCTCAAGTAAACTACTGTACCCTGATGAGAGATGTGATAGTCTAGATGGCGAGACAATCATCAGTCGATCTACTTGGTAGCGCACAATGAGAAACCTGCTGACAAAGGCCGGCTGGAGAGTTGGTCGCCGGATCCCTAGCCGCCGTCATCTCTCCCGAAACTTGGACCTGGGATGGTGCGCAGATGGCGTTGCTCAGCTGAGAGCCGGTTTGCCACGATATGTGCAAAGCCACCATTTGAAAGAGATAGTGGGCGGCATCTCATTGGATCCCCAAGCCGCCTTCCCAACTCGCCTTGTGTTGCTCCCGGTTTTACCAGATCCAATCATCCAACACTTGTTTGGCTCTAGTACGTGTGGTTGCAAGAGGCAGCAAAAGCTGCTGGGATGGGATATTGTGTTTCCCCCTTTCTTTGATATCGGGACCAGGCAGGGGCAGGACAGACACTGTGTCTCTGAGCAGGTTTGGCCTCAGGCCACCCCCAAAAAAACCAATCTTGATGTCACATTGATGGATTCGAGCCAGGGCCATGTCATGTCCGAACCATCCTAAGCGGAATATGCTCCGTGGACCCAGGCGAAAAGGGCTGGTAGGCAATCTATTGAATGTGCACACATGGGCTCGTAATGCTGCTAGCAGCTGGGTAGACTCCGTTCTAGTTGCTTCCAGTACCTTGTAAAATAGAAGCTGGACCAAGCCAGCCCGGAGAGATGGAGCATGTGAGCATGTATAGTGGCAGTCAATGGCAAATTACGTGGTGGTATAGGGTATGCCGGCAGAGCGAAACATGGATCCGAGTTTGGTATCGTATGAGTCTGGTATGAGTCCAACGAAATGGCCACCTTCGCACCAAGTGCTGTACACGTAATGAGTCGCACGAAGATGCTGGAGTAGTCTTGTTAAGCGCCCTGCCTGTTTCACTCTTCAAGACAGCAAACATGGCCACATAGCCCTGCATAATTGTACAGTATTCGACATGCCACTCCCACTGCTCTCCGTACCGCACCGTACGAAGAAGGGCGATCGAAAAAAACCATGAAACCATCGGCTATCAGTGTCCTCTAGAGTGATGGATCGCCGTGCGGATCGCAATGCAAGCTCAAAGGCCCGTGTTCGCTGGCCAGGGATCCGCTAGGCGAGCAGCAAAGCCGAGAGCCCGTGCTCTGTCGTCCATGCAAGTAGACACACTGCTGCCAACTTCAAGAGTGTCATGGCCAGTGGCACGGCAGGATGAGATCGGCGGATCCCAGCAGAGAACAGCAAGTCAAAGGATTCAGGCCGAGTCAAAAGGAAGCACAGGCCACGCAACAAGGACAGCCCTTGCACCAGAGGCCAGATCCAGGTCTTGCGTTGCCAGGGATGCTATACCGAAGCCGGCTAGGAGCGGGCCATCCGCTGTGACATGGCGCAGAGACAAGAAAATCCTGGTCCAGAGGGTCCAGAGGGTCGAGAGGCAGGGCGAATGTCGTAGACTAGAAGAAAAAAAAAGGGGACTGAGACGAGTTGATTTCAGAAGATGCAGAACAAACACCAGACCGCCTGTTTGCGCTGGCCCGTACTGGGTACCTATGCTACGTGCGGATTGCGGATTAGCCGCACGGACCGTAGTCTGGACTCGCAGCGGAGAATCAACGGCCGCAAACTGTGTACGTGGCCAGCACGTGTACAAGTACCTCGTATCCCTTGCACCAGGCAGTGGCACTCAGGCCGTAGCGAGCCAATCAGGGCGCCTGGACGGCCCGTCCTTTGGCCCAGGGTTCTATCAAGATCTAGACAAACTCTATCGAGTCACGACGTGCACAAGGACTATTGACAACAACACCGGCCACCTCGATGAATGTGTGCATGTGTGAATGTGTGCTTGGAGGCATCACGCGGGCGTTCATCTCCGAGACAAGAGGCCACCGCGAGGGAAGCGGCGCCGGGGAGCTTTGAGGCCTTGCCGTGGAGATGGATGGAACGATGACTGGTGGATGGATGGATGAATGGATGGGTGGGTTGGTGGATGGATGAGAGACGGATGGATGGCCGACGCAACAACGGCAGAAGTAAACAACAGAAACAAAAACAGCAACGACGAAAAACAACAGCGACTATCAATCAATCACACCCCCTTGCTTCTCTCTGCTCCAACACAATCGAATCATCACGGCCATTGGACCGCCTTGGCCTCACTGACGGACAAGCCACCAGCCCTCCATCTCTGCCGCTTTGCTGCACCAATCCTGCTTGGAAGTGCTTGGAAGGGCGTCGTGAAATCTGCAGGCTAGTACCAACCGCGGCTGCCAAGTGCATCAGGTTGACTGCGCAATATCCCACTTCTGCTTCTGACGGCGCTTCCATTGGACGCCTCCTTCTTCATCTCCATATCGTGGACGCAGCACAAGCAAATGCAACGCAACGGGCCCGGAGAACAGCCTCACTGCTCGGCTTAGGGGTGGGACCTCTGCTCCCTTGTCCTCTTGAGATTGCCATTGCTCCAACGGAAAACAAGGCTGGGCCAGGCATTGCATAATGGCTCCAAGCCAGACTCGGGTGGGGACCTGTTGTGACAGTGGCGGGTGATTGGTCTGGTGCAGCTCTGCTTCTCTGTGTCTTTGCGGTGCCTCATCACGTCCCAATCAGACGACGACGCCACAAGCGGATGCAAGCCTCCGCTTTTGGCCCAGCGCCCGTGCGGTCCATCATCGGCTGAGCAGTTGGCTCATCTCTGCTGCGGGCGATATTGGCCACGTTTACTCCGTGCTCACACGGGCTCTGTTGCCGCTGGTTTTCTTCCTAATGTGCGGCCCCGGGGTGTTTAGTTCAGCACGGCATGTATGATGTATGGTGGACAGCCGACTGAGCGAGTAAACGACAGGACGGTGGCGACACTTCTACGGCTCTCATGCTCGTTGTACGGAGTACAGTGTATGCACACTCCAGCGGATTCTGGCCATGCTCGCTTCCCCCAAACACCAGTTGTTGATGCTTATCCCCCTTTGGCTCGTCTTGCCTTCATCCAACTGTGTCTACGTCCACTAGACTGCCAGCGCAGAGGGACATCGTGATGCCAACACCGGCCGAGTTGTCGACCACATGGCGCCTAAGTATTATTAGCAGCTGCATTGCATTCCTCAGAATTGCCATTGGCCAACTCTTCGCTGTGTTTCCGACCAGACAAACGCTGCTCAGGTTAATCCAGAAACCTCAGGCCCCCTGAATCCTACTGTCTGACCGGCAGAGTCTGCACACAAACACTCCCAACGTGGCGATTCATACTGTGCTGGCAGACCACTGCGGCACCGTGCCAGGGTATGGACTTGGGTCCGCATAACAACTTGGCCAGTCACGTAGCAGCAGCCATCACCATCCGTTTCCTGCATAACTTCTCAAGGCTGGCTTTGCTATTGGCTTGCGGTGGCCTCAATATCACCAACGATGGGGAATGTAATGCACAGATGCATTGCACAGCGGAGAAGACACAGTGCCAACTGAGAATTACGCACCCACGGGCTGTTCTTCTCGTCCATGTTACTGTTTTGGTTGCAGGTGGCAGAGAGCTGCAATGCAGCTTTCCTGCCCATTGAACTGATACTGGCCCAATCTCCTGCAACGCTTGCTGTCAACTTGAAATGGCCGCTTGCAGTCATTGATCTGCACAAGCAGCCGTCCCCGCTCCAGCCAAGTAGCAGATGGCGAAATGGCTACGCGAGGTACAGGTAGCCTCTGTGTCAGAATGACTATTGATCACCAGCCAGACAGAACGATGGGCATGCAGAGGTGGCCTGGGCAGGTTGGCAGGCAGGCGGGCAGGCAGCATTGCTTCATGCATTTCGGTCTGGCTTGCTGCCTATACCCACCAGACGCCCAGATGAGGGTCAGCGTGTTGTTGTGCGTGCTTCGCTGGAAGACACCAGACATGGAGAACGAGTAGACGGGGGCCCGGCCAGTGATCGAGCGCATTGACTGTTGCCATTGCTCCAGCAGCCTGAAGTGGGAGCGAGGTACAGACTACTCAACAGAAAACAGCTGCTAGCAGCAAGCAGCGGAGTACACCGTACTAAGTCGCCCACCCGTTTCTTTCAACCAGCATTTGCCTCCGCCACAGAAACTTTGGTCGGTGGCCTGACAGATCCGTCCCCGTTCCAGCAGTCACCCAAGTCGCCTTAGAGCGCGGGCGAGTCAAGCCTTTCCTTATTGACTTTCGCACATAACGGAAATGTCATGTCAGTCACGCGGCCGACCATGACGCTTTTGCCAGGCAGTGAGCGAGTGGGTGGTGGGAAGCACGCCAGCCAGTCAAGTCGAGCTGTGCAAGTGGCACGGCTTGGTTGATGAAAGGGTGTTGACCTGCTGTGGCCCGCCGCAGATCCGACGTCCTCGCCCCATTACGGCGGTTCAACCTTTCACTGTGACACCGTCGAAGCCGACTGGATCGGGGGGGCTGGAATCGCCTAGGTGTTTTCCTTTGGCCACTATGTTGACGTTGTGAGTGGGACCAAGGGTCGCTAGTGCAAGCCGAGCAGAAGGGGTGTGTTGTGTGAGGGAGGGCGAGCAGCGGATGACACACAAGTCACAGCGAACCGCTTCATTTGGTGTGTCAGAGTATGCTCGCTCTCGTATATTGCTCAGCGTCGCGCTACGATCCCTGCTTCGCTAGTCCGGTGCCCACCCAAGGCTGTCGACGAACCTTGCAGCGCTGGTTAAGAATAGCTGGCACATTAGCCCCCCCACCCCTGGCCGCCTAAGACAACGCCCATGCCATTCATCTCTTCCAACAGGACCAGGGTCTGATGAGCTTTCCACCAGTGGGTCTCTTGGGTGTGGATGCTCCGCGCAATTCGCAGGCCCCCGAGACGAAAGAGACGGGGTACGTATTCACTGGGTCTGAAGAGTCGCCCGCCTCGCTCTCCAAGGTCTAGTCAGAGATCCACGCCGTGGCCAAGGTCCGGTTTGATATCTACCTCTTGTTGCCCACTCTCGGCCGAGGGTCAATTACACGCATCACCACGTTCACGACATTCCTTCAACGTCCATCTTCCTCTCTCCCATCAATTCAAGTTTTCTTTCTGGATTCCAGGATTCCAGGCCCCGTCTCACCTCTCTCATACTATTCTCCATTATTAGTCCGGTACCCTCGACACCCCGAAGCCGTTGACAATTCAACGCCGTTCTTGACCCGTTCGTTCGGCCGTTCGAGAACTTTTTCTTTGCTTTATGCGGCTGCTTCTGGTATCCCATTGGAACTTCGGCCTGTGATTTATACGGGACCCTCCACACACGTCGACAACTTCCAAAGGAAAACACCCCCAATCAACTCACTCCGCCCAAAGGATCCTTTTCTTTTTTTTCTTTATTCTTTTTTGTTAATCTAATTCTCCTGTCTCCTTCGGATCTGGTACTTGACCTGAACCCTTGAGGACCACCGAACTTTTGGAGAGCCCCCCTACAAGTCGCTTAACATGCAGCACCATGCCCCGTACGGATATCCCACTCCCCCGGCCTCTCCCGCGTACGACAACCCCAAGTGCAACGTCCAACAGCCCTTTGCGACACGCACTTTCCAGCCCCGATGTGTACCCCTTGCCCCAGAGCAGCGTTTAGGACGTCTTCTCGAGGGTAAGCTTCAGCTCACTGATATCCTGGGTACCGGCGCATATGGTGTCGTCTACACTGCCCTGGATATCAACACTGGAGTTAGGTATGCTGTCAAGTGCCTGAGCAAGTACAATGCCGACGGAACACCACTGGAACGCCGCCAGATTGCCTACCAGCAGCGAGAGATTCGCCTGCACTACCATGCATCGGCACACCCAAATGTGGTGTCCATGTTGAAGATTGTCGATGATCCTGACTGCATCTATGTTATTCTAGAGTACTGCCCTGAGGGTGATCTATTCTTGAATATCACTGAGCGCGGCCAGTACGTTGGTAAGGATGAACTCTCTAAGAAGGTGTTCCTTCAGATTCTGGATGCCGTTGAGCACTGCCACAACTTGGGTATCTACCACCGGGACCTTAAGCCTGAAAACATTCTGGTCACCGACAATGGAGAGACCGTCAAGCTGGCCGACTTTGGACTGGCCACCAGCGAGGACCGCTCCGAGGACTACGGATGCGGCTCAACTTTTTACATGAGCCCAGGTAAATATAATCAACCATTTCACCAAGACGACAACACGCAATTGGCTAACGGAGACGACTTTGCAGAGTGCTTGGACCCTTCCGCGAGAAAGCCCTACTACATGTGTGCCCCCAATGACGTCTGGAGTCTAGGAGTCATCCTAGTTAACCTGACTTGCGGACGCAACCCATGGAAGCAGGCTTCCTTTCAAGACTCCACCTACCGCGCATATGTTCGCTCACAGGACTTTCTCAAGACAATTCTCCCCTTGACTGATGAGCTCAATGACATTTTGGGACGCATCTTCAACCCCAACCCCGAGCACCGGGTGACTCTCTCTGAGCTGCGCAACAGGATCATTGCTTGTTCCCAGTTCACCGTGCCAGCAGTGCCCACCATGACCCTGCCCACACCCACTTCCACCCAAGACCAATACGTTTCCAACGAGGACGCCATAGTCGATGACTATGACTGCGACTCGGCCCTCTCGCCTGTTTCGACGTCGTCTAACGAAGGCTCACTCATCTCGAGTGTGTCGACCCTTGATGACCTTGATGAGGATGATGAGGATGAAGACTGCATGGCAGATCAGCAGGACTTGCCTCGGGAATACATTCCCCAAACATACGAGCCAGAGGACTTTGGCGAGCAGCAACCCGTGTACCACGGCCACGAGTACGTCCCACAGCAGTACACTGGCCCTGTGCCCGTCCCTGTTCTGCATGCTCCCATTGTTCCCGTCCCTGTGGTGGCAGCGCCCATACAGCACATGCCCTGCCAGCAAGTCCCGATTCCCATTCAGGCACCCATTCCTGTACAACCTGCTTGCCAACCCAAGTCCTTCTTCCCACTATGGGAAGTGGTCAAATACGTTCAGCAGGTGCCAATGATGCAGCATCCTGTACCTTTCCACCAACAGGTGTCTTTCTTATCATCCCTCCCTGGCTGCTACTAAAGACTTACACTTTGGCGAGGCCGTATCGACATTGTAATACTTGTCGGCCTTGCCATTCAACTTTCTTTTCAAGAAATTTTTCTGGCTTCATTGAACATAATGTTACCGCTACCTTTTCATCGGCCTCAACGACCAAAGGCTTGAAGCCAAAGAGCCGATCTTACATCTTTTTTTAATGCTATACGCATCCGGAACAAACGGGAAAAAAAGGCGTCTTGACAAATTTTACAGCGACAAAATTGGATACCTCATTTTGAGGTGTCACGGCTTAATATTCGATTCACAAATTGTATCTATCCAACTTTTTTTTTTTCTACTATTCGCCTTTGCCGCACTGGATCTTTCCTTTTTAGCGGGGAGTTTTTTGTTCTTTTTTTAATCTAAAGGATGAGGAGTTTGGGAAGCGTGTCCTTCGTACCCGAGGCATCAGTACCGGCGCAAAGAAATTTGTATGGGGAGAAAGAACGCATACAATGCAGTGGCTTTTTGATTTGTTTTTGGAGAACGAAAGATGGGGAGTTATTTGCGAACTTTTTTTATGGAAATGAGATGGAAACGACGTTTGACGAAGAAAAACAACCTGATTATGAGAAGGCTCGCTTCGGAGCTGGATCTACGCATTCATTCGTTATGGGACGGCAAAGGAACAAATCCGCATTGCCTTTTTTTTTTTTTTTTTTTTTTTTTTTGGGAAAGATTTTGGACTGGGGAATTGTAAGACTCGGCTCCTGGTTTTGGTGTTCTGCTTGTGAGAGATCACACAAAGATAGAAGATTTTGGGCTCAATAGCCCTCGCGGACTTGCTAAAATTGCTACCGCAACACGTTTTAACTAAGAAGAGAGGAAGGCCGGCTAATAGCCACTGCTTTCAAAACCAAATATACGTTTTATCAGACACCAGAATAACATATGTTTCCAACCTTTGTGCCTTTGTGTTTTGACTTCTTCACTCTTCAGTTCTACTCGACATTCATTGTCGCAGGGGACCAGAGCAGCCTCCTCGACACGCAGGGTCTACTACGAGTACGTCTACTACGATCTACTTGGAAACTGAAACGGGGACGAGATACTAGCCATGGGTGGTATCTCGGAGGACACTGAGCATCGATGATGAAGCGAACGATGGGTAGCCAATTTTACTACCTGACCAACCTACCATGACTCTTGAATGGGTAACATGTGGTGCCAACGCCAGCGAGCCAGTTCATCCCCTGAGCTAGTGGCCGCAGGTTCCGGGATCCAGTCACAGATTGACAAGATACAGGTATAGAAAGAACGCGCCATTTTTGGAGTGGGCAAGGGGTGTGAGGAGCAAACACGCATTAGTCAACTTTTTTTTTTGTCTCATGAGTCTATCGGCAGTCCTACGACTGGGACTGCGTGCTCATGAGATGGAAGTAGTGGGGACGGGCGAAGAAGAAAGAGGGGAACGTGTTGATTCTAATCGTGGACTTGCGTGGCGCCAGTCTATTCTTTCTCATTCTATCTCAGTCCCTTTGGAAGGGATGGAAGATGTGGATGACGCCAAGGCAATGAAGCTACGATAAACGAATACTAGCGCATCAATGATGTGGAGGCTGACGGGATTCTAGGTGCTTTGTTTGGGAGAACGTGACGGTTAGTGGATGGGGGCCACTGCCACTAGCAAGTTGTCTGAAGCAAAAGGGAAAAGGCAAAAAGAGGAGAAGTTCTAGCAGGATTGGCTAGCCCAAGGTTAGGTAGGAAAGGCAGAAATTGGCTTTCTCGGTTCTTCCTGGCTCGATGTGACGCTGTGGGGTGGGAGGAGCCGAAATTCGACATGGATTGGTGATGAAATGCACTTGGACGAGGCGGGATTAGCCCAAGAGGGTGGGCAGAGACGACGCTTGGGAGGGGATGGGAAGGATTAGATGGGCTGCTATTAGAGGAGATTGCAGATGATGATGATGATGTGAGCGAGGAGCCAATGGCTTGGATAGGCGTCGATGCGTGTGGAGATGGCCCAAGAGGCCAAGCAACTTGGTATCCGGGCAGTGTTGGATGGATCATTGAAGGGGGTCTCGACTGGAAGCAAGACCTTCTACTGGTTAGACGGAACGCCTGTTTCGGGCATAGACTTGGAGAAGCTGCTTCATGCTTGATGAGGTGGTGTGGTGAGGTGGTATTTTGGCTGCGGGCAGGGGTTGGGGGATGCAGACGAGCAATCAACGGCATCTTGTTTCGTACTAGCATTAGGTAGCGTCGATGCGGGAAACGAATGGGATTGGAGCAACGACTTGCAGGAATCGAGGCAGAGCCGGAGATTGCGAGCTTTGCCCGCACAAGTTAACGGGAAAATGGCATGAGAATGGGAAGAAAAAGGTGTGGCGAAGACTGTGCCTAGCGTTTGAGGAGCACATGCATTAGATGAGAGGGGCGGTTGGTCTCTTGTGTTTGTTATCCCGAACCTGACAAATGAATGTGAGGAGAGATTTGGGTGTGAGGCGGCAGACGATGATTGGGGCGATTTGGTAGCTCTGCCAAGGGTCGGGTTCATAAGGATGGGCGCGAATACGTGTTAGTGATGAAGCTCATGATGCTCGGAAAGGCGGCGGATGCGGTCATGGGCGTTTGGAGATTGCAATTTGGTGGGCCGAGACGGCATCTAACTGGAGATGATGAGGCCCGGATTTGGGCAACGAAGATGCCGGAGGACTGATTCTGATTTGATGGCCGAGACGAAACTTGTCTGGAAACTTGATTCGGGAGCAGAGGCATTGCCCAACGATCGAGCGTGTCTTTCCTCTAAGACGTGTGAGGCAGGGCGAAGTAGAAGCAAGGGGACGTTGACGCAGGCAGAACAAGATGCAGGGAAGCGTCATCCATCGCAAAAGGTCACAGACATGATCCTGGGAACCGGCCTTTCTGTTTTTTTTTGCCCCAGAATATTGGGATCAAGGCTGAATGCTCCGTCCCGAATATCTGAGCTGCCCTGGCCATCCCATTAAGGCGTCATCAGACAAGAATAGTAAGCCCGAACTAGCAGTTATCAAGCCTGGCCTGGAATCTTAGTGGCAGAGGGGAATAACAAGGCAACGCGAGTTGTGTTAGACGCAGGGCGAAGGAGGATTTTAGTGGCTGGGGGGAAAACTAGCAGGCATTGAATGGTTATTCTCGAGCCGCTGTCGGGTCATCTTGCATGGGGTTTCCTTTGCTTGGTATGGGATGATACTGTAAAGGAAGCAATGAATCCTCGTACTGTGGCATGTAAGAGGAGCGAGGATCGGGGCTGTGGTTGATTCTTTTTCTGGCTGCCAGGGCTATCCTGGAGAACCCTTGGCAAGCAGTCTTTTCTGCCTCGATATGGATATGCCTTGATTGCAGGGTAACGGGACTAACAGACACCACATGTGGCTGCGAAGAGAAACAAGAGGCGTCATGATGGGAATCTCCCTTGGCCGGGTGTCATCCAAAGCTGCAAGGTGTAAGCCGGCTCTGTTCCGGTAGCGCCATCTCTCTCCTCTCCTCTTTACTGGCCAGTCACTCAGCCGTTTTACGCCAAGGCATGATTATCACGGCACGAAAAAAAAAACACATCACAGAAGCCAAACAAAGAGAAACACACCCCCGTTTTGTGATAGAACCTCACGGGACCATGAGACACGGCAGCATGGGTGACTAGCAAGGTCGGTCTCTGCATCGGTCTACTTCTGACCGGGGTGAACTGAGATTTTTGGCTGAGATGATGACTGCTGAACTTTTCTTTTTTTCCTCCTCCCTTTTGTCGTTGGTCACACCCCTGTCGCGCCGCTTCATGCCTCATGGCAGCCTAGTAGAATAAGAAAAAGCACGGACTCGAACAAGCAAGACAGAATGTCCAATCATAGCATGGCGTCGAGCTATTCCTGGGCACTCGGCAGAAAAAAGGGCAATGGTTCCATGTCAATTGTCATCTGTCTTACTCGATGATGGGCTAGAGTAGCTTGATCACACCGCTTTTGCTCGCGAGCTGAAAAAAAAAAGAGAGAAAGGATAGAATAGAAACTACAATGGCCGGGATGATGCTAGTACGAGCAGCCTAGGAAGCGGATATTCTTGGTGGCAGCCCAGCTGAAAGCGCCAGGAATGACGGGCTGACAATAATGCTGGGCGCCATGAGCAATAAGCGTCGTGCCTCGCTCACCGAAATCGCGGGGCGACTGAGTCCCGGCTGGTCAGGATTTGCTGAGGCTTGAGAGAGGCTTACCGCTGTGTTGTATTTTTGCTGAGCAGGATTCATTTCAGTTGGGCATTGGATCCTTGCTTGCTTGTGTATGAGCCCAGGTACGGAGTTGAAATCATGCCGTGCCGCCTGTAAGATACCGAGCGACACTGCATGATACAATATTATGTAGGTCTACGGAATAGCTGCTTGAGAGACGCGGCATAGGGCCGAGAGCGTTGGTCAAGGCTCAGATCGAGGCAGAAAGATGCGGAGACAGAGGCCGAGGGCGAGGAGGAATGGGCAGCAGACTCGTTCACTCACTCAACTCTCCCATCCCACACTCTGAGTCTCGACTCAAGCTCACGCACACGGCCGAGTCCATTTCCGTCCTTGCAGGAAATTTGCATGAATCCAATGCAACTCCTCCCCACTGTCGGTCCTCAGGCAACAGAGCGAAAAAAAGGGCTCATGGCCACCATTCGCTTGCGTCTGGCTTCTCTGCCACCGCCACGTATCGCATGTATGCGCATGTCCCAATAGCGCCACTGCCAGCATGCATGTCTCTCCAGAAGCGGGAGGCTAAAATCCGCCATGTGCGAAGAGGCAGACGAAGCTGGATGGCCCTTATCCTTGCCGGGTTACTTCGTCTGGACTGTACTACCCGTAGGTGGCATCAGGGCTGCTGCTGCTAGCATGTATGAGTACCACAATGCATGCAGAGAACCTCGGCCATGTACAAGTACAGTATCGTATGGCCTTCTGAATAAGATGAGTGGACGAAGACGAGCAACAAGAGGGTCAGGCGGCATTTGGGCTTGCGCTACTGCTGGTGACACGAAAGAGCACACAGTCACATGCGGTGCTTACTGCTTGTGGGAAATAGTGGACTGTTTCTCTGTCTTGTCCTTTTTCCTTTTGTGAGCTCTCATATTGGCTGTTGCTGTGGTGAGAGGGAACAAAAAGGTGAGAGTTGATAGGGTCGACAGGTTCGCTTGGGGCCCTTTTTTTGCTTGGGCTGCTGTGCATGCCAAGTTTGGGCTACGACTCAATAACTTGTTTTTGTTCGTGCTTTGTATTTACCCATGCTTATTTTTTGTTTGTTTGTTTTCAGGGCACCGTCGTGATGATTGGTTTGCCATCTGCCAGGGCCAAGACGGAATGACTCTCACTTGCAGTATCAGGCACAAGTGTCATTTCTATTCTTCGTGATTTGCCGTTAGATGAAGCTCACGCCTGCATCGATGCAGTGAGAAGACGGCTCGGAGAGCGCCTGAAAGGGGGGTATCACGGAGGACTCCGTACGGAGTACAACCAACATGCCGTCCACTCTGGGGGGTTGCATCCAAAACACGGCAAGCATGCGGTCAGAAAGATCTCATGTTACAGGTAATTTTTCTCCTTGTTCTTGGACATGCAACCTGAGTCCCCTTAGCAGCAAGGAACGAAATCAAGAAATATGAACTACTATCTGCAACTGCCGGGACTCTCCACAATTCGCGGAAGGATGTCGGTCTCTATGTTACATTTACATGCCATGACCCTGAACTAGTTAAAGCAATGAGAAAAGCCGTAGGTTATTTGACTGCTGACTGCCTTTCGTTTTGTGCTTGTGCCGCCGAGATCGACGCGCTCCACCGGCAGTTGATCGTGTAGTTCGTTTACAGAGCACTGTATGATAGTAGCCGAGTTTGTAATCCTAGATGGGCCGGGATTTCGTGAGATTGAAAGGGACGACGCGATTTTAGGCCTGTCTGAAGCTCAGCTGGCAGAATGACACTAGTACGCCCATTGGTAGGTTTACACGTAGCTAATCGTTGTTTCGTCCGCCGACGACGACAAGCGCCGATGCCCTTTAGCGTTGGTATCGGCGATACTGTTTTCTGTAATACTCCGTTTGATGTACTTGTCTCTTGGCCTAGACTTGGGCATCGTGCCGGCGTTGGGCTGCAAAACACGGTACACGGCCGGTGTCTGATACAAAGCAAGGGCGGTTTGCTTTTTGGCTCTCGGCATCTGATTCCATTGGCACAGTTTCGGCCGTCGGGCACGGAGGATCAGCGGGCCCCCAAAACGCCAAAGTTGTTGTGTGGGATTGGCAAACGCAAAAGGTTCAAGCCTGACCCGATGCCATTGCGTTGGAATGGAGCCAAGAGGGGGTTGGTGATGGCAACACAATTTGCCTACTCCGTGCTGTATCTACTAAGCTGGCATTGGTCTAGGTCCCCAAGCCACTTGTGAGATTGTGTGATTGATCGGGAGACGATCCAGCTGGTGTTTCAGTGGTGGCAGTGTATCAGATGTAAGGATACTGTCCATGTACCGCAAGAAGCAAACAAACAGCGCCGGCTATCGCTCAAAAGTCAAACTGCCTTGCCAAGCACGGGATGGCGTTTGACCTTGCGTGTCAAGTTGGGCCGAGAAGCTGAAATGAGCCCATTTTCATTGTATCTTCTCGCACGGAGGCTCCAGAGCCAAGCGGTGGCAAGGTTTATTGTTGGATCGGTCACGGGGATTTTGGTGGAATGGCCGACGCCGCTCCGGGATGCGGGCGGCCGACCCGGTATTGCCGGGAGTTGCGTAAGCAATGTTTCGCCGCGGAGGAAGCAAGAGTATACGTAGTAGGAGCAAAAGCAGTAACAGACTTGCAATCCCGGAGCTATGGAATGTGGATTGAGACTTGCGAGATCCGACGAGGGTATACCGGACGGGATGGGATTTAGCATAGTGGTATGACATGACTTGCGAGACTGGATCGGGTTGACTAAGTTTGAAAGAAGATCTGATGCTCCGCGGCCGGAAACTTTTACCATCTCAGCTGAAATCTGACAAGGTATTCTGCTTACACTTTGACGGCGATAGATACCTACGACACTTGTTTGCCACTGTGGGAATCTTGGGGAATGTTTCCATCGGTCAACTGTCAAAGAACCGCTGATGCTAGATGGTGGAGATCAAACTAGTATACCTGCCGAGGCTCAAACAACTCATGAGTTTCTACTCCGTAAACCTCATCTACTGCCATCGGCCATCCGCTCATTGACTCGCCGACACAGTTTCTGCGCATTCCATCTACAAGAAAGGGGGAAAAAACTCATTACGGAACCAAACGGATCCCGATGAACATCCAACATGCCGTCCCCTTTCCGCGTAACCGGAGTAAACGGAGCAAAAAGTTTTTTCAAGGCAGCATTGCCGTAGCTCGAAACTGAACCGCCGCCCCAACGTTGCGTAATCCTGAAATGACACTCCACGACATTCCGCGGGCAACGGGATCTGTCACCTTGGTTCCTATTTTGGATTGAGCAGTTTCCCATCACGGTATCTACGGCCCACGTCTTATGCCAAAATCTCGGCCTCTTCGGAATCCGATGGCAAAAGAGGCCTCGATATGCTTAATCAGGAGGAATGGCTGCCTGGATGATGTGTAACCATAAGTCTTCGGAACCAGTGAACTATCCGATGCCACTGGGGAAGGACGGAAGCCAAGGGTTCTAGGCATCCCGTGTGGTAGAGGAGAAAGTGATGAGGCATGCTGAGGGTCAAGCAAGATACCTTTTTGCTATTGCCACGGCTCAACACTAGGCTTTACCGGAATGTGCTGCTTGAGGAGTGATGATGACGAGGCAAGCAACATGTGATGGATTTGGAAGAAGAATGTTTTGTCATGATACATGCCGCCTTACAAACGCCATTGTGTTGAGGCTGGATCGCCAAAGACTTGGGTCAGCGGCTTCTGATCATGTGGGTTCTCGAGGTTTGCAAGACCCAAACTCCGATGACGAGAAATCATTCGTTTATGTAATCATCAGCTTATTAAATATTGAAGCCTCGGGACTCTCAGCCACCGGAAGCTGTGATGGTTCGGCGCCGGAGAGAATCGGCGCTGAAAACCGGGGTGGGGCCGGGTCTTAGTGCCAGTGTAATGGTTGAGATATCGGGCAGTGGTGGTTGAATGTTGAATAGATGACTATGTGAAGCTGTTTGTAGATTGAGGGAAAAGATGATTTGCATTCGCCAGAATGACCATCTAGCCCCTTATAACGGTGAGGAATGAGTGGCATGTCTTTGCTCATGTTGCCAATTCCGAAATGGAAGTTGACGTAATTTTAATCCATCTACCTTTATTCGCTCAATATACACACATCATCTTCTGTCAACCTTATACCAGACTCTTGACAAAGAAGGAACAGTCATGCTTGGTTCCGCTTGACGACTTTGCATACTCAGGGCAAATACCCCATTCCGTCCATCCATTCCGCAAGTAAAACTGCCTCGCCGGGGTCTCCTTCGATGTGTCCAGCAACAACAACTCTAGCGCAAACTCCTCTCGCGCGACTCTTTCAACCTCGTCCATCATCCGTCGTCCCAGGCCATGCCGTCGATAATCGGGATGTACCATCAGCTTCCTGATCTCGCCCTTGTAAGAATGTGTCTCCTTGGCCATCCTTGCGAGCTGCACCGTGGCAACGACCTCGTTGCTGCCGGGAGCCGTCGCTATCAACAGCGTTGTTGTTGCGCCAGGCCCAATGACTGAAGGCAGGAGTTCAAGCCAGTAGCTGATGGCCGTGTGGTCCGTCAACGGCGCCAGGAAGCCGAGCGACGAAATTTCCGGCTCATCGTTGATGCAATGCTGGAGGAGCTCTCGCAGCGATGTGAGGTGTTTCTCCACAGCTGAAGCGTCTGTCACTGGGGAGATGACGAATGCAGGGTCCTTGTTGCTGCCCATGTTTGGTGCTTGAGAAGGCTTTAAAGACCTCTTGATGCTGATGTTGTTGGACCTTGTCAGAGGCGCCGTGTGAGGCTATCGATGATGTGTATATGGATTAATTCGCTGCGGTTGAATCAAACTTGTCTTGGAGCTGTCGTCGGCCCGAAATTTTGACTCATTCAGCCGTTGCCCGGTATACCATGTATGTCATTTCAATATCGAGTCATCACAGATATTTTCATCTCCGGGTTTGATAAGAGATATGTCAATATTTTATTATTAAATCGACGTTATCAAACCCATAAAGAAGCATAAAAAAATGAAAAAGACTCATGACTGACGATAAGAGACCCGTTGCCAGCACTTATTCGGGGTCCCGAAAAATCGGCCGGACCAAGTGGAGGCGGCTGGTCCCTAGACGGCATCAAAAGCCGCATTGATGCGGGGATCGTTATCGGAGACTGTTCATTTGCTGAAATGCACATGTATCGACTTATTCGGCAGGAAGGGCGTGTTTGACTGCTGTAGCTGTAGAATATGGGAGTTCCCTTGTAACACAAGCACACGATGAGTTGCTGTAGGCGGAAGTAGCGGCAGTCTCGCCATCACTATCACCGTCATTATCAACCCTGAATATCAACAATAGCTGTTTGATCAAGCAAAGCACGGCTGCCAAGATCCGCCTCCAACTTGATCCATCGTAGCAAACTCTCCACCTTGAAGACCGCTGGTTCTGCAAACCGCTCTGCAACGCTGATGCTGTCTCATATCTGCATTATATCACCACACGGGCTTTCGTATAGAATGAATATTTGCTTAACAGGGCATTTTAGTAGCTCTCTAAAGATGCCTTGTTTGCTAAATTGACCTGCTGGGAGTCCGTGCCTGTCGATTTTGATCCTGGTGCACATGGTTTACCGACATGTGGTGTCTTGAAAGTAGAGCTTGGACTCGGTATTAATGCTCTCCGTTTCCAGTACGTACAGTGATATTCGATACTTTATATGCTAACTTGAAAACTTTTCCACAGATTCGGTGTGACTTATAGATCTAAAGGCATCAGACACCGGCATTGAGCATCGCCGTACCGACTTGGCATTCATTAAGAATAGAGTCGACATCACCGCTTTGACTCACATACACCCATCTCTCATATAATTGCCAGTGACAATGGAAAACATGGCAAACTCAATGGCAAAGCCTAGCTCTTACAATCATGGAGGCAGCGCTGTCTGTATTTGCTACCCACCCCAACAGCCAATTTCCTAAAATCTCAAAGTAATCACTCAGTGTGAAACAGTGTCTCATCCTCATTTTGAGGCTCCTGAATAGAGACAAAACCCACAAACACCACATCTAGATGTTGGAAACCCCAGTTCGTTCGTGATGGCCAACAGAACCAAGCTTTCTACTACACCGCTGTGAGGCCCAAACATGGGATCAAGACTCAACACACCGCTCACGAAGCAACACTGCAAGCAAACATGAGAGAGAAAGCCAGCTACAGAGTACTCAGTTTGACTATAAAGCTTCCTTGAAATCCTACGAGAACTTTTCTTTTCTCCTCACCAAGTTCTCTCGCACACCAGCACTGCAGAATTCACCATTCTTCTCTCAGCAATTCTAAATACTTCCATTTGCAAATCTTTCGAAATGGTTTCCTTCATTGCGACCGCTCTCTCTGCCATTTGCATGGCCCTCACTACTTCCGCTGCTCCCACTGAAGCTGAGGCTCGCGAGGCTTCTGCCCACAGCGGCTCCATCACCTGGTACAACACCGGCCTCGGCGCCTGCGGTCACGTCAACAACGACAACGAGCTCGTTGCCGCCGTCTCGCACTCTCTCTACGACCGCGAGCACCCCTGTGGCCGCCAGATCCGCGTCAATTACAAGGGGCGATCTGAAGTCGTCACTGTTGTCGACCGCTGCGAGGGATGCGCCGAGAACGACCTTGATCTCTCGCCGGCTGCTTTCCGAGGCGTCGTTGGCGATCTTGGAGTTGGCCGTACCACTGCTACTTGGGACTGGGCTTAAATTGGCTCGAGTATTTGCTAGGCAAGCTGGGTTTCCTTGTTGAAAGGGTTTGGTGCATGGGGAGGATTCAGCACAAGGGAAGATAGCAAGGAAACAATCATCATGGCGTTATGAAAGCTATGAACTTCGATATATATTAGCATGAATTGAGCGAATTGAAACACACTTGAATCCATACAACTCGTAGGCCAATTTAATCATTGTAGTTCTCTGTGCCCTGAGGATTTGCGGCACTTCCTACTGTTTTGCTTCAAACAGCCATTGACAGCCTCGTCTTGTAGGATGGCTTACATTTATTACTCTACTTTAACAAATTGTATAACACCCACTCATATCATTCCTGTGAGAACTGCATAAACCGTCGTCCAACGCCCGACGCTTCGGCCCGTCCAACCCCACCACCGAGCCCCTGAGCCGGACACACCCGGGACCAATGGCATGCCGGAAGAGAGTGACAACAATAGAGTAGGCACCAAGCTTTATTTGGTAGGATTCATCGTATCGCTATACTGAGAAATGTACAACAGTTGAGGATCTCATCTTGCCCAATCAATCAGCTATCCTGTGGAAGAATCGCAACAATGGCGTCCTTGGCGATAACGCAATTGACTACGTGTAATTCTGACGCTGAGTATTAATTTATATGGTATTACTTGAATATATACTATGATTCCGACTGGGAGACTCTCTCTTTCTAGTGCCCATTTAGAAAATCTCTTGGCACGGCAGCATCATCCTCGTTGTCAGCCTATTCATGCATATACAGCACCACGATTCACCACCAACTTCTAGACACTCACTGAACTTGGCTGCTGCAAGTTAGCAAGCTGGCAAGATCCCTTTACGTGAAGCACCGGGATTATACTGGCTTCCATGTTTGCCGGTTACAGGGTTTTAGGAAGCCCCGTTCGAATCCATTCTCAACTCTAGGCATTACTTTGGGATCTAATGTACACCATCATACTTCATTATCTGCGTAGAAATCAAATGAATGGGACACTCTACTCTTCTATGTCATGCCCTTGTCACCGAGAACAAGTTTACCCTTGTGGTCTACCAGCTCCATGACATACCCAACCTGAAACCCTAACGTCATTTCCTGAGAAACAACCACGATGATACCAGAGGCAGCAAAGATCAGACCATGTCACATAGTGTTAATATTGCTACCACACCCAGAATTTGAAGTGGCAAGCAAGTGGCAAGACAAAAGCACCAGCTAGCTCCCCTCGCTTCCACACAGGCCCCGGCACTAAACCCATGATCAGCGCTGCTCCATGACATCAACCATATAAGCTCCCCTGCACATATCCATGACGACGAATTGTATCATAATCATCTTCAAGAATGTACTGCACTGTAAATGCAAAGATCTCATCTTCTAGTCTAATCGATCGAAAATCACAAATCACAAAATGACTACAGACCTAGTAGATAGTTACCACTTAACCCGGCTATCATTCCTTACACACACAAAACTTCAATCCTACACCCACTCCCCATCAAACACCAAAGCCTCTTGCCTCTCGCAATTCTCAAGACTTACCCTCCCACTCCCACCCCCTTTCACGATATCACCTCGTCCCGTCCCCCCTTCTTCCATCTCATCTCCATCTCACACTCCCCTATCACAAGCGAACCCCCCAAGCCTTGCTTTTCCACCATCAAAACCCATCCCATTAATCCCTCAATACAACACAACACAAACCTCCCCCTAGTGGAACACCAAAGCAAACCCTCCCATCGGAATAAAAATCCCCAATCCTACTTCTCAGCTCCCCCACCTCAAAAACGATACAGCCCCCAGTCGCCTCTGCCGTCACACAAAACACAACGACTTGCTAAAGCCTAACGCGACCCAAGACATTTACCGAAAAGGATCAACGAAAAAGAAAAAAAGGCCCTCCCGGAAAGCGGCGAGGTTGACAACGTGTCACTTCTCACATGGGACCAGCTGTGAGGCGTGTTGCACAAAGAATGCCCGTTTTATGCCGCTCTGCAGGCTTACGTCGTACAAACAATCTCATCCTCGACATTCCTCATATGCGCCATCGCATGCATCTTCTCGTAGTACAGATTTCCGTATGATTTATCATGTACTACATTATGGTAGTCTATGGAGCAATCGTACACACACCGGCGGAAACTATACATGGCCGCCACACGTAAGCAAGAGAGATGTATCTTATATGCCTCTCAATCTTTGCAACAAAGCGTAATTGAGTAATCCGTATATCCACGAGGCTTATGAAGAAGAAATTAGAGAAATTATAGCCACCATCAGCCAAGGTGAAGCATCATGGGCCTTGATATCAATCGATGGCAGGAAGCCCGTCCGGTATCCATATGAATCCCCAGCCTTTTTGGTATAACGAAAACAAAGGTATCCTCTCATTAGGTCACAAAATGGCACATAACACACGCGGGCAGCCTAGTTACATTTAATGTTAGCGACAAGATGCCATTGGAGTTCGCCATGAAGCAGCTGGACAGTGTATAAAACGTACAGTTCAAACGTAGGTAGGCAAAGCAATATGAACAGCCATCAAAAGGAGCAAGAAACTTGAGAAATTAAACCATGTGGAAGAACAGTAACATGCTTTATGCCCTCTTCACTCAACACCTACACCCGTTGGCCCTACCGCCGCGGTGCTCCAGAGCGAGTGGTGAAGAAGGGGTGCTTGAGCGCGTCCGCCGGTTTGATTCTCTTGTCAGGATTCAAGGCCAGGCAATGATCCAACAGGTCGATGAAGTGATTGAGCTCCCTGCTTTCTGCGTCGTTCATACCGCCCGAGGCAGCGAGGAGTCGTGTGCGTAGATCCCGTGTCGGCTTAACAATGTTGAGCGTCCGTAGTGCCGTCTTGCCAAGTACCTTGTCGCGCTCGACGCTGACAAACTGCCCCTGGTCGTCAAAATGGACACCTGATAGCTGACCTCGTTTATAGAGCTTCGGCGTGATTCGACCGCGAATCTCCATGATGGCCTTGAGCATCTGGTTGTTACTGTCTCCGGCGAATAGAATCTTGCCCGTGTAGAGCTCGTACAGGGTACAGCCTATAGACCACATGTCCACGCCGTAGTCATATGGCATGCCTAGAATGATCTCGGGGGCTCTGTAGAAACGGCTCACAAGGTACGGAGTGATCTCCGTATGTGCGGTTGCAGCATCAGAACGGTCGATTGCCGTTCCCAGATCGCATATCTTGAGAATGCTTCGAGTCTCATTGACCTAGTGTGTCCCAAGTCAGTCATGAATCACTGGAGAAGGAGGAAGAAAAAAAAAAGAAATCACACTCACCAAGATATTGTCAGGCTTCAGATCGGCATGAATGATGCTGCATTTGCGCATGTGAGCCAGCGCGACAAAGGATTGGTACGCATATGCTTTTGTCGCTTTCAAGTTGATGCCCACGTTGTTGCCAAATTTACGCAAGACTTCGCGCAAGTTCATACTCAGATTCTCAAAGGCCATACAAAGATGTCCTCGGTGGTCAAAGGAACGCTCAAACTTGACAATATGCCGCTTGTTTTCAGGATCAGCGTCGTTGAGTTTCTGAAGGATGGCGATTTCCGTATAACCTCCCTTGCGCAGGGCGTCATTGTTCCGCATCATCTTGATGGCGACAAGCTGTTTGGTAGTGATGTCAACGGCGCGTGCAACTCCTGAGAACATACCCCTGCCAAGCGTGGCCTGGACCTGATAACGACCGTTGAGGACTTCACCAATACGGATCTTGTAATATCCGTCCTTATCATCGCCTTCGAGAATGCCTCCCTTATCAACGGCTTCTACCGCCTCTGTTGCTTCATCGGGCGCTGCCGTTTCGGTGACCTGGGCTTTGCTTGCGTACTTTTCCTCGTTGAAATCCTCTGCAAACATGTCAAAGTCGTCATCTTCGTCTCCGTCGCCTGCAGGCGGCTTCTGTGGCGACGCACTGGGTGCTTCTTTGGCAGGGTTCTGCTCAATCGCCGCCGCAGGTTCAGGCTCGCCGTGGATGACGACTTGTCCATGACGCAGTTCGTCTCTACGTCCATCTTCCATCATGTCGACGGTCGGATCATAATCAGCAGCAGAGGGGCCATCTTCGTCGTTGGCTTTGACTGCTCCATGTGAGTTTACGAGATCTTTGCCATCAAAGACATCCATTGCTCCGGGAGACGGCGCGTCGTGTGACAGAGGCGATCCAGGTGAGGCAAAGTCTATCAAGTTAGTCGTTGTCGATAAGTGAGGATCAGAACGAGACTTACTTGACCGCGGAGACTGGGACATTTTGCTGTCTGACCGTTGAGATACTTGCGGCGTGTCGGATTGAAAAGAGGCAGGCGACAGTGCTTGTGCTTTGGATGTGGCAGCTCCGACAGCGTGAAGGAGGAGGGGCGTTGCTGAGCTGGATTTCGCCATGAGCTCCTCACGCCTCTTGCGGCGGCGTTCGATCTCTGCTTCCTCGTCAAATTCTTCCGGCTCTTCGTAGTCATCCATTGGAACATCTCTGGCCTCTGTGTTAGCTTTTATTTTTTTGATTGTCTTTACAAAAGAGAGAAAGTGTTCAACCCACCTCGACGTAGCTGTAGCAGCTGAATCGCCGTTTTCAGTAGTATCCTTGTCAGATTTAGCATGACCTTTCAGTGCCTGGTTTGAATCTCCTACGGAGGCTTTCCTAGCTGCAAAATTGTTGCCTCGAGCGCCTACATCGGCGTCATCGTACCGCAGTTCCCTTGAATCGCGCCGGTCAGAGTAGCCTTCCCGGACAAATCGATCGCCAGCTCGCTTGTCTCCCCGACGGTATTGGCGAGGGGAAGGGCTTCGAGGGCGAGGCGATGAACGTTCAGAATATCGGTCTCGGCCGCGGTGGTATCGATCCCGTTCGCGACTCCGATCGCGCTCTCGGTCCCTACGACTGCGCCAGTCGTAGCCTTGGTTCGAAGTGCGTGGCGCTGGGCGGTCGAGATCGTCATATGCGAGGCGCGATCTTTTGTGCTCATCCCTCCTATAGTCGTCGTAGGCGCCGCGATCATGGCGAGAATCTTGATCTCGGGCTCTGGCAGGAGGGAACTGATCCCTATCATCGCGCGACCGCTTGTATCCTCGTGGGGGCGAGCGGCTTCGTCGAGACGAGTTGCTGTATCTGGATGTCGTATCGAAGTCGGGCGAGGAATATCTATTCCGCTGTCTATCCTGACGGTCAACACCGTTTCTCTCTGCGTGCGACAGTGAAGTTGCCTTCAAATCCCCAGCTCTCTGCTCAACAATTTCACCCTCATCAGAGCTCGCCGTCATCTTGATGCCCTTTATTTATTTCTTCCGCCTCAGGACCTCTTATGTGCTCCCTTTCAGTGTCGACAGAAAAAGTGTCAGTAATGGACCAAGGCAATGGATGTGTGTGGCAGGCAAAGAGTCCAACCAGGTCAACGTTTTGACTCGCCCAAAGTGCAGGCAGCACGATAGCTTCGGGGGGGGGGGGGATCTGCCGGGAGTTTGAGAAGATTGGAAGAGTGAAATGGAAGAGAAAAAGTCACTGGAATGACGAGATCAAAGAGAAAACACGGAGCGTCAGCCAGTCGATGGTGAGATGCAGAGTGACGGCGATGGTCTCGAGATGATGGCAAATGGGTTTCAGATTCGCTCCAGACCGGATTTTGGAGTAGCAGGCAGGGGTCTGTTCGCCTCCAGCCTAGCGCTGGCGGGTGACTAAGCAAATCTGCAGCCTGACCCTGGACAAAGAACTCAGCCTTGGAGGCCTTTTCTGCCAGCCACCACCGACTTTTGTCAAACAAAGTCTCGCTCTTTGTCGAGTGTCGTCTGCAATCAACTCTGCATCTTATATCTTACTTTTCATTTCTCTCTACAACAAAGCTCTACAGCAAATTCACTATGGGTGGTTCTAACCGAGAAGGTGATTTTCCTCCCATTCTGCCATCTACGGCCCCGCCAAACCACCCCTCTACGAGTGTCGAGACTGACGGATGAGATTTCTAGGCGGCAAGGCCAAGCCCTTGAAGGCCCCGAAGAAGCAGAACAAGGATCTTGACGATGATGACTTGGCTTACCTCGAGAAGAAGAAGGCCGGTACGACTCTCCCGACGCTCGATTAAACGCTGCGAAAGCGAAGCCGACAACGACTGACTGACTGACCGTTTGTAGATGAGAAGGCGCGCAAGGAGATGGCCGCCAAGGCCGGCGGCAAGGGACCTCTGAATACCGGCGCCCAGGGCATCAAGAAGAGCGGCAAGAAATAGACGAAAGACGACGAAGCGATGCGCTATTGGGAACATGACACAAGACTACTGCTTCTTGTAGGCGATAATAGGGAAAGCCAGGGCGGTTGATTTCGGTGGCGACGTCTGTTGGATCAGGCTGAAAGGCTACATCTGCTCTTTGGGACAAGGTCTGTAGACTGCACGGCGAATATCACTAGGCGTTAGGAAATATATCTTTTTACTTGTACCATCTGGACATGTATTGGGGATTTGCCGTATGCTCATGATGGCATATGGTGTAAGCGAAGCACGTTGCGCTTATACCTGACATATTGTGTGCCAGCCATTCAAATATAGAAGCGATATCAAGGATCTGAATGCCGTATTTGCCTCAGAGAATAGCAAGCCATGATGGATGTACGTGTATTTTTATTTTTATTTTTTATTGACAGGTGGGTATCCAAGATTTTATGTCATCTTGCGTCTAGTGCTAAATATGAGGATATTTTAACGGGGCCGGCACTTCAGCAGCGAAAAGCGGCATCACATGTCTGCAACAGCGACCATCCCAACACCTAGACCAGCGTCCATCCCGCATGCTTAAAACAGCATATTGAACCTACGGAATCAGAACAGTCCCCCAAACAAATAAAATATTTCTCCTCCTAGCGCATGCGCTACCAGTCTCAGGACCCTGAACTTGATCTGTCATTCGAGTCCAGCAGTGCCGAGCCCCAACCATTCCACCAAAACAGGTCCACTCCAAGCTGGAGCATCTCACAGTTGAAGACGAACCCCAACAACTTACACAGGCTCTCTCGCCCAACATGAGAATGAATAAATATATTGAATGAATCATATTTCCCCCATGAAAATCACTTGCCTTGTAAACTAGAAGCAAACATAAAATAATAAGAAGAAGAAAACAAAGAAAACAAAGAGCCACCATGGCCGCAGACTCGTCTCTCCGCAACCGCCGCCTCTCCGTCTCAGACTCCCTCCTCACAGCCGTCAAACAAGCCGAGCGCAAAGTCGAGCAAAAGCTCCTCCTCCTCTGGGACGACCTCCCCTCCTGGCGCCGCGACAACGCCTTCATCCGCTCCGGCTACCGCCCCATCCGCCCGTCCTACGCCGAGTCCGCCCGCTCGCTCTTCTACCTGCACAACGAGTTCGTCAACATCTGGTCGCATCTCGCCGGCGCCGTCGTCGCCATTCTCACCGCGCTGTACGTCTATGTCGTGGTCCGCCCGCGCTATGAGGCCGCCAATTCGTCCGATGTGCTCGTCTTCGCGTGCTTCTTTGGAAGTGCCGTCACATGTCTGGGCATGAGCGCCACGTATCATGCCTTGACGGATCACAGCCAGGAGGTCGCCAAGTGGGGGAACAAGCTTGATTACACAGGCATCGTGGCCTTGATCGTGGGAAGCTATGTGCCGGCTCTGTATTACGGGTTCTTCTGCCATCCCGTCTTAATGGCCGAGTATCTAAACCTGGTGAGTTTGATCTGAGAGAGGGCTTGCATGTGATAGAGGGTCTAACAACAACTGTCAGATATGTCTCCTTGGCCTTGGATGCATCATCGTCTCCTGGGTCGAAAGGTTTAGAACGCCCGCTTGGAGGCCCTACCGCGCTCTCATGTTTGTCAGCCTGGGCCTCTCTGGCATCATTCCAATAGGCCATGGGCTGCTCAAGTTCGGCTACCAGGCCCTCGAGGACAGGATGAGCCTCAGCTGGGTCGTTTTGCACGGCATCATGTACATATTCGGTGCATTTCTCTATGCGGTTTGTTCCCTCATCTAACCCACGACGAGAGCAGCTTACACGTTTTCTAACACATGGATTCACACAGATTCGCTGGCCAGAGAGAAGCAATCCCGGCGCATTTGACATCTGGGGCCATTCCCATCAGATATTCCACATGTTTGTTGTACTTGCGGCGGCAACCCATTTCTACGGCATGGCCAAGGCCTTTGATCATCACCATCAAGGCATGGGCTCGCAGTGCTTATAATAGACGATATCCATAGAATAGGCAGAGCACTGGTACTTGCCTGTGCATAGGTATATACATAAATTACATACAGTTTTTAGACGGAACCACTGCTACATTTAGAGTGGGCTTTCTTGTCGCCTAATACAATGCCGAATCACGCCGTGCCCTCGGGATATTTCTCCAGTCCTAAATCAATTACTCTTACAAGACCCGACCCCATGGCTACCGCTGCCCAGCACCCATAGTCCTGATTTGGATTCCACTCAATGGTGGTAATTCTCGTCAGCGCCTCATGCAGAGTAGCTCGGGATGGGTCTGTCAAATCGCCAGCTTCATCATCGTCCTCTTCCCCTTCCCCTTCTCGCCCTCCCTCCGCAGCCTCGGCCGGTTCCTTGGCTCGCAGCTTCTTGCCCTTCTTTGCAGCAGGCTTGGCCTCGGGCTTCGAGTTTCGATTCCGGTCTACTGCAAAACCGTGCAAGATGCGACAGACACCTCGAGCAGCCACAGGAGAATCGGGAGGGAACAGACGCCCTGGCCGATGCTCATGTTGCAAGACCCGTATCTTGTCTGTCGATTCGTGCCGGTTGCTAAACACCTCAGTCTGGGAGTTGAGACACCACAGCGAGCCATCAGTTGCGCCAATGAGCAGAAAAGGGTGAAGCCGCCCGACAGCCAAGGACGTGAGAAAACTATCCCCAGTGAATACTCTCCTGCAAACGGGGAAATGTGCATGGTGTAAAAACCCAATAATCGTATTCAGCGCACTAGCAGAAGGATATATGGATAAGAAACCAAGAAGATGGTCACTGTACGTCAAGAGACCCGGCTGTGTATGCACCAAAGGTCTCTGGGCTTCGGTAGTTTCGTAGCTCGGAGCTTGAAGATCAATAACTCGGGCGGTGCCACCTACGGGGATTGAAGCAATAATGGTTGGCATAGTCGGATATCCCGATACCATATCGATGATGTCGTTGTGATGAACGGGGTGTCGAGACAAGAGACGCTGCGGATAGAGGGACCAAAGAGCAATGGATCCATCTGAATAGCCAACAGCCATTCGATTGCAGTTGATCCATGCTACTGCTGTCGCTTTGATGCCGTACTCATCGAGCAAGCTGAGTACTGCAAGCGGTCTCTGCAGTTTATCTGTTGTTTCATTAGCCAAAAGAGAGTCGCAAACAAATGCAAATGTCCTGGCCGAGCTTACAGTAAATGCCCTGTTCTTCACCGTCGAGATCCCCAGCGTCAGCGACGTATACGTTGCCATCACCACAAAGAAGTGCAATGTGATTGCAGGATGGGCTCCATCTAACTCTTCTGATCCTTCCGTAGTCCACGCAAAGGGTTTTGCGCAGGGTTGCAGGCTCACTTGACGGCCGAATGAACTGCTCGTCTGTTTTGGTGCTTCGAAATTCCCAAATCTGAATGATTCCTTGCTTCTGGAAATCCGGTTTCACTGATTCTTCCTCGTAATTATACATTTCCTGATCGAATTGGGGTATGATTGACAGAGCAAGCAGCTGTTTGGGGTTCTTGTCTCGCCGAGGCGCCCAGTCCATGCCCAACACGATGCCGCCCACGTCCAGCATCCATCCGCTCTGCACCTTGTCTTCATCCTTGTCTTGGTCAAACGGTAGATTACTCTGTGACATAGAATAGCAGTGTCCGGGCTCCATTGACACCTCCTGCTGCTTCTCGTGCGGGCCCGTCAAGACAGGCATACTTAGCTGCGGAAATCGATACATTTCAGACTCTGGGAAAGAAATTTCTGACCAGGCATCGTCGGATGGCAGCGCCCTGCTCAATTGCGCATGCCACTGTTTGGCAAGCCGAGCTTCTTTTTCGAAACCGCCAGGAGACCAAAAGCCCTTGTCCGTCGGTTCGTCCTCGTCTTGCGGCACCTTTGGGGGAAATATCGTCCACCCGCTCCACCTCTCCAGCAGCTCGTGAGCCATGGCTATGCGCTCAGCATTGGGGCCATACAAGGTCCTCACAAGAGCTTTGCCGCGCATGCCTCGTTCATAAGGCCCGACATAGCCCTTGTGCTGGCCCTCCGGGGGGATGAGTTCAATATCCAGATACCCCGTCACCACCATATCACCCACATCAGATGGCTTCGCAGGCTTCGTCTGCTTTGGCTGCTTCGTCTGCCTGGAGCGCTGGCGAGAAGGCTTCTCCGCTACATTTGTGTCGCTTGCGCTGTCGTTCATCTGCACATCCTCCTCGTCCTCATCTTCTTCCTCTCCAGCGCTCCGCTCCTCAGCGGCTGCGTCGAAGTTGTCGTCATTGTCATCAGCAGTTTTGCGACGCTTTCGAGACTGGTCTTCGTCTCCAGAACTCAGGAAATCGTACTTGTCGAGAGTATATTGTTTTGTACGATTCGCCCTTCTGGTTCTCATGGTGCGTCGCGAGTGAGAGAGCGGTTCATGCAAGTTTTGAGTCTGCGTCTGAGTACCACGACTTGGTGGAGCCTGGAGTGCAGAAAGTATACATTCCTTTTGGTAGCCAGCTGGCAGGCGAGCATCGGCCTCGTCAGGTATCCGGGAATTTGCACGTTATGTGTTCATCAATGATTATTTTTTTTTCTCCTACTTTTTTGATACAGTCATTATAATTCTGGATCAAGACATGCAAGGTGCATCATTACATGCAGGTTGATGAATTTGGTCTCTGTTTCTAGTCTCTTAGAATGAAAGAGGGTTGGCCGAGGATTATCCGGCGATCCCTACGACCACCATGCGCCTCTAACTCATCACATACCAGACACATGTGCTGACCCTCTGCGATAAACTAAACCCAGCAACATTTAATCCCCAATAAATATTTCAGCATCAGCCATATATAATGAGTGAACCACTGAGTGTCCCTACACAGGATCAAGGCCACAAAAGAAACAAACCGTCCATAACTCGGTGTATGTGCTCCTTATGATGAGTCAAGTTCCGGGCAAATACCCCCAACTTTATAGGCAGTGGCCCCTCCATCACTGTCGATGATGCACAAGTATATGAGAATCTGAATTACATATGCTGACATTCACACCCAGCAACGAGACCGAGGTCCTCTACCAAGGGGCCTCTAGACGCCGATAAGTCAGTATACAATTTGGACATGACCAAACCCTCTGTCTAACCAGCTGTCAGTGGACTGTTGACATCTCCAACGGCTTCAACCCCTCAGCTCAGCCCGTCTCTCCAGCCGCCATCACGATCTCCCTCAGCCACCAACACATCACAGCCTCGGCCTCCGCCGTCTCCGACACCTCAGCTGGGAGAGGCGAGACCCAAGGACTTCTCATTCCTCTTGCAGCCCGAGATTTACCATCCCCTGAATGTTCAAAACATCCCTCCTGCGTTCCGAAACTCATCAAAGCAGCCCAATTCGGAGACACCCATAGATGAGCTGTTAGCCAAGGGTCACTTCCGAGCGGCAGCCATTGCAGCAGCTCAAGAACTAACAGGCTCAACCATAAACGGCAGCAGCGTCGATCCTCAAGATGCCAATAGGATCTTTAGGCTTCTCTATACTCGGCTTGCGTGCCTTACCCTGATCGACGCCACCTCACTTGCAGCGCAGGAAGCCAAAGCGCTGGAAGACCTGAATGACGCCCGTAGATACATTGATGACAGTACAAACGAACATCTTGTGCCGTGGGAGTTGCGCGTGCTGCACGTCCGTCTACAGGCCCTGGGCTTTGGAGATCCTCGCCGTGCTGTCATGAGCTATCATGATCTGGCCAGAGAGGCTAGAGATCGCATCAGAAAAGCATCTCTGTCACATGACAACTCTGCTAGAGAGCTGTGGAAGTCGCGTCTCCATGAGTTGGGCATCAAAGTCGCTGGGGCTTTGATTGAGATGGACGATCTCTCTGGCGCGGCGCACCATCTTGCCAGTCTAAGAGATCGGGGCGATGGTAAGCTGGCGCTATCTAAAGCGCTACTTTGGCTGCATCTTGGCGATACAGGGAATGCAAAGTCTTGCGCAAGCCAGTGCTCCGAGGATGCTGAGAACGTTGAGAAGATCATTCTTGCCTTGTGTGACATGGCAGATTCCAACTATGAGACTGCATTGCAGAAATGGCAAGAGTTTGACATTACATTACCGGATGAGATGATTGGTGTGAACCAGGCCGTGTGTCTAATCTATCTTGGACGCATTCAAGAGGTGAATATTGCTATATACCATTCATGGGTTGCTGATATGGCAAAACAGTTTATTGACATGTTCTGCAGGGACGAAATATTTTAGAGAAGTTGGTCGATTCGGGCTTCTCGTCACATACCTTGCTATTCAATCTCTCGACGACATACGAACTATGCTCGGAAAGGAACCGGATTTTGAAGGCAAGGCTTACGGAAAAGGTGGCTAGCATGGAGCAATCGCCATTTGGATGGGAGAAGACGAACGCCGACTTTAAGCTCTGAAGAATAGGCAATTGCATTTGATAGAAGACTACATCAGCCAAGAATAGGTTTACAATTAAAGCACTAATAAATGGTTCTGATGAATGGAAAGTAATTTGTATGTATATGATGGACCTATTTTAGAAAAGAAGCATAATTAATGTTCTTCTAGATTTAACATGAAGCCATCAATTTACATACTTTATTCTGTTGAAGAACAATGTCTTTACAACATAGGAAACAGCACCGATCTAAAAGCCCCATATAATACAAACAACAGCAATACTCTGAAATGATATGGGGTGAACGAGGAAAAATAATATGGAAGTCATCTTCCTTCCATCGAAGCTACCGGGTATTCCAACGCTACCAACCCCACACTTTAGGTACCTACTAGGTACGTGTAGCGCCGTCCCCCGTTTTCCTAATCCAGCGACCCGCGAACCGAACCTCGGTATATATCCAAGCGGTAGTATATCAACGACACTGATATACTCTCTCTACTTCTCTTCAATCCTCTACACAAATCTCATCCTCTTACTCAAAAAAAGCACGTTTCAAATTCCCAATTCCCAATTCCAGTATACTGCCCAAAATGTCAGACAGAGTCTCCCAAGTCGTAGGCCACCTCAACTACCCCAAGGGCCTCCTCGCCAACCAGACCGCCATCATCACCGGCGCTGGCCAGGGCATCGGCGCGGAAACAGCCATTCTCTTTGCCAACGAAGGCGCAAAAGTCGTCGTCGCAGACATTGACGCCAGTACGTTACACCCCAAAGCCAAAAAAAAAAAAAAAAAAAAAAAAAAAAAAAAAAAAAAATAGCCCTCATATGTTAATGTTGAAATTTCGAATCCCCGTAGAAAAGTCCAATGAGGTAGTTGAATCCATCCGCAGCAACGGCGGCCAAGCAATCGCCGTGCCAGGCGATGTCCTTGACCCGGCCTACATCAAAACCCTCATCGCCAAAGCCGCCGAGTTTGGCAACGGCAAGATCCACATCATCGTGGCCTCAGCAGGCTACACCTACGACGGCGTCATCCATAAGATGACCGACAAGCAGTGGGAGACCATGATCGCCCTCCACTGCACCGCGCCCTTCAACATGGTGCGCGAGGCCGCGCCGTACTTCCGCGTCAAGGACGGCGAGCCGCGCAACATCATCACCGTCTCGTCCACGTCTGGCATCCATGGAAACGCCGGCCAGATCAACTACGCGCTGGCAAAGTCTGGCCTCGTCGGCTTCACAAAGACCATTGCAAAGGAATGGGGCCCTGCGTTTGGCGTCCGGGCTAACGCCGTTGCCTTTGGCTACATCCAGACTCGTCTGACGGCAGCCAAGGAGGACGGCGGCTTCGTGATTGGGCCGGATGGCGAAAAGATTGCCATTGGCGTCCCGGGTAGAAAGCCTGGTGCTGCTACTGGTCCTTCTGATATTCCTCTGGGTCGGCCGGGAACTGCCAAGGAGGCTGCAAGCTCTATCCTGGCCGTGGCGAGTCCGCTGTTCTCATACGTAACAGGCCAGACCATTATGGTAACCGGAGGTAGGAACATGTAGTCTGCGAAAAGACAGATATAATGTATGATGATGATGATGTTATGCTGCAAGAACATGACAAAAAAAATGGCAATGGTATATTGAATTAATTGTGAGGCGGAACTTTGTACTCTTCTCCGCCATATCAACGCCGGTCCACCCCAGTTCTGAACAGTTTCTTATAAATTCATCCATGATCTCGTCCCTTTTTACCTAGCACCCCTCTCCCTTGTGCCTGCCTGCTTGCTTAAACCTTGAGCCACAGAGAAAACACTCCCTTGGCGTACTCGACAATCTCGTCACCACCCAGCTTGCTCTCGCCGTACACTCGGTCCACGAAAGAAATGGGCACCTCAGCGACGGTGCATCCCATGGCTTTGGCGCGAACCATCATCTCCATCTGGAACGTGTATCCCTTGCTCTCGGTGCTCGCAATGACCTTCTCCAGCACGCTCTTCTTATACAAGCGGAAGCTTCCCGTGAGGTCGCTGACGCCCGGTCGCAGAACGGTATCGGCAAACAGGTTGGCGCCGCGGCTGACAAACTTGCGCTTCAGGTCCCAGCCAAAGACGCCGCCGTTGCCAGCGTAGCGCGTGCCGGTGACGATGTCGTAGCCGCCCTTCTTCTGCAGGGCGATCATCTGCGGGATGAACTTGGGGTGGTGGCTAAAGTCGGCGTCCATGATGATGACAAAGTTGCCTGTGACAAACTGCAGGCCGTGGACATAGGCCGTTCCGAGGCCCAGCTTGCCAGTGCGAGTCTTGAGGACGACGTGGGGAGCGTAGGCCTTGACGAGCTGGTTGGCCACCTCTTGTGTTCCGTCGGGCGAGCCGTCGTCGACGATGATGAGTTCCCAATCCAGCTGGCTACAAACAAAGCAAGAGCTGTCAGCTTGACTGGGCATGATTTTGGAGGAGAAGAAAGGCCTACTTCTCTGTAAAGGTGCGGTTCAGCAGCCAGGCCACAATGGGGAGGTTCTTCCTCTCATTGTACGTCGGCAGAATGACCGAGAATTTGTCCTTGGAGCTCTTTGCAGGGGCCATGGTGTAAGTTGTTGTGCTGGAAAGAAACGCGTAATTGGAGATAAAGGAGTGTGCTGAAGTTGGGTTTTCGCGTCTTTGCAGCTTCAATGATAGTTGTCCTTCGGAAAGCTGGCGTTTGGCCGAAAAGTGGCAGTTTAGGGGGTCGCTGGCGGTGGATGACTAAGCATGGCAGTGCTATTAATCTGGGAGCATTGAGCGGTTCAACGCATCACCTTCTGAGGTGCGAGAGTGGCTGAAAACTGAGGACATTTTGGGATTATTGATAATGGGGAGATTCTGTGAAATAGAACAAGAGTAAATAATGGGACACAAGGAGTTGGAAGGCCGGGGCCGGGACGGGGGTAGGAATTGAATATGTACATGTACTATCGGGACAGGATCCGGAGGGCCGGTCCGGAATCATAGGGCAAAGGACCTCGTCAGGAGACATATCGGGTTTTGTTGTGAGATTATATATAAGTATACAAGTAGCCAATGGGTTATTCCATGTAAAGTGATGGTATACAGATGGTAACCGGGAAAAGGGAGATGGTAGATGCAGACAATGCACGCGCATGATGCCTCGACACAGCATTCATCAACATGTAGCGACATGTAGATGATGATACATGTATGCATGCAAGCAAGCTGCCGTACTGCAGCCCTTGATTCTCACGGGAGCATGATATAAAGCGAGTAATAGGCTCGTAATTACGACACTCCAGTTCATCGTAGCTCCAGGTCGGGCTTCCTCACTAAGATACGAGGGCGAGTTCTGTAGCCCCCCCCAGCCCCCTCCTCCAAATGCACCCATTCCAGGCACGCTCCAATAAGCATTTCCACCCAACCACCTCCAGAAAGGCAAAAGCAAACAGAAGCCAAACAGACGTGCATTGCATCGGTACATGATCGGTGCCGCCCCGCCGTCGATGTCGTGACTGGACGAATCCGGAGCTGAAGGGCCTCTTGGTGGCGTCTGTCCATGTAACCGGGGATTGCTAGCCAATGCTTGCTGCAGCTTAATGCTTCTTCCCCGCAAGAGTTGCTCGTTTCAACCCACGGTCCCGATGGCGACAATTCACACCGTCCTGGGCCTCAACGCGGCTCGAACGCTGCGGTCCTCGGCCAGCGTCCCCAGCACTGTGCCGCCTCGCGTTCATGACGAATCTGCTTGTCTGACTGCTTCCTTACGAGAACTGTACTGTACAGAACGCAGACGTACCCACACGGCGCCGCCGGCATGGCCTTTCCTTGCTCTCCCCCCATGCCATAACCATCCATGGCTTGCTTCAACGGCAAAACGCAACAGGTTCCCTGCCACGGTAAACTGGCGGGCGCGCGACTTCATCTCGGAACAATTAGATATTACCAGCGTGCTCCTACATGTAGTAATCGCCCGTCTGTGGAACCACTGCTTCTGCTTCTGCTTCTGCGTCTGCTTCTGCGTCTGACCCTTCCTCTGCTTCCTCCTCCCTCTCAATCTCAAGCATCGTCCTTTGCCGCCCTTCACCACCACCAGTCCATGTTCCTGTTCTCTGCTTGCCAGCGCGCATCTCCTCCACCAGCTTCACCTGCGTCTTGCCCGCGCTTCTGATCCAGCCCCAAGCTGCCATTGCGCGCGACACCCGCCTCGATTCTTACGTCATCAACACTGTATCATGTCTGACGGCATTGCTCCAGCTGTTGACAAAGGTACTGCTGCCAGCTGTTGTGCGCGACTCTCCAATTGATGCTATCCGTGCCATTGAAAGCAACACATGCTCCTCCCTTGACTGTGCTTCTCAAAGACCCCATCGCTTCCCAGAGTGTTGAGAAAGCATCCTGCTGACTTGGACCTCCAACAACAGTCGGTCCGCCCGTGTCGACAGCTCCCGAAGCTCAAGCTGGAGCTCCGACTGTGGACATGGACCCGGACACTGCCAAACCAGAAGCCTCTGTGAATCTCCCAACTGCTCTTGAAAAGCCCAAAGAGCCTCCCATCATCGCTGAAACCAAGGCTCCCGAGGAGGCAAAGCCGACAGAGGAGCCCCTCAAGATCAGTGAGGCCTTCAAGCTAGTCCATAAAATCCCACGGCCCGTCGAAGTCCAATCCGTCCCCGAGACTCCCGTCAACCTGGCGACTCCTGTAAATGGGTCACCACGGCCGGAGCTGAACATTCCCATTGAGCCAGAAGAGCCTGAGAAGCCACAGGAAGACCCCGTCATCATCACCGAGGTCGAGGAGCCGCTGCCAACTCCTACGGCTTCCGCTCCTGGTAGTGACGTTGGGCCCGACTCCATTGTTGACAAGCCCGTGACTCCTAATGGCGAATCAAAGCCCGCTGAGTTAATGGCGGGTGCTCTTCAGACCAGCACCGCAGACGCCAAGTCCGAGACGTCGGAAACGGCCACTGGCGAGAAGCGCAAGGCCGATGCTGCCGCTGCGACCGCGACTGACGAGCCAGCAGCCGAAAAAGAAGACTCTGAAGAGAGCGAGCCCGCAGACAAAAAGGCCAAAATTGACAATGGCAAAACGACCAACGGCGGAGCTCGGAAGCCGGGCCGCCCCAAGAAGGACAAGAAGGCTGCTCCAGTCGTTGGCAAAACCTTGCGCAAGACTCGGAGTCAGGGACCTGTGGAGATTTAAGGCAGAACCGGGTTAAAAAAAAAAAAGCGACTCTGTTGCCAATGCCTTTCTTTTTTTTTTTTTTTTTCCCCTTCCTCTTCATTCTTATCAATTCTTTCCTTAAGGCGAAATGGCTCGCTTGGATTGATGGGAGTGTTTGGTTTTCTGGGTCATCGCTGTATATTGTTCCCACGCAAAAATCTTGTGCCAAAATGGATGAATGGTATGACTTGCCTGTTGGGTATACCTATATCATTGGCATGTTTTGTTGTATTTCATTTTATTTTAGTTTCTTTTTCTTGGTAGTTTTCGATTACAATGGAAAGCTATATGACATAAACTTGCACAGGACGTGACATAACATCGTCTTAGTCCCCGTGAACCCGTAAAGAGCTGCGCAAGCAGTTTGTGTCGTCGCAACCCAAAAATAGAACATATCAAAGCAGGGGAGAATACGCAATTACCCATATCATCCCTTAATACCACGACTCCAATGCCTCAGCCACTCATATCTCCACAAGAAGTGTTGACATATGACTCTTGAAGGCCGGTCTCGCCGTAGATAACCCATCAAACTTCAACATATTCCAGAAGTCAAAGTCAACTTTTTACAAGACCATACGGGAATATCGCCAATTATTGTGGCTCGCTGGTATAATACCCAGCACCAGTCCATATTTGCTACGATCAACTGAACGTTCCCTATGTGCAACACTGTGGATATCCTGTAGGTATGGCAATTTTCAGGAATGATACTAAATCTCTTATTCTAAAAGGAACACTGCTCTAACGTGTCGGTGAATAGTCCTTCGGAAAGATAGGTGTAAGGGCATATATTGGTTGTGTCTGCCACGGACCTTTGATGCCTCAGCTCTAGTTGGGCTTTTTAGAGACGGTTTCGTTGTTACCGCAGAGAGCATGAGGCATCAATAGCTCAGGATGGTATCCTTGTATTTGGGAGAGGACTATACAGAGACTAACAAACATGTAGAGGACTTCGAGGTCCATTCTGACTGCGAGCTTGGAGAAACCCTGTGTTTCGGGGTGCAGTACACGATCTTCGGTAACAGCAGGTTGGAACTGCGAATTTACAGTTTTTGTTTCCGATGTATTCTGAGCCGACATTTAATATTTCGGCCCATGTTGCTAAGATTCTTACGGCTCAAGGGCTTGTATCGTACGGCGAGCTTAACTCATCCGAATGAAGGTTGGCTCCATATATCGAATCGTTCCGTTACTAATTTGGCTATATGGCATGGTGTTGCATTGATATTTTTACTTTGCGGTATCCCTAAACTCTCTATCTCCTAACACGGCGACTACCAACATACACGTACATGGGCATGTGCAAGTACAGGTATCACAGCGCTGGTAATGAGGCCCATTGCCGCGAGGAGTCACTCGGAACACTTTGCAACGAGAGTAGGTCAAAGGTCAAAATATGTGGAACTCTGGGAATGCTCTATTCAAAGGCTATACAAAATAAGATACCTTAAAAGAAAGACACATCATCCGATGGGCTATTCTTGTCCTCATCCTTTCTTATCTCATACAGGATGTGGATGGACCAGGTAGGTCAGATAAGGTACATGTACCTAAAGGCTCAACAAGCACGCCTCAGCTGCCTGCTTAGATACATGCAGGAAAGATGAATATAGATAGGTACACTACATGCAGAATATGCTTATCAGCCCGTATTCTTTCTATATAAAGCCTCAACCCAAGCTGACGTGCATCAAATATTATCGCCAGCTCCCGGAACAGACTCTCCCGTATCCATACGAGTGAGTACGGAGTACTTGCACTTGGACTGTCCAGGGCACGACAATTTCAGCATCTCAGGTCCCCTGTTCTCCCCGGATAACCGGGCATTCCAGCACTCCGTAGTGGAGTGATTGGGTCTTGGCCTCCACTAAACGCAATGCACGGGCTTGGCTGCACGCTGTGGCCAGGATCACAGATTCAGGGGGAAGAATTCGCCGTGCCTGGAGTCTCGTCCCATGGAGCGACCGTTGCTTTCCATTGGATCTGGGCATGGATTTGATGCGAATAAACGATTGCATCACTAATGTTCGCCGTGGCAGACGATGCTCGTATATAGTTTGCCGTCCTAAGCCTACCTACGAAAATGGAGGCCTCTCCATCTACCTATTCTGCACATGTACAAATCGCAGCGAGAGATTGAATTGCAATGCGTTGATGTCGCGTGACAGGAGAGCAGACTTTGTTGCCCGGAAGTTTCCTAAATAGATATTACTAAGACGATGAGATGAGGTCCTCCAACTGCATGACCACATTAACCGTGCAAGGATTGTAAGCCCCAATTTGAGCTCGAAACCCGCGATTACAGGCCAGGTACGAGTGCTCGTACTGATGATGCATTCACCAGTCGCGGAGTTGAGGTTCAACTTGTGCTTTGTGCTTGTGCTTGTGCTTCTCTCTTTTTCGAGACTCTATCTAGTACGAAACTGGCATCAAGATTCAATTGGAATGCAGCGATGGCCCCGGCACATCCAGGGATCGTCGCTGTCTGTGGCGAAGCACAGATCGGCTATAGCCGTCCAACTCTTGGCCCTACCGCTAGACCCGAGTCTTTTGCGGTACGTGCTTAATCCAGCATTTAGAGCCCGGCCCGTGTGTGTGCGTGTGTGTGTATTTTAAGCATTCTTTAATTTACAAAGTACGGAGTACGAAGTGCGCTGATGGAAGACGTGGAAATACCCCGATCGTGATCACGATGTTGGTGTCTAGTGTCAACCAGAACCCGCTGGTGGCAAAAATAGCAACTTGGGCACTCATCCCAGCGAGGATCACTCAAAAGATCCCCGCAGCGACGATGATCATTACTGCTTGAATTGGTTTTGTCAGCAGATCGCAGAGAGGGCATGTCCATACATACAGTACTCGTACAGTCATAGACTAGACATTTTCGTGTTTGAGGCGAGAGTCGAAATGAGCTACGGAGTACGAAGCTGCATGCATGAAAGAAGCAAATACGACGGATGCACAAGAACGGCTAAGGTACTCCGTAGGGCACCTAAGGTAGGTAGGTGTATGCATGCATGCATGTATGGCGCGAGGATAAAAATACCAAAGATGGACAGTGGTTGGCGTGAGAAGCTGCTCCAGATGATTGAATGGGTGTTGTAATACTCACTCATTTACTCACTCACTCGATCACACATTCTCTTTGTTGAGTAGTAGTTTTTTTTCATCATCTCGACTCAACTCACTTCATACATGTATAGTGCCTGACACACAGCAATAAATGTTCTCTCTAGTGCTTATAAGGCTCTGCTTAGCAGCTTCGCTCGCCGTGTCAAGTTGCCCTGCTGCCAGTGTTTTGGCTGCTGCCATGGCTCGTATTCTCTCACTTCCTCCACCGCCAATGGCCCACTCCGCCGGTTCCTGGCATCAAGCAGCCACCACTCAGGTTCCGCGTGCTAACAGCCGCTAACGCTGCAGTGGCTTTAAGGGGTTGCAAAAATAGCAGTCGAGCTTCTTGGGGACAAAGGCAAAGAGCCACTCCGCGACTTAGTGGCCACTGAGGCCTCTTGAAGCGTCTTGGGGCCCAGCCTTTGCAAGCCTTTGCCAGCCCACAAGGGGCAACGCCGACAGGGGGTCGGGCCAATGGGAAGCGCGGCGGCGAAGCAGGTTGAGCGTTTGAGCGCTGGGCGAAGAAAAAACCTGGAAGGAAAAAGAAAAAAATTGCCTGCTGAAACACAGGTCCCCAGTTATCTGTGTCTGGAGTTGAGGCCACTAGACTGGGTAGGGCATACTGTATATACAAGGCTGGGAAAGACGGAGTGGCACTGTAAGTAGGAAGATTGAAGATTGAAGATTGAGATTGATGAACGGATGCTTTTCATGTTATGGGAAGCCTGAAATCTTTTTGGGGGGAAATGCTACCAACGTGTAGTAGAGTACATGTAGTCATTTGATAGAGGCTGCATCACTACATGCGGAATACAGGCACTGATCACCAGATGCCCGCGTCGCCCTGTGGTACTCGGCAGGTCAAGAACTAACTACCTATGTACCTACCTAACCGCATCTCCGTGCTGCTATCGATTACTGTACGAGTACCGCGCTCTGGCATGTGCGCATCACTCATTCACACCCATCTACAGTACTCACCACTCACTCCAAGATGCTCCCATTTCTCCATTCTTGTCCAGCGGCCTCTTTTAGGCCCGGATACGGCGTCAGATGCATCCATTTTAACGGCCCTGGACCCTCCCTGGCGTGTCTCGCTTCTCCATCCGAGCTTGGGCCCCGATGCCATCTGTGATCCTCGACGCAACACTGGCAGCACACGCGGGCACACCATCCCCATCCAGGCATCGCCCTGGTTCCCTCTTTTCCTGCTCACCTGGCCACTCCAATCCCCATCTGATGACCCCTGGTCGACTCGAGCCTTTCCTCTTCTTCCTTCTTTTTTCTCTCTTCTTCCCTCCAAAAGCCCTGCTCGTCTGCGATTCTCTAGCAGACAGCGTCCCTCGTTTGTGCGTCTCGATTTTTGCTTGGGGTTTCGTCCACGCTCGTTTTTGTTTTCCCGCCCTTCGCTCGCTGCTCCATCTGGCGACTTGGACTTGGCACCGACAGGCATCATCCGAAGCGACATTGCCCCTGACATCACGCTGGTGACGCAACACTCGGATTGCGGATTGCGGATTGCGGATTGCGGATTCGTCCTGGGGACGCGTTCCTTGGCCAGCCTTGAAAACTCTTGATTGAGCCACGACCGGCCCTGTATCCGCTGCTCGGCGCAAAAAGTCACCACGCTACCCGTCTCGAGCGCTCTCGTTGTCTGGTAGAAATTCACCCATTGCCGGAATTGCGCCCTGCTTTTCTTCTTCTTGCCTCTTTCCTTTTTTAATTTTCAGTGGACAAGTAACAGGCCTTCTGCCCTCGGTGGGCGCCCAATCTGCATAATGACCTTTCAAGAGCCTATTATACAATGGCTGCGGGCGCGCGACGACAGCAACACCCCCAGCTCCGATAGCAACAATCCTGCGAACCAGCTGCTAAATCTACTCAAAGATCCTTTCTCAGGCACGGTCAGTCAACGTCGCTTAGTCGGCACAACGTCCCTTCATAATTCTAACTTGGCAACCTTGTAGCTTGCGTCCGCCTCCGTCTTCTCTGCCTTGGGCATTTCTCTCGGCATCACAGCCTTTGTCGCCCTCGTCTTCTCCTTCATCAGACCGTACAACCAGTCGGTGTACGCCCCGAAACTGAAACATGTCGACGACAGGCACGCTCCGCCCCCCTTGGGCAAGAAGCCGTGGTCATGGATCTTGCCCTTGATGCGCACCCAAGAAGAGGAGTTGATTCAACAGATCGGCATGGACGCCACCGTCTTCTTGCGCGTGATGCGCATGTGTCGCAACATGTTCTTGGTCCTCGCCATCATTGGCATTAGTGTCCTCGTCCCGGTCCACTACACCAAGTCTGTCAAGTTCCCAGGCGAATCATCCGACTCCAACGGCTGGATTCAGAACATTACTCCATTGAATGTCTATGGCAAGTTCATATGGCCACAGGTAGTTATTGCCTGGCTCTTTGACATCATCGTCTGCGGCTTTCTTTGGTGGAACTATCGCAGGATTATGCAGCTTCGTCGCAAGTACTTTGAGGGTGAAGACTATCAAACCAGTCTGCACTCGCGAACGCTAATGGTAAGTTCTCCGCCGCTTTCTTTTCCTAGATGACAAAACCAGCTAACTGGTCATGAAATCAGCTATACGACATTCCCAAGCAAGGCTGCTCTGATGAGGGCATTGCGCGCATCATTGACGGCGTCGCTCCTAACTCGTCTTTCGCGCGAACCGCTATTGCTCGAAACGTCAAAGACCTCCCCGACCTTATTGCGCAGCACGATCGAGCGGTTCGGAAACTGGAAAAGGTCCTAGCCATCTATCTCAAGAATCCCCAAAACCTACCGCCGCGACCAACCTGCAAGCCTTCCAGAAAGGACCGCTCATACGGTACTTATCCGAAAGGCCAGCGACTGGATGCCATTGAGTATTACACCCAACGCATTCGAGAACTCGAGGTGGAGATCAAAGAGGTCAGGGCCAGTGTCGACAAGCGGAGCTCCATGCCTTTCGGATTTGCCAGTTACTCGGACGTTTCTGAGGCGCACGAGATTGCCTACCTCACTCGCGGGAAGAAGCCCCATGGCACAACTATCAAGTTGGCGCCAAAGCCACTCGACATCATCTGGCAAAACATGCCGCTGTCCAGCGCTACACGAAGCCGCAGGCGGTGGATCAACAGTTTCTGGATTGTCCTTTTGACCTTTCTTTGGATTGCGCCCAACGCCATGATTGCTATCTTCCTCGTCAACTTGGGAAACCTGGGCAAGGTTTGGCACGGATTTCAAGTGTCCCTGGAAAGGGAAACCACCTTTTGGGGCATTGTACAGGGTATTGCTTCTCCCGCCATCACATCGGGCGTCTATCTGGCTCTCCCCATCATTTTCCGTCGCCTGTCCATCAGGGCAGGAGACAAGACAAAGACTGGACGTGAGAGACACGTCATGGCCAAGCTCTACTCCTTCTTCGTCTTCAACAACCTCATCGTCTTCTCCTTCTTCAGCGTCATCTGGTCCTTTGTTGCTGCCGTCATCACCGACGCCGACTCCGGTCTCAACGCGTGGGATGCTATCGTCAAGGAAAACATTGCACTCGGTATCTTCACTGCCTTTTGCAAAAACAGCCCCTTTTGGATTACGTATCTTCTGCAGCGACAGCTCGGTGCCGCCATTGATCTCGCCCAGCTCTGGCCGCTCATCAGCGCTTTTTTCCTCAAGAGATTCTCCAGCCCCACGCCGCGAGAGCTCATTGACTTGACGGCCCCGCCGGCGTTTGATTATGCCAGTTACTACTGCTACTTCCTCTACTACTCGACCGTCACGCTTTGCTTTGCCGGTATTCAGCCCCTCGTCCTTCTGGCGACGGCACTGTACTTTTGCATCGATTCCTTCTTGAAGAAGTACTTGATCTTGTACCGCTTTGTTACCAAGACGGAGTCTGGTGGCTTGTTCTGGCGCGTTATTTTTAACCGCTTCATCTTCGGCACCATCTTGTCCAATGGTGTTGTGTTGCTGACGTGCTGGGTGCGCGGAGACGGCAATCACTATCAGTTCTATGCCGTGTGCCCCTTGCCTATTCTCCTGATCCTCTTCAAGATTTACTGTGGAAGAACCTTTGACGACAGGATCCGATACTACAGAATATCTGCTTCCAAAAAGCAAGGTCCCGGTGCTATGCAGAAGGAGAGCCGCCTCCGAAGTGAGAAGCTGGCCAGTCGCTTTGGCCATCCAGCTCTGTATAAGCCGCTCATTACTCCCATGGTTCACCAGAAGGCGCAGAACCTGCTTCCATCCGTTTACTCGGGACGGCTGACTGATGGTAGAGATGGTGGGAACAATGCAGACCTGATGACCGTCAGCGGCTATTCGGACGTGTACGCCCTCAACGCCATGCAGGGTGGTAAGCCTGGCAAGGCTGCTGATGGGGTGCCTGGATTCGAGTACGTCTCGGAGGCGCACATGGACTTTGAGTATTACAAGAACCGGGCAGAGTTTACTGAAGAGCACGGAGGCGGTGAAATGTATGGCAAGGAAACTGATAGCTACCGGCCCGGAACGCCCGGTTCACTCGACAGCGGCTCCAGACCAGGAACACCGTCCAACCGCCACGCCACGCCGTTTTCCCCCGGAAACGTGAGGCTGCCGCCGCCGCAAGAAACAAGCTATCAGTCCTACAGGCCCAGCCCCTATGCAGACGACTCCATCGGCCGCCATCGCAGTCCACTCTATGCCCAGGACAATGGCAGCTCGTCCGGCCTAGTAAGCAACGCTGCAGGTCCAGCCATGGTGCCACCCGCGTCGTATCGGGACGTGTCTCAAGAACGGTCACGGAGCCCTGCATTGGGCATGCCTCTGGCAGGCTATCAGGAGGTGCCACTTGATCGGACCCGGAGTCCAGCAGTCGGTTCGCCAGCCACAACGCCTGGCGCGGGGATGGGCGGACCGCGGGGATACAGTGGCCTCCCCCAACAAGAGGAACAAGATGCCGACCCAATGCAGTATAACTATTTCAGGGGAGGATCTCGACCAACCAAGCCTCCCGGACAGGGCTGGTAAGGAGACGAGGGACATGTGACGAGAAACAATGGCTAACCGCTGTCCCAAACAAGAGGAGGACTCGGATGATGAGGCGGCATATATTTTGTGTTTGACAAGGGGGCAATGCAAGGCGTTAACGGGTTTTAGACTAGATGGCTGAGACCATTGGACATTGAGATGAGAGGCATGGCACCTTTTGACATTTTTTGAATACTTTTGAGTTGTTTGGACAAGATGTCCGATCCTTGTCTTTTTTTTTTCTTGGATAGGATATGAAAGAAATATTACGAAGCTTTGTTGTATATGGAACTTTTTTTTTCTTGGCTAAAGTATATATCATATTATTATTATTATTATCATAGTGTCGAGTGTTGAAATTTTGTATTTTCTGATCCTTTGCCCTATCCAGTATTTCATGGTCCAAGCTGTAAGATGTAATTATTAGTAGTCTTTAGAAATAACATTGCCATTTTCTTCTCCTTCTTTCTTTCCTTTTTGTTATTTAAATGAAAATAATGCCAATCTAGACAAATGACTTGCCAGTCTCATGGAACTTTGCAGCATATGAAGTCAGATCTTTGGCCAACTGGTCCATCAGCTCCTCTTTCACCACGGCATCTTGCCACGACAGGCCAATTGTGAGCTTGGACCCGGCCACGCTCGCAACGTTGATGCCCATCGCCGGACCGGCAGCCATGGCTCCATTCGTGAAGAGCATGCGCGTTGCACGAGGAACCTCCGCCTGTACGTCTGGGTTCTTGAGCACGCCAATGTTGCTAATCTCCCACGATTCTGTGCGCGGCCTGCCGTCCCTGCCACGCCAGAAGGAGACCCAGTCGCTGATGAATTTGAGCATAGCCATGATGTCATCCTTGGGCATGGAGTTGAGCTTGGTGGTGAGTTCGCCCTTGACTTGCTGGGCGTTTTGCCAGATCAGGGCAGTGGTGTCGGCATTTGGGGCGCGCAGGGCGGACACAGACTCGGGCGAGAAGTGATGTGTCGTGGCGGCGACGAGGCAACGGAGAGACGACACATAGGCGGGATCCATGGAGGGAGAAGTGAAGGGCCGGAGGTTGATGGGCGTGGAGGATGCAAAGGCGGGCGCTTCAGTTGGGGAGGGGATGCGGGATGCCAGAGAGGCGAGGACGAAGGAGTGCAGGAGAGCCGTGATGGTGACGGAGTGGCTTCTGCAGGCGGAGAGAAGCGTCGACAGGGCCTCGGGCGAGATGTCGACGGGCTTGACGCGCGTCTTGTAGGGCAGCGAGAGGTCGATGGGGATGGCGCCCCAGATGGGCTGCTTGGGGGCTTGGAGGAACCTTGGGCCGAGGGCAGTCCACAGCGTGCGAACGGTGTAGCCGACGGAGAGGGTGAAGTTGACGACTTGCTCCTGGGCTTCGGGGAGTGACGATGGCGGCTCTGGAAAGGAGAGGACGTGCTCTGGCTCGGCTGGTACTTGCTGGCCCTGGTAAGCAGGCGTTGCGAGAAGCATCTCGTGGAAGCGGCGACCACTGGTTCCGTCCAGAAGAGAGTGATGGAACGCAAAGAAGACGTCTTCCTGCCCCCTGAGCTGCTCCACGACATCGGCATTGTCGCTGCTGGGCCTCAAGATGGTGATTCTCCAGGGAGGCCGCACAGCCAAGTCCTGGTACTTCTGGTCATGCTCCCAGCCCTGGTGCTCAGCGATTTTGTCCTCGTACTCCTGGACGGACTGGCAGGGGACGGCAATGACGGAGACGTGGCTGCGCAGGTCGATGGAGGGGATATGCGTGAAGTGGGCGTTGTTTGTCTCGTCGCCTGTGATGCCGACACGCAGCATGGGCTGGTCCTTGACGACGGCTGCGAGAGCGGCGAAGAACAAGGGGCTGATGGAGGTGCCGTCTGGGTGAGAGGATGGAGGGTGGATGTAGCGACATGATACGGTGACGCAGCGGTAGATACCGAGATGGTGACGGGAGGTGGAGAAGTGTTCGCTGGAAGAGAGAGGTGAGTATTTTGATGTGTGTAGCTGTAGCTTTGGATGATGTTGAGATGAGAAGAGGTGAAGGGAGGTGAGTGAGAGGCTTACTTGTCTCCGAGTTTGCGGAGGATGTGGGGAGTTGTGGCAGAGGCCATTGTGATTGCCGTTCTATGATTGAATGATTGATTGCTTGATGAATTGGGCTGAGATAGAGGGACAGCGGTGGTCAATGGGAGATGCAATTGTATGTGGTTGTTGCCAGGTGGTTTTGATTGATGCCTAGGGTGGTGATGAGTGGCAGCCTCGTAGAACACGTTACTTATTGCTCCCGACGTATGTATATTATTATATGATGGGATAATATGAATCAAATCCGTAATGGAAGAAGCAGAAGAGAGAACAGAGAAATACTCCGTTTAAAGGGAATGGCAAGACGGGAGGATGAATAATATAAATACCAAATGCCCAAGTATCGTACTCCGGACTAGAGGCTGTTTCAAGGGCGCCCTTGTCTATTGGCTTCCATGTCTATTGGCTCACCAGCGGAGGATGCCATGTGCTAAAGAGGTAACCAATCGAACTAATAATAGGGAAACGCGTCACACTCTTCGGGGCTAATCCTCGGGCCTCGCAAATAATTCCATCGTCCGAGCCCGAAGACAGCACGTTAGGCCTTTAGAGGGCAATCCACGGAGGTTTCATTGGCATTGATGTAGCATTCGCGGCCTTTTGGGGCTAGGATGTGTCTTCCTTCCATTGTCTGATGGACCGTGCTACGGCGATACTGTACGATTCATTGCAGGCAGTGAACGCTAAATGTCTGGAACGAGTTAGTTAATGCGATGGTGGGAAAAACTATGATGGTATGGGCAAGGGGAAGAGACAATGCCCGTAAATGGCGATGGATTCGAGGAGAATAATCAGGTCGAATGACAATGGCAGTTTAGCGAAGAAAAGATGCCGCCTCCATTCCATAGGTAGCTTGATTAGTAGTATTTGGCTGATTCTAGTGAGGAGCTTGGATGGCAGTGCGCAAGCCCCAATTACGTATTTACTCTACATAGAGGCTTCAAGCCCAAGAGCAAAACAATGATGAACGCATTCAGAAGCTGAATCTTCCCCAGATATAACACTGGGCTGAAGATTTCTCTAGAGCCAACACCAACAACAATGCTAAAACGGGCGATTGTAGTGTGGTGGCTGCTGTCTCATTGGCTGCGGACAAGCTGACTTGGAGGTGGCACTATATTTGATGGTTCGGATTTTAAGTTTGCAGTAAGCTGGCCATTGATGATTTAAAGAGGTGTACTTTGTTGGTACGATGAGTGTCATATGGGCAATTTCATCCAATTGTATTGTGTATTGTATCTGTAGTATTATCGTGTTGTTATTGGTTAACAAAACATTGGTAGATTCGTGTATTGCCTTACTGAGTCGCTGAGAGATGCTGTTGCTGCTTTGATGCTTGCTGAGAGCCTCGGTAATCTCACCTCTCCACGTATTACCCAGGACGGGCCTGGAATACAAATCAAATATACCAAATACGGCTGTAATGCATAACCCAATGGATATCACCACCAGCCTTGCAAATGCGTACCTTTTATTCCAAGTGATGTGGTCAAAAGTCGGCACATGTGCTCCGTCGAAGCTACACCGACTGATAAGATGCGATGCAGGCTTAGCATCAAGTTAGTCACGTATGCTAAAACTCATGGACCCTATTTGAATGAGTTTACAGATGAGACAGCTTCTATACAGGCTCGTACTCATATGCCCAAGAAAATCCATCATAGCTTTCTTTTTACTTCGTCATAGTATCAATATTGTACAACTCAACTCGACCTCATCTCGGACTGAAAGGACCGAAACTCCGTCCACCCTGGTCATAGTCAAGGCTCGTGAAATCGGCAAACCCTGTCCGTGCATCTGACGACACTTACAGCACAGCACACACGGGCCACGGCGACTTTCTCAAGCTCAGCCAAACAGCCAAAAAGACAGCAAACATGTTCACTCTGTCTAGCTGTGTATCTACCTAGTAGTATTGCTTAAACCAAATTATAGACCTAATCAAGTGCATCTTCACTTCCAATTGACTTCCAACTACCGCTCCATCAAGTACCATCAAGTACCGCCCACAGCCAAAAACTACCCGCTAGTATACCCCGACGCACAGACCAGTGACAGCAAGCACATGTCCCAAAAAAGTCACAGAATCGCCCCCTGTCGAATCGACCGCTAGTCGCCAGAACGCGCCTCTCCTTCAAATCTTCTTCCCTTTTGCCTTTTGCCCTTTGCGTTTCCTTTTGCTTTTCGCTTCTCCAGCGCCCGACTTATCGATTCCAGGCAGACGGAATAGCTTCGCCTCGCACGGGCAATTGCGATTCATTCCCTACAGATACTCGTTACATCTCCATCTTCATCTTCCACAGCTTCTCGCCAGCTCTTCATCTTGATACTCCCGTCGCAAACAAAGGGCCATGACGCGCCTCGACTGAATCACGATTCACCGGCAAAAGAACCACCGCCTGCTGCAGTAACCATGCGCCTTTCCACCGCTGCATTCAATTCCGTCGATTCGTCTTTATTACAATAGTCAGAAAGAGCTTGCAATGCAAGAACCCCACGCAATTGGCGTCCGCCCAAATGGACGTCCCCAATCATTCCATGTGAATCACGACAGCCGGAAGCCGTTATTCGGACGGCCAGAGGACAACAATGAAAATGGATTACATCTATACACGGCGAGGACACCGGGCTTTTCGAGGATAGGAATGGGAGCGTCTGCGAACGTGGGCGGCGACAACAACGCGACGGCGCTGCGGAAGCCGAGGCCCATCTCCGAGAACTTCACCTCGACCCGAGACCAGGCAAATGCTAATGCCAATTCCAGCGTGCTCTCTTCTGGAGGCACCCGAATCCCCCGACTCAACAGCCTGTCGCAGACGCGCCGAAAGCCCATATCTCTGCGCAAGGCCATGGAGCTCGCAGAAGGCGAGGAAGAAGCAGCAAAGCTGATGCTCGAGGCGGGCCTCGATGATCCAGTTGCTGTCGAAGGCTCGCCCAGTCCAGCGCCGAGGCCTTGGAGGATGAGGACCGCCTCAGAAGTATCGGAGATGCAGCGAGTGCTCGGGGCCGACCATCTGGACACTAAGGGGCGCAGCAAGATTCCGTCGGCGCGCAACTCCAACCTCAGCGCAACACTTGTGGGAGGCAGGGAAGGAGCAATATCGCCAGCCAGGGCCTCAGGAGCCACCCGCCTCAACGGCAGCGACGGCCTCATGCGACAACGATCCACCGAGTTTGTCAGCCCTGCCATCCGCAATGCTCTGCGGTCCGGAGCAAACAGAGACGCCACCGCTACCACCGCCAGCGGCACCAGCGGGCTTCCTGAACTGGTCCCCGGCATCGAGGATATCCCACTAACTTCGATCGATCCTGCCCTCTCCGCGGCAACGCTCGTCCAGCGATCTTCCCCGGATAAGAGCTTCGCCTGGCAGATGGATGAAGATTTCACCGAAGGCGAGTTGCAAATATCCGACAGTCCACGCGTTAGGGTCGGGACTCGGCCATTTGCAAGTCGCCTCGGATTCCGCGAGGATGGAAAGCAAGACTTTGATAGCCTGCCCCGTCTCGCCAACCCGGGGTCTCGCAACAACAAACTCGACGAAATCAGGTCGCTCGAGCTCCGCACAAACGGTAGCCAGATACCGCTGGCAAGCCCAGCACGACTGAGACCACCAAATACAAAACTAGACGACATACGCACAAGGGAAAGCCAGGTAGAGCGGCAGATCCCGCTCGCCAGCCGACACCTTGACGGACTAAGAAACAACACCAAAATAGACGACATCCGCCAGCGAGAGGCCGACGGGGTGTCGAAGCGGGCATTTGCAGCCGCCCGCCTCCAGGAAATCAAGGAGCAGAATTCCATGGCACGTCCTCGCTCCCCCGACGAAGAGTCCAAGCCTCGCCCAACTTTTGGACTGGCGCGACGACGTCTGGCAAGGCAAGAGGCAGTTGACGAGGTAAAGAAGGAGGAATTGCCACCACTGTTGCGCCCAAGGACGTCTTTTGGAGGGGCTGAGGCTGGCCGGCAGATACGAGATACACCCGTGACAATCTTTAGCCGGGATGTGAGGCGCGTAGAAGAGGAGGTGGGCAGGGATAACGCAGCATTACGATTCCAGGAGCCAGAGAAAAAGCTGGACAGCTGGGAGCAGAAATGGGAGAGTCTGCTGGCAAAGCCCAAAGCCTATGAAAGGCAGCCTGATGACCGAGAGCTGCTGCGCCGGCTGGCAAGGGCTGCCAGCGCCAGCCCGCCACCTGAAGACGAGCCCAGAACAAAACAGCTACCCACTCCTCCGCCAGGCGACGAAGAAGTCAAACAAACCACCACCAAATCAATCGCCGACAGGATCGCGTCTCGCCTGTTTTCGAGACGTGCTTCTACCGGTGATAAATCCGCTGCTGAGACAACAACTACTACTACGGCGACAACGACCGACATCAAGGATTCCGAAAAGTCAAAGCCTACCGTGGGATTCACTGGCCTGCAGCGCTCGCGATCAGTTGAATCCGCTAAGAGCAAACGATCCAGCATGCAGTCAGAACCAGACCCGACGGCTAGGATAGAGGCGGAGATGAAGTTGTTTGCGCCATCAGACAACCAATCTGAACGAGGCTCGATACGTGCGCCATCTCCGCCTCCTGACGACTCGGACGAGGGCGACAATGGGCTAAGCAAGGCTCCAGCGTTGGAACTGACTCCAAAGCCCTCCAAACCTGACCCCTTGTCCATGCCGACCCCGAGAGTCACGGGCGCCTATGTCGAAACGCCGGTGTCGATCAAGACCGAAAAGCTAGAGCTGAAGCCCGAACTGCCTGCTCCAAAGCTGCAATTAGAGGGCAAGGCACCTGTAAAGACATCTGCAGAGCCTCCCGCTCCGCTCTTCCGGGACAGGAAGCCAAGCTTCTCCTCATGGAGGAGCAAGGAGAGAAGCCAAGATCAGGACACGGCTTCAGATCCTGGCACGACTGACGATGGCGGCGATATTGCGTTGGCGTTGGCGGCAGCAAAGAAACCGCGGGCGAAATCGCTGCCTCGGCGCAGGCCGCCCATGAAGAATTCGGCCAGGCCTCCCTCTGCCAAAGATGATCTGATGGAGCTGCGCCGCGAATACGACATGGAGGACTCGACATTTGACGACCTGGACGAGTTTATTGCCAACGCCAAAAGGGCAGCCCAGCTGGCCGTGCCAAAGAGCGATCCCCTTCCTCTATCCACAGCAACCGACGACCTTGATCTGGAACTTGAATCAGAGTCTGACCCCTCTGATGCGATTAAGAGCGAGGACCAAAAGGACGGCGAGATGGCTGCCTTTGAGAGAATGAACAAGTCTCTGCAAACAGGCCTCTTGAGGATCCGTTCGGCCAAGCAGGGCATAGAGCGCTTCGAGGATCGCTTCGATCGCTACTCCCGAGCTCAGTCGGCGGTGCAAGAGAAGAAAGATGCAAAGACACTGCCTCAGGAGAAGGAGAAGGAGACAAAAGCACTGCCTCAACCTCAACAGAAGGACACAAAACCCGTGGCGCCACAGAAGAAAATTACAAGAACCTTGACCCAAGCACCCAAGGGCCACGCGCATCACAACCACAAGAGTCCCACAGAAGGTTGTCCGTACTGTAAATCATCGTCATCAACGGGCTCTTCCACCGCCGTCACGTATCTTCATCTCGCATTGCCGCGGCTGTTCCACCGAACTCCTACCTTTCATCTTACTTGGCTGGGCGTGTTCACCCTGATCCTCTCCATGTGGTATGCTGCCGAGTCAACCATGTGCTCCATGTACTGCCGCCCAACAACCTGTCCCGCCTCCAAGTCGCCCTGCGTCTGGTCCTTTGACGACCCGACGGATTTCGGAACGGCCTTGCCCATTAAGCTCGACCAATGGATCACTGGCGGACAAGGACGTCAGCTGGCATCATTCGCATACGAGGAAACGTACGACTGGATTGCCGACATGCAGGACCTCGCTCTGGGACGCGACGCCACCAAGGTGGACATGGAGACGCTCTCTCCTGAGCAGAAGCGCCGACATAGACGTCGTCTCCGGAAGAAGGGCCTCGTGGCTTCTGCCAGAGAACCACTGCCGGAGGAGAAGGCGAAGTGGGACGAGTGGCGAGCGGCACGGCTGGCGAAGCAAAAGGCTGAGGAGACGAGGCAGAAGGGCCATGTAGTGAATGACGAGAAGCCCAAGTCCAAGCCTAAACCTGCGGACCAAGAGGAGGAGCAGGGATGGGTGAAGATCAAGGGATGGAGGTGAAGAGGAGAATTCACGACGAGATTCCGGTGGCAGTTTTGGTGGGAGTTTCTCTTTCATTACTTGCTTTCTTTCTTTCCTTCTTTTTCTTTTTCCTTTTTGATATATATTACATATAATAATCGTTACCGACGAGATAATGATGAGGAGCAGGGAAACTGAAAAATGGAGTATGGAGCATAATACAGTCATGATGCATTAGCTTTGGTGTACCTTGGTAGGGTAGCATGGGTGGCCGATATTGAACATTGAATATAGGTAGTAATGAAGAAGGCGGGTTTGTTTCATCACATTGGATATCGTGTTTTTGTGAATTAAGGTTTGAGTGTTGATGGACTTTGTACGATTGTGTATGTATGTATATACTCTTCTTTTTTGGGGATGCAATATCTGAAATTGAACCAAGATTTCTTGTAAACGCCAGACACCTTTTTTTCGTATCATCCACCGCAATGGTATACACAGAAACAGAAAACCAAAAAAAGCAAGCCAAAACGACGCCCTCCCTCTCTCGTCATTAATTGTCTATGCCACCCCATTCGTCGTCCTCATCGTCCTCGGCACCATCCATCTCTTCATCTTCATCCTCCTCCTTCTTCTCCACCCACGGCAATCTCTCGTCGTCGTAGCTGTCCAGCGCACGCTGTCGCACCGACTTGACAGGACACTTCTTGAGACTCTCCACCAGCGCTCCAATCTCCTTCACAAACGCCTTTGCATGCTCGTCCTCAGCCGCAGCCGCAAGCGCTCCCTCACGCTCCAGCTCATCCACCCAAACATCCAGCACGTGCAACCGAAGTCCCAGCGCAACCTTGTTCTCGTCCTCGGCGTCAAAGCACCACTGCGCAAACACACGCACCACCTGCGCCGCCAAGTCGCCCTGAAAACCCTTCTCGCGAACAAGCTTCACGTGCGCGGCAAACACCCTTCTGACGAGCAGCAGGAACTTGTCGAGGCGCAGGGCCTCGATGTGCGGCCACTGGACGCCGAGGACGGACCAGAAGGCCGCCAGCCAGGGCTCGACGCAGGCGGGCTGCAGGTCGAAGACGAGGTTGGCGAGGTCTGCGGCGAGGGCCTGCTGCGGGCGCGGGCGGTCGGTCATCCAGAGGGCGTAGTAGAGGCCTGTCCAGAGCTTGCGGGCGTCGAGGGGGGTGATGGAGCGGCGGGAGGAGAGGAATGCTTGGAGGGAGGAGAGGGATTGGGTGCGGAGTTTGCGGTCTTGAAGAGGGAGGGTTAGTAATGGTTATGTCTTGGGGGACGTTTATAATTGAGTAAATGAGAGAGAGAAAGAGAGAGACGGACCGCTTGAGGCGAGGTTCTTGATAAAGGGCATCTGCTGCGCTTCTTGCGCAGAGACGGCAGCGGAGGCAGCCATGGCTGATATGAGATTTGTATCTGCGTATGTATATGTGTGTATATGTATAAATATATATTCGTCTGGAATTAAGTCGAGAATTGGGCTATAAGAGGAGCGTAAATGGCGTGTGTATGTCGCCAATGAATGATGCAGTCCAGTGGTTGCTGGTAAAAAGTTGGGAAATTTTGAAAGCGCTTGGAAAAAATCGAGGTGAAGCTTCGGTGTGTGTCTCGGTGAAGGGAAGAGGGTGCCCCACCTGGAGAGCGCTGTTGACCGAGATTTTAGTACCTGGTGCTGCTGCTTTTGCTGCCTTGCAGCGGGTTGGTACTTGTTGGTACTTGTTACTAAGGTATTACCTGCTGCCCTGCACTTGGACTTTTAACCATATCAACACATACGAGTATAGCGTGGATGAGTTAACGATAATCATTTTGGGATATATAAAAGTTAGAGGCACTTCCCGTTGACACCAGCAATACTGCAGCCTCGTACCTGTACCTGCCATCATTCCGCCTGCCCCGCCATCTGGTACGTACCCGGTACCTGAGCTTGTAACAAAACCCCACATCCGTCATTACTGTCAGAGTCACAGGCGCTCAGCAGGGAAAGCACAGCGATTCTTCATTTCCACATCCTTCACTCTTCCGCATCGTCTGGTTTTCTTCTTTTTCTTTTTCTGCTTCTTCCTCTTGTCGACGCTCGGCCATCCCGCCCTTGATTCACCCGCAAATACGAAGAAACGGAGCTCTGCTTTCCCCATCTTTTGTTGCTGTTGTGCCAACGACGTCACGGCTGCTGCCCCCTTCGACTATTGCCCGTACCAACGAGCGAGCGAAACAGAAGAAGAAGACAGAAGAACAGTTTCAGTCTGCTGCATCGTGGCGGGATAGAATTTGACGCCGTTCTTGTTGTCATCCATCTAGAGAAGAGGAATCCGAACCCGTCCATCCTGAGCTTCAGCAACTTTGTGCACTCCATACAACAACAAATACAACCACCATCATGTCGACCAAACGCATCTCCAAGGTAAGCTGCCACTCTCCCATCCGCCCTCACCGCCATCCTCCTCCTCCTCCTCCTCTTCTTCTCCAATACTCACATCTCCCTCCACCCAGGAATTCGCCGAAGTCTCCCAGCAACCCCCCGAGGGCTTCATCGTCACGCTCCCCCCCAACGACTCCGTCCACACCTGGCACATCACCCTCCAGCCTCCCCCCTCAACCACCTTCTACCCGGGCCGCTTCGGCATCGTCCTCAGCCTCCCCACCGACTACCCCTTCAAGCCTCCCGTCGTCAAGTTCATCACCCGCGTCTACCACCCAAACATCACAAACGACTCCCTCGGCAACGTCTGCCTCGCCATCCTCAAGCCCGAGAACTGGAAGCCCAGCACAAAGATCGCCTCCGTCCTCGAGGCCCTGCGTAATCTGCTCATCGAGCCCCAGCCCGACGACCCCCTCGAGGAGCGCATCGCAGACGAGTACCGCAACGACAGGGCCTCGTGGGAGGCAAAGGCAAAGGCCGCCGTCACTAAGTATGCCCTTGAAGACCCAATCTTTCCGGCATCATAAAACGCTTTTTTTTTTTTTTTTTTCGTATTATTACAAGGATAAGAGAGGAGATGCGGACAGCAAAGTCGCAAGTCGGCGTACTCCTACTGGTAGAGGTACATACATAGGCGCATGTATAGCATGGAATAAACTCTGGGTCGCGGGCGAGTCTTGTCGGGATGTTGCGGCCGTTTAGTGCTTTGCAGGATGAAGAAGATGCGTAACAGGCGTTTACAAGATTGCAAGAGCAACGACATAGCTAGGAATATGGTATCCGTTATCAAGTTGGAACGAAAGCAAGAGTTGATGCCGGGCTGAGTGTTAGGAGTACCAAAAACATTTTCATCTTATTCTTCCCAAGTCTTTTTACATTATCCATACTTTAAAAAAGAAAAAAAGTGATACAGCATTAAACCTTACCCTTTCTTTCACAGCATAAACAAGACACTCGGCTTAAAGGAATATGCTTAATTACTATTACCTAGGATTGGCCAAGAAAGATACAGCAAATGGAACAATTCATCACAATCACGCTCAAAGCACACACACGCACACAAGCACACAAGTCAAAAAAGGCTTTCGTTTCAAGAATTCATCATTGGCCGCGCCACAAAAACAAATTGTGTACACGCCAGTGGGTGTTTGCCAATTACTCCCTCGTTCCCCCCCAAGATTTTGTGTCCTATTCTATCCAAGTCGAGTCAAAAACAAACAAAGAGATTTTTGTACATGCCCATCCTTCTATGCTGCGCACCACAGATGTAGAAATAAAAGGAAAAAAACAAGGTAAAAAAAGATGTAAAAACAAAAAAAAAAAAAAAAAAAAAACAAGGATAGAAAAGAAAAAGAAAAAGAACAGCACGTATCCTTCTTTTTTTTTCTTCCCCGGCGCTTTCTTTGGCCAAAAAGCACACCCTTTTCTTTTTTTTTTGTTCGCAACAAGCATTCCGTCTCTAGTTCCTCTAACAAGGGACCTGCCACAGGTTGCAGCCGTAACCGTCGTCATGGTATTTTGAAACAAAGGGGGATAAATAAAGCGCCCATTTTGTAATCCGCGCACCCCATATGAAGAAGTTTTAAAAAAAAAAGTAATAAGCAAAAAAGAAGAAGGGAAAAAAGCGGGATAAAGAGAGTTAAAAGTAGGGGACAAAGGAGAAAGTGTGTAGTAGTTGGAGAAATAGTTGGCGAGAAAAGAAGAGAAAAAAAGGGGGGTTGAATGAAAATGCTAATGCTTCATGCAGATGCATCGTGGCCATTCTCCCAGGCCACTACCTGACATCTCCCTCAAACGCCTGCCGTGCTATGAATCGAAATGATGAAAATGGGAAAAAGAGAATTATAGCATATGAGAATAGAAGGTGATGAAAATGAAGAAGGAAGAAGAAGAAGAAGAAAAAGAAAGACACAAGTGGTATCAATGCAAACTCAAACCACCACCCCTGGTATTAACGCTGTTTATTTCTTCAGCCCAAACAGGCTGCCGCCCTTTCGCTCTCCGTCGGCTTCCCTGCCAGTCGCCCCGGTTGTCGCAGCTTTACTGCGCGATCGTAGGAGAAGGTCTTGTTGGGCCTTGTCTCGCCTCTCTTGCCGGCGTTCCTCAATCACCTCTTGGCTGAGATGGTTGAAGCCGTTACGCCTCTTGAAACACGTCTCCAAGACTTTGTTCGCGTCGAGCATCTTCCTAGGCAGCGACTGGACCACGCCAAACATCTCCATCGGGTCTCCAATCGCCTTGATCTCGTTCTCTCCCAGCTTGAAGATGGCCAGGGCGACGCGGAAAAGCGTCTTGGATCCTTCGTAGAAGAAGACGTCCCACACGCGCAGCGTCGTCTCAATGGGGAGCGTACCGATGTAGCAACTCATGAACCACGCCGTCATGCAGAGGGTGATTGGAGGAAGCCGCTCAGACGACAGTGCTGCGTGAATCTCCTTTCGCTTCAGTCGAGGCGTCAGCGGGTTCAGCGGGTTTCGCACAGACTTGCTAGTCATTGGTCGCGACAGCGGCTCGCCGCTATCCAGCTCTCCCCCAATCTTGTCCCACACAGCAGGCATTGTATCGCGGAGCTCCGTCATCAAAACGCCAAGGTCAACCTTGGAGCCCTCAAGGCTCATTTCGTGCGTGCCGGGAAGATAGATGTGTGTAATCACGTTGAGCAGCCAAAACGCCTGTTCCTCCGTGTCCACAAAGAGGAGCAAGAGGCCGGCAATAAAGTTGAGGCTTTGGCAGTATCCGATGCGAGGGTTGTAGACGGCGAATGCGAGCAAGACGCGGCGAAGAGATGCAATCAGCGGCGGCTCGCCTTCCAGCCCAACGGGGCCAGGTCCGCTGCCGTCTAAGGCCGCTCCCCTTACCGTGGATTGGCTTGCCCGCTCGCTGCTAGTGGTGGTGTCGAGCATGTCGGCCGTAGCTTGTGAGGGCTTGAACTGGATGTTGTCGGGGAAAGTTCGGTGCAGGTCACGCTCGATAGCCTCGATATCGACATGCTTGGCTTGTCTCAGCAACAGCTTGTCGTAGAGACCTCCATGCTTGGCCAGAATAGCAGGTCCGCCTGCGTAGTAGAACCATGCAGCACCGCGCCAATCCGGCGGAATGCCTTTGCGCACAAACCGCTTCGTCTTAGCATTGGGGGCGGGGAATCGTTGCGGACGGTCAGTCATCAGGGCACTGTCCTTGAGGTACGAGGTCCACTTCTTGCGCCGGCGCGCGAGGTATTGAGAGTATGTTTTATCCCAGGCATCGTACTGTTGTCGGGTGATGAACTGGTTTTCCTTCTTGAAACCATACCGATCGCGCGCACCTGGCTTCTCAGGCTCGGGAGCGGGGAGGTGCACTGATGGGGAAGGCGATACTGATCGAGACTCAAGCATCGAGGGGGGTGAAATGCGCGAGGGACTCGGGCTGGGCGTGGCTCTTCTCGCGTCGGGTCGGACACCGTCCGAGTCCACAGAAGGCGCAGATTCCACTGTCCTGGACGAGTCGCGCTTTTCCGGAAACTCCAGGTCGTGTTCTGGGTCGTGGTCGAGATCATGGTCGTGGGTGAGGGCAGGCACCGTTGACGTGAAGGCAGCGCTGGAAAAGAGCATTTTGGATTGCCTGATTTCCATGTCGAGAGCGGAATGGGTGGCGGGCACCGGAGGCACCGGGTCGGCATCGAAATCGTCGTTGTGAGTGCGCTCAGGGCCCGGCTCGGACCTGGCGGTCACAGGACGGTGCATGACGCTAATCATGTTGTCGGGGACAGTGTCGTCTTCGGCAGATTCTTCTTCTTCTACTTCTTCGTCATGAGTAGGCAGAGGCGCGCGTCCGTGCTCAAGGCTGCGTCCGTGCTCCTGCTTGTGCTCCTGATCCTGATCCTGTTGGCGCTCCTGTTGGCGCTCCTGCTCCTGCTCACGCACGCGCTCTGGTTCCTGCTCTAGCTCTGGCTCTGGCTCTAGCTCTAGCTCCGACTCTGGGATGCGTGGATACGA